TTGACTGCTATTTATAAATGTAAGTCGTAATCTTAATGAGAAATTAAATATACGAGCTCAATGAATTTGAAATTTGAATTTGATCATTTCTAATAATTGCCCTTCTTTTCTTTAGTGCAATGGGTTACTTTAAGATATAGTTAACGGTAGATGTTGTAGATCCCGTCCAATGCGAATCCTTGATCAAGAATTTTCAGGTGTTAATCTTCAAATTTTAATTGCTACAATAATAATCAATTGTTCTGTTCAAATGTATTTTCTAATTCCACATCTTCACGCAGTTTCATTTGTCTTTATCATACGCCCCTAACTAAATCAGATTATTTCTTCGTATGTTGACTATAGTAATGTGCACTCATGTAATAAAATGTGATGTTTTCACTCAAAAGATACTGTTGGGCTGAATTGTAACACTCTGATTTTTCGAAATAAGTCCGACATATTTTGTACCGTGTTTTTATGAACTAGCTGTGTAACCTCTATGTAGGCCACAACAAATACCTATCCATGGCTGCAAGGCTGATAAAACCATAGTACAGCGGACGAGACTTAAAACGGTGGTCTGTGTGAGTTTTGTCCAACAGCGTACAAAAAAGATCCTCATTCGGTCATTGATAATAAGAGTAGGCACTTATCGCCGCCCAGGAACCCGAATAAGCCCCAAAGGGCGAAATAATTCAGCTCCAAAGAAGAATTATGGGTTATCTCCCTTCCGTACCGACATCAACACGAAAGTCCGCCTGAAACGCCATCACTTCAATATCGGATTGCAACTCTAATACATAGTGAATGCACCAGTTCCCTTCAGGATGACTAAAACAGTTATCAAGCTTTATCATAAATCCCAAAACTAGCGAAATACAGCCATTTGCCTATGACCCTGCCCTTCGAAAACCCTCTATTTTGAAAACGAAATCGCCAATCAACTAGTTCCTGTTCAGGAATCACCATGATATGTCTAAGGACAGACACAGGGCATTTTCAGTATTGGCCAATTGAATTTAAAGCTGTCATTTTAAGTTCATTTCAACTTTGTACACCATCCGGTGCACATACAATTTCATACCCCATACAGTATGAAAAACAAGAGCGAAATTTCAATTGTATCTCTTTAATGTCATTGATCATTTCGTAAATTATACTGGAATTACTAACAAAATAAGAATAAATTTTAAAAATGATAATAGAAACACCATATCTGGGTATATCAGTGAAAATAACAAATGTAAATACAGACTAAAAACATGAAAAAATAAAGATACATTGCATTTATAACGTCTTATACGATAAAAATCGGGCATCGTGTAAAATACATTCATGAAATACCTATCTAAACTTATCATTATATGTGTTTCAATAGTTAATGAAATTTATAGACTTTATTTTATGAAATACAATACATGTATATAAATACAAGAGGCCCAAATGGCCTGCACTGAAAACGTTACTTAAAGTAATACTACAAGACACCACTCCATTTACCAAGAGCTTAATTCTTTCTGAGGACATTTACCTTTATCTTATAATATCAATGAAGAAAAACCTACATATCTTAAATTTGAGTGTGATCCATCCAGTGCTTTTTAAGAAATACTTAATGGCAGTAACAAGTTTTGTTTAAAGATAGAAAGACAGGCGATGGACCACAAACAAAGAGCAATTTAAATATAAATTCATTGAATGTACAATAATAAAAATGTCTTTACGAAAAGCTGACTTGGCGAAAACGTTTGAACAAAACTTTATACCTGTTACAGAAGTTAATTGAAATCATAGAATGAAAGTGGCATAACCATTTTATGTCTAGACACTCAAAGGATACGTAGTCATCATTTTATAAACATCATCATATGGGACCAACGCACAAACTTATCGCAAAAACATTCTTAGTTAAAATTACTTTTGACACACTTCAGTGCTATGATTCAACTTAGTTTTTAAAAAAAAACACCTATGAAAAAAATGTGTATGAAATACACATGCACATAAAATTACAAGATGCGCACGTGACCTGTACTAAAATACACCTAAATGAAACCCTGAAAACCTTCACTTAAATCAATTTACTATGACCATTGTTTTGCCACTGTATGCATAATATAGGATGATTTATGTGTAAGGAGATGTCTATTGTAAGCCAGTCATTAGATACTAGGGCCAACTTAACTAATTTGTTGCATTTAAAGCAAGAACATATGGAAAAATTACTTAGATGTCAGCAGGATTTTGAAGACATTAGTTTTTATAAGGACATCCTATGTGGTATTTGGTACACTTTGTTTTTTCGCTCTGGCGTTGACAATTTTCAAGTGCAAACATCCGATTCTACTTTTTCCAGTATCTCTTTTAAAGCAGCATTCCCTTTGTGATTTGTTGCCCTAAAAACTGCTTTGTGATGTTGTCATTAGCCTTTTCGAGGCCTCGTTGTGTAAATTGCACAACATTTTTGTGTCTTTTTATAAGTTCAGTGATATGGCACCGCAATAACTGCATATACGACGTACAGACAGTTTGCTCCAATGCACGTGTCCAAAAAATATCTGAATTTGGATTATCCGATGTTAGAAGAGCTGTGATGACCTTGAAGCGATCCCATACATCTTAAATGTGCTTTGATCTTTCATCTTTTAAATGCAAATCAGCTGTCTGATATTTGTTTAATAAGAAATGTTTTTCTGGTCCTTGCAAATTAGTATACTCTAACTTGTTGGTTTCATTATTGACCCGAAACTTGAACTTGATCCATAATTCTTGCAATTTTGTTACAACCATCAACATCAAAGGGACATATTCACAGTGTGCTTTTGTGGTGAAATTTTCTAATGTGATAATTTATATCAACATTATGAAAATGAGCGTTATAATAACTACAACCTCTGATAATGAGGAATAAGAATTATTGATGTACATATACATACAATTATTTACTTTTTTCTTTTTCAATATTAATTCTTTTAAATCTGAATGATACAAACAATCAGATGCGTGTATCCATCTTAATTTGGTGACTGAAAAGAACAAAATTATTGAAATAATTACCAATGTACTGGATTTTCACTTTTCTTGTAGTCTCATCCTCTATTGTGACCTGCCATAATGTGTTGTATCTAGCCAGTCTATGCCTATAGCAGAGAATTTGCAAGCTCACTGTTAAAAAACTACGTTAGTGTATTAAAAATCGTTCTCTTTTGATCTAAATGCCCCCTCCACGTCTGGATGTTTCCAATTTCCAAACCACTCCTTAGGGGATCTCGATTACATATAATGACTTAATATTATGAGGACCTGTGATAATGTCTGTTGTTTACTTGACAGAGACTGCGGTCATGTCGGTCTGGATTTCCCAATAATCGCTAAGGAGACATAACGCATGGTTTCCCGCAGAAATAAATATGATTGCAAATTAGCTTCGAAATCTCACCATATTTCAGCTTTTTGTGAAAATGTAGCTGTGTAATTTGGTGGGGTTTTGTTTACTAATACCCCTCGACAGGTTGGTTTTATTTGTTGCATCGAATTTAAAGTGAAACTGTGTACTATGTATGCAAATAAATATTTACCCACACAGACGACTTTACGGAATCCCATATAAGAAATACACAAAAGTAGGGGTGGTTGGTGTGTCATTGCCCCAAAAAGAAGCCTTCAAACGTCATGATCTTCTAGTTAGAGTAGAACCAAACAATGAATTAAACTACACCTTACAACAGTTTCGATCTTACTCTTCGTCAGTGACCAAATCAGACGATGAGAAATTAGCCCATGAAAGAAATGGTTATAGCTCACACCTGTCCATACAAACCACAAGGATTTTCAGTTTTGAGTTTACTGGCGCGTCCTTTGAAATGACTGACTATATGCACTCATATAATAAAATGTTACATTTTTATTTCAACAGATATTGTTAAACTGAATTGTCACACCCTGATTCTTATAATAATCATTAACAGTGGTTATTTTTTGTTTGTGGTTTTGAACATGAATATTTATGCTATCACGGATTCAAATTTTAAATAAGTCCGACATGTTATGATGGGTAATCTCTTTGTAGACTACAACAGATACCTATAGCATCCTATAGCATTGTCTGGCCCAATCTAAATAAAGCAAATGTGTGTTTTTTTTTTAAATACAAATGCAAGGCCGTAGCAATGTTAGTGCAGGATTCTTCGTAACTGATATTTGATTATCGAAAATGACATTTTTATATCATACGTCCCTGATAGATGTTTACGTATCTTTAATTACGACTTTCAAACTGGGAAAATTTCGTAGTCCCCTTTAGTTTGAATATCGGTCAAAGCAACGCTAGGGCCGACCCAGTCCATAACTGGTTTAACACAGTTTATTTGTAGTAAGGATGAATTCCGAAACATACTTGGACGAGATTAAAGACAGCTGTTTGTTTTGTTAAAAAGATAAAATTCGCAATGTTCCCAATTTCATTATTTTTACATATATATACATGTATATATATCTTCTATTATTTAATTGTTGTTGCTGTTGTCGTTTTTAATCATCGAGAGTTTCTGCATAAAGAAAAAAATATATGTAAAATGTGGGTTTAAAAAACGAGAAGATCATCTTTTTATGAATTTGTCTACCATTCCACAACAAAACAGCAAATAAGAATGTAAAATATTCGGTAAGTGGCTTTAAGATCCATAATGTACGTCCATAGATGTTTACATCATATTTTCTTTGGACGAGTGAAGTAGGGACTGTGACAAAACGATGCGTATATGTTGTGTTAGAAAACTATTGTATCATCTGCTCTGAACGTACATCCTCTAACCTAAGGAACATACATTACTGCGACTTATTTGGAGCTTCAATGAGTGTGTATTAATTTTATTAATCACAGAATATCACACCTGGAAATAGAAAAAGCTCGTATCTTGAGCTTCAAGTCAACTCGTCCCATAAGTCAGTATCGACCGGAAACGGAAAACGAATGTGCGCACGCTTACTTCATTTGTAAACTACACGAACAAAAAGAAAATGCAGCCTCAAAGATTCCCTGGTCAAGGACCACCGATGAGACCCTATCAACAACAAGGATACCCAGCTGTGCGTATATTTTTATATTGTACCTTGACGACGTGCAGTGAATGATAATTCATAACCATGTCTTTTATATCTTCTGTTCTAGCCGGCTATGTTAACAAACCGGGTCGGGAAAGCGGGGAGGGGATGCATTTTATATTTTTGTGTCGCGTTTACTACAGGCACCTGTATCTAGAATGTAAACAACTCTACTAAAATCTAGTCCATTATGTGTTACACTAAAAAGCAACAAATATGATTTGCAGAAATAATAATAATGAAAATAAGAAACATAAGCGCTGATAACTCCTATTGGTCATACAGAAAACATGAAATTTAACATAAGCTTAAGTATTTAGTTATACAGGCACTACGGCTTAGTTACAAAATGTTGAGGATCATATTTATTATAACTACAGATTGGCACTAGTAGCTACATGTTTCCCTATAGCCACATCAACAATTGGGTCCTGACACCATTTGTTGTTACAGTCTCATCGGTGGTCATTGGCCAGAGAATCTTTATTATATTTACTGTGTGACAGAGATTATTCATGACAATAACCAAGTTTCATTCATTTTGTAACAGGGATTATATACGTGACAATGATCTGTGTTTCCTTACCTACAAGTACACTGCTATAATAAACTGGGATTTTTTTAGGGTCCAAGACCAGGTGGATACCCAGGACAACAGATGGGGCCTGGAGGACCACAGAGAATGGGAGTTCCCCCTCATGGGGGCATGCCTCCACACCCATACGCAGGTATGTTTATATGTATAGAACAACCATTATTCAGTTTATTTCCAAATGCAGTACAGCATACAATTGTAAACATGTATAGCAGTAATGTTTGTAGGGTTTTCTTGTTTATAGTACTATTTCAAAAATTTTGATGAGTATGGTTACCAAAAAATATTGTGACTCCAATTCTCAAAATTTGAGTTAGTCCCACAGGAAAGGTCCAAAACTCCTATATCTGAGTCTCAAAAATCACTTTAAAGTAAAGATATTAGATATATGTATGTTAATATTTGAATTATTTGTTTCTACTAAAAATCTTGTTGTTGACAGCATCATCATTTTCTGCTGAAAGAATTTAGTTGTGTTGTATGTGAGGCTTACATCCTTCTGCTCAATTGATGCTCTATAATGATACACTGTGAAATGGGTTTTACTTTCTAAGTAGTAGTTATATAGTAAGAAATGTTGTCCAACTTTTTGTTTAGTTTTGAACGTTTGAAACAGATGAATAGACTTTTGAATTATGTCATGATTAGAAATTTATCCTTAAGTAGTGGAGTGGTATAAAATTTCACTGATTGTCGTGTATGTTATCAGGTAACAAAAGATCAATTTATTGTCACAGTAATACTGGACCATACACAATACTCAAATCAATGGAGTTAATATTGTATGTTACTGCAATACTGGACCATACACAATTCTCAAATCAATGGGGGTAATATTGTATGTTACTGCAATACTGTACCATACAAAATCCTCAAATCAATGGGGGTAATATTGTATGTTACTGCAATACTGGACCATACAAGATACTCAAATCAATGGGGGTAATATTGTATGTTACTGCAATACTGGACCATACAAGATACTCAAATCAATGGAGGGTAATATTACTGTAATATCGCAGTAATACTGTACCATACAAAATCTTCAAATCAATGGGGGTAATATTGTATGTTAATGCAATATTGGACCATACAAGATAATCAAATCAATGGAGGGTAATATTACTGTAATATCGCAGTAATACTGTACCATACAAAATCTTCAAATCAATGGGGGTAATATTGTATGTTACTGCAATACTGGACCATACAAGATACTCAAATCAATGAACAGTAATATTGTATGTTATTGCAATACTGGACCATACAAGATACTCAAATCAATGGGGGTAATATTGGACATACAAAATCCTCAAATCAATGGAGGGTAATTTTGTAATATCACTTTTGTATATCAAACATTATTGACAACTGATTTTCTCTATGATATCATTAAACATATGAACATTGTTTTACTAATGTGGCTGTGAAATTTGATACATTCATGTGTGTAAGCTAAGTAGGTATATTATTACTGAGGTACCTCAGAAATATCAATCCTTTGGGATCCCAGATTTTGTCATGCATGTTTGGCAGCTGTTGTCGTAAATATCTTTAGAACTGTGCAACAAATGTTAAACTGTAAATATGTTGTTGGATAGATTATGAGTATATCTTTTTTTGTTATAGTAGAATTATAACTGTTTGAATCCATTGTAAGGAAGTAGAATCAATTTTCCATGATGTACCACTGCAGCTACCCTGCATATATAGTTTAACTTTAAGATATACAACTGAAATCCAGATTTGGATTGCTGTCCATTTTCCATGGCGTCTGAAAACTGGCAAGAACTTTGGTCCCCATCAAATTATTCAAATTGACTTCAATTTTCGTACAGGTGTTCCAGTGTTGCCAACTCACCTGACTTCATCTGGTCAACGCAATATTTGTCATAGAATTCACATGCTCAAATTATAAAAAAAATGCTTGAACCTCCTGATACTCTTTACTTTTGATCATTATTTAAAAGTTTGAATTTCAGGTTTTGAATATAAAATATGATGTCATATAGATATAGACAGATGTGAAAATTGATTTTAAGGTCATTTAGCTCAATACCTTTTAAAACATCCTGTCACCCTTGATTTTGAAGACCATGACCAGATTTAATTTGACAAAAAGTTGTTTAGATATAACGTATGTAAATCAGGCATTTGTTTTTAAACAAAGTATTATTAACACCTAACCTTATGGCCCTTTATGTCTGGTTCACATAGAAATGTTGCTTTTCAGTCTTTATGGGAAGACTTTTAGACAAGTTTGAATTTTCTGTAGCTTTTTCTTCTCTTGTTTTATGTGATTTTGACCCTTGTCTGTGACACCTAAATTTATAGCCCTTTACTCCTTGTGTCACAAGTCAACTTCTGTGGTCACTAACTAAATGCAAAGTTCACATAGAAACGTTGTATTTCAGCCAGTGTGTGAAGAATTTGCGACAAGTTTGAATTTTCTGCAGCTTTTTCTTCTCTTGTTTTTATGTGATTTTGACCCTTGTCTGTAACAGGACAGGCAGTGCCCCCTACCAGCAAAGCCAGTAAGTATATAAGCTTGCTTGACTGAGAACGACTGTCACTGATTGACAGATTCAGTAGTAAAGCTTTGATCGTTAGAGCCATTTAGAAGATCATGCATTTATGTACAGTTGTAGTGTTTGTAAATGAACCATACATGAAAAAATATTTTTCTTTTAAGAATCAAAAGGTTTCTAGTTATACTAATGATTTGTTGGTATTGAAAACATGCTGACATTTTATCAGCAAGACCTAGCAACATGCATCAACCAAAGATATTCCTTTGCCCACTATGAAATACAAACAGTTGTCTACTTTTTATCTACCCTCTTTTGTCCATTCAGTATCGTTTTTTTTCAGATATCTCTTAATTTTCAATTTTCTAAAACATCGATCAAATGGTCAGGTTGTTCCTTTTGATATGGAGCAGTTTTCAATTTCAGTGTTTTCATAGCAGGGTTAGAAAAATATATTTTCAGCTACTAGTCTGTGGGGCAAGTGAAACTTGAAATTCACTTGCCCGAATCCAATATTCACTCACCCGAAGAAAAAAAGGCAACAAAACGTAATTTAAGGAGCACAACTTTTTTTATCAATTTCTGTATCAAATGTTTCAACTCAATGTTTGCTTTTATTGTTTTACTCATATTTAATTCACTGTTAACGCAAGCGAGAACATCGACTTTTTGACAGTAACTATGTACACAAAACAATCTTGTTTACAACATTTGTGGTGACATAATAGGTTTTTGCATAGTCTGGATCAGCCCAAGCGTTGACACGTGAAGTAAACAAGGATACTATATCGATATACTTGATCGACTATCAGTGGATCTAAATTAGTTTTAAGAGTGTTTAAGTTAATGCGCATCATTTATTATGGAATATCCAATAGTCAGAACTACAAATTTCACTCGCCCACTGGACAAGTAGCTGAAACAAATCACTCGCCCACAAGTAGCTTTGACTCGTCTAGACTAGCGGAGGAGTGGATTTTTCTAACTTTGCATAGTTACAAGGGAACCATATGGTCAAAATCACTGCTTTCCAACAATGTGGAAGAGTTATTGAACTTTGGGTTTTTAAAGAGCCATCTAAACCATGATCAGAGATCTTCTTAAAAATTGACAAGTTATCTCTTTGAAACTTAAAAATATTTGTTACATAAGGCATGGAACTGGAATCTGATGACTCAGTCCAGCAGTAGAAACTATGTACATGCTTATAGACTGTTGCTTCTTAAAATCGATAGTGTTACGCTGCATGTTTTTAATAAGGCATGTCCATCACTCAAGATATTTCATAATTTACTTCAAAAGAAGTTGTTAAAGTCATTTTTGTCTCGGGGTTGATATAGATTTAACAAACTGGTACTAGATTTCAGGTCTTAGATTGTCTTGGTGTCATTTCTCAAAATCCACAGTGTTTACTAAACAGTCATCATGTATGACTAATGTAAGACTTGATGACTTCATTTCAAAACAAACAGTATTAAGACTTTAAAAACCATAATAATTATATTTGATTAAGACCTGGAGAAAATCAGGAGAATAAACAGCACTATTTCTATAGGCCTGAAGAAGACCTAGCTTAACTTTCTATTCTCTCCTTTGACCTCTCCAGCAAATCAGTTAACTCAGAGTCCAGAATGTTATTTTGTTATCTACATTAACTATCATGTAAATTCTGTCAAACCATTGTTTTAACGATGTTATGTCGGTTCCTGTCTGATTGGTGGATTGGTAGTGTGCGCTTTTTGTCACATGTGTACCATGTAACCATGTATACTGTGTATTTTATATGTACAGGTATGTTAAAGATAATGAGTTAAAAAGAACTCTGCCAGCTGTTTGAATTGGTTGTAAGTGCCATGCATGACAAGCACACACAGTAACTAGACTGCAGTTTGTTGTGGTTGTGCTTTATTATCATGGGTCAGTGTTACTTATGTTCCTCTTGACCTATCTTGTACCAAGTGATTGTCTTCAATTCAGCAACTTCATTTCTGAAGAATTTTTTCCCTACTAATGTAATACATGAATAGACCTCAGTAGAGTTCTTGTGTCAGAGTTCAAAGGTCTAGGAAATATTACCAAAGATATGGAAAGTCAGGGTTCCAAGGTCAAGGTCACTGATAATATGATTTTTGTATGACAGTTATTTTATGAAAATTTGACAATAAACCATTGCTTAAGGGACCAAATACAATATTTTTGTCTAGACTTTTTTATGACTTAAAAATACATTTGTTGGTGTTTGTTGTTAACCTGTTGCCTGTGTGGATGATAAGTTATTTTGTGAGTGGGCATGGTCGCTTTGACAATAGCTAGCTCAACCCAGAAATCTGATTTCGGCAGAAGGAATGCTTTTTTAGTACTTTCAATAGTCAGTTTATGTAATACCATCAGATGCCAAGTGGCAATGGTGGCAGAGTGATGAAAGAGCCTGACCTTTTATCACTACCCCTCCACCTCTGGGTCAAATGGTCAAGGTGTACGTGGGGCAGTCGCAAGGTAGTAGCTGCAGGTCGGTAGACTTTCTCCAAGATCTCTGGCTTTGCTCCACCAACCACACCTAAAACATCCTTAATGATGTTAGCTGTTAATAGGACATAACGCAACAATACATCTAAACCAGATGCAGAATAATGCATAATTACATTATTTAAGGCTTTTTTAGTGCATGATAATCATGTATAGTGTAATGAATCTGTCCCCAAGGTTATGTGAGTCTCATAGGTTTAAATGTTATACTGAAATATACAATGTAGATGTACAAGGATCATGATAGTTGACATGACAAATTATAGACGGTTATGTTATTGATTTCTGATACAATGATTGGACATACGTGTTTGGGTTTTGGTTGGTTTGCGTTTTGATAAAATTGCTATTTTAGTTTAACAAAAGAATTGAAAGATCAAAACTGCTTTATTTGTTTGATCCAAATTCAATACCTATATGTAAAATCATGTTTAAGTTTAAGTTGATTTCCCAAATATGTGTACAACAGAATGTTTTTTGCTATTGAATTATATCTTTCTTAAATATTTATCTATTTGCTTTACAGATCAAGTCACATTACTATAGATTTAAATATTTATGATAGAACTGTTACCTGTACGTGATTAATAATCTCACTTGAAATCCTGTAACATAACCACATTCGAGGAGATGAGGAGATGCTGCAGGATGTCAGCCTTAGACTGATATAAATCTCAGTTGAATGTATAGGAGTCATGGTTTCATTTCTTCTTACATATCATATTTATATCAACATTGTGTAAAAAAGTTCTCAGTTATTTTCATTTCCAGATTTTTTTATTTGATTCTAATAGCCTCCTTTCAATTTTGGACTTATGAGTGAAAGAATACTGAATATGACAAGTTACTAGACAAATCATGGTCAGACAAGACTTTCGAAGTCGCCTTTCATTTTGATGCAGACAAAAAATCCAGCATCGGGCAGCGTGTGAGAATTCCCTTGTCTCTAAATGAAGATACATTAGTCAAAATTGTTGGCCTAGTAATTATGTAACATATTGATTGATTACAACATATATGTACATGCTTTTACTTGTGATATGTGTTGATGTCCCTACATTTTGTTATTGATATCCACTATTAACTCAAAAGTACTGTGCCACCAACTTTTAAACCAGTTCCTGTATTTGAATGCATGCATTCATGTATTGAAACCTAGTTTATACTTGATTTGTGATGTGTAAGATTATTTTAGAAATCTTATCAGTGGTCCTGATTATCACCAATAAATCATCACCTTGACCTTGTAATTTTCCAGCTGGTGGAAAGGTCAAAGGTGACTCACAGAGTGAGTATTTACAATGCTGAGGATGCTCCCCGCTTTGTTGGCTGTTTATACTGTAGTTTTTGCCCCTGATCAATCTGCATGCGCCATTCCATTGATTTTCTCTACTTTTATAATTGATTTTAAAATTGAACCCTCTGAATGTTTATGGAATTGATTTATTATTTTCTCTTTTGATACAGTAAAATTATGTCAAACGATGAAAGCTATCAGTTGTAGAATGGGCATAATGTATGTGTTTTCTTACCACTAATATCACCTCAATGTTTGAGAAGACTTAATTCTCCATTTGTGGGGTTTAGAAAGTTACATATGGTTTGTCATTTGCAGGCACCAAAGTGCATGTTATCTCAATGATCTGTAGACTGTTGGTGGGTTAAACGCATCACTGAACAATCACCTTATGATACCACAACTAAACCATCAATACCAGTCTGATTCATGATATACTTTGTAGATGATAGATCTCCATTATACATATGTTAATTTATAAAAGAAAGCACTTTGTTGGAGCTGTTTTTCTTTACTTTTACTTATATGTTATTGTTATGAAGTTTTGAAGTAAAATCTATAATTTGGTACTCTGAAATAGGAATAACTGACTTCTTTAAAAATTCTGTGAAAAAAATGACCAAATTGAAAAAAAATCATAAACATTTTATCGAAATGTATATTTTTGAAATTCATGCATGTCCCTCTTAAACATGAAATTCAGAATAAAGTGATAAGAGGATGTAGGTGTAAGTGTCTGTGAGAGACGGTATGGGTGTCTCAGTTTGCATGTTGTAGATGTTATGCTGATTGTTGCTGGTATTCCTATTTTACGTGGCTGAGATCGCTTTAATGCTGACTGTAGATTTGATATCGGTATAATATTTATTGTTGGATGGAGTTTTGAAGAGTTGTCCTGGGAGTGTATTTTTTAGCCATTTTTGATGAGCCTGAGTACTTATGATACATGTCGTTTATTTTGGTCTCATATATATTTCATTTTGGTCTCCTGATTTATTTGCTGGTAATTATAATCAGTATTAGTGGTTTGAAAGCAAACAGGCAAACCCAAGCATGCTCTTTGAATACTCTTTAATTATGTTATTTATTTCTGAAAATTTACCAAGTAGGGATAGAGAGAAAGATGGTTAGAGACAGGAGACAACTTAAGTAGTATAGATGAATTTTGATTGGTTTTTAGTTTAGGAAAACAACTTTAAAAAGACTGTTCCTGCTTTAAAACATATGATGGGCTTCATTGTGATAATCATTAGAGTATATTCTGGGTTTGCACAAAACATAAGAAAACTGTTAATGTTAGACATCGCTTACCAGGTAATTACTAGTACTGAAGATTTAATACAGTGACAAGGTTTTTAGGCGAAATGAAACACAGGTTTGGTTTCAGCCTATTGTCACAGCCTTTGGAACTAGTTGATACTACCAATGCTAGCTTTCTGATTGGTGGAAATACTCCAACTATTTATCAGGGACTACTGTTGGCAGTGGTATGCTTTAAGCAATGCTGCCATCTTATAAAACAGTGTCATGTATGTATGCTCTCGCTATGAGCCAAACAAGTATTATACTAAAAACTTACCTAACTGACAGACTAGGTGGTCTTATAAATATTCTGATAGAGATGTTTGTCAATCACAAACCAGCATTGCTCTAGTTTGCAGAAGGTTCTTGGGGGTGGGAAAATACGACAGAACAAACAGAGTTAGGGTATCATTGACAGCTATTCTTAGTGTGATCTGTCTAAAAGCTGTGAATAAGTGATAATCAGTGACAGCAAGAGTCGTAAAGAATCTTCAGAAAATATATTTTATAGTTAGCGACATTAGATATGACCACGAAGTCTTATGTTAAGATTTGTAAAATAAATGATTGAGTAATGGAGAGTTCATTTTTCTGGATCACTGGCAGCATTGTAAACTGTCTATCACAAGGGAGACAGTGTCTTCAATTGTTCACAGTAAAATACTAAAAGTAAGCAACATCAAAAGGAATGTGTTTAGAATAAATCATTAAATACTTGTATCATCAACAGCTGGGCACATGTGTGTACGTTTTATACAAATACCATGGGTAATTGTGATGGGTTTTCAGACACAATTGCCTAAAATACTCACAGAATTAGCAACATCAAAAGATGTACAGTATTCTAATATGAATGTAATATACTATTGTACAGAGTTTTATGTTTGTCAAGTTTATTGAGTTGTGGAGACAAAAATTTTCCATAAATGCTGACAGTACATGTTTGTAATTGTGTATTGCACTGTTAGCAGAGTCATCTTGTTATCTGTTGATTTAATAGGGGAATAAAACCTACCAGAGTATTCAGCCAATAATTTTTTTATAACTACAACTATAAAATCTAAGCCTCACAGATATGTTTCGTAAACACCACTGAGGACAAAATTAATTGATGATAAATCTGTAGTCGTAAGGCTTAATATAGACTCTACATACTAACACGTCAACTTCTGCCAATACACAAGCAAGTAGACAAATGTGTACATGGTTTCTCCATTGTGATGTTCAACAGTCTAAAAAGTTTTTCAAAAGATATGTTCTATACAGGCGACTGATCGGTAATTTCCAATCTTGCTAGTTGCTGTCACATGATGATGTTGACTAGGTTAATTTGCATTGATGAATACAGTAATTATGCTATTTATTTTTGTTGCTCATAAGTTTTGGCATACCAGATAATCAATTATGGCGGCCTTACAAAGTCTTTGCAATTTCTACAAAAAAAATTAAGAATAATTCTGTAGCTATGTAATGTGCCTACTTTTGGACTTTTGATTTTTCATGCATGGGTTTTTACGGTAGCAAAATAAACCATTTGTAATGTGTTGAAAAGTTTTGTCATGGGTTCAATATTCAGTACCAATGCTAGTGACAGTCTCTTGACTTGGAATTTGTAATTGTCTTTTGAATCATATATTTTGTAAAAAATTCACTGATTTGATGGAAAATGTATTCAAAATTTCAAATTTAGCAGTTGATAGTCATCTTCTATAATACTTGATTGTTTTGCATGTGATGGATTCTATCTTACAATTAAAGTTACCGATAATGTATGTTATCAACATGTTTAGCCTTTCAGTAGTTTCTGTACTTGAAGTTGTTGAATCTGTTTCTCAGTTCAAAAAGTTTATACATTTATATAAAATTTGATACTGAGAATGCAGTCTCATGATATTATAAATTTCTCATTGCTGTTTGTGTTCTACTTACTGTCAATGCTTACCATAATACACCAGTTGAAGCCATATGTATACAAAAAGCCTGATATCAACTGTTCATCTTTAAATTAGAATAGGTTTAAACAAAATTTATATTTGACTGCACTATCAATGCTGAAAGTGTACTTTATCAATGCTGAAAGTGTACTTTTAAATTTTCAATATTGACAGTGAATTTTGTCATGACTGAATACCGGTATGTACTTTATGAATATGTCCTTTGTCAATATTGACAGTGAACTGTCGATGCTGAATATGTTCATAAACAATACTGATAGTGAACTTCATCAATACCTCAACAAACAACAAGTCTGGACATTATTAATTAGATTGATATACTATTTAGAAATAGACATTAGATCTGTAAATTATACTCCCTATGTACGGACTTGTATTTATTTCGAATTTCCAATAGGTTTTAAGAGAAACATTATCAATGTTGGCCTAAATGTACAAAGACTTCCATCAATTTGACTAGAGATTTCATGATGATATTACTAATGTCATATATGTTTGTCATATTGTTTTCTATATGTTTTTGTATTTTACTTGTTTTTACAGCTTCACTACTGATGTAGCACTTTAACAAACCTAATTATATATGTGTTAGAGTCTCTAACAAAATGTCTTTATACAAGATCCTACAGATGTTTTGTGTTTACTTTTGTTCAACTTAATATCTTGTTTCCTTTATACTTTGTTGTAGGTATGCGACCAGGTATGTCCCCAGGCATGCCCCCACCCCCAGGGCCACCAGGCATGCAGGGACCTATGGATCGGAAACGACCCCCAGACCCCCGGGCAGCCCAACACATGAAGACGTAAAGAGCATTTTCTTATTTTTAAATCAGTATTTGTTTGTAATGTACACATTCTTTGTACAAATGTTTAGTTTCACCTTAAATTATGCTTTCATGCTATGCAATTGATAGTAAAGAAATATTTGTGACATTGATAGCAGAAAAATCTGTATTGATTGTTGAACCCTAAAAGCTTTTTATTTGGACCACTGGTCAGACATATAAAGTACTGGTGTGAATGTAGATTGTTTTGATAATGAGTTTTATACTGTATACTTACCATTACCAAATGTCTCTTTAAATTTAGGAAGAAGAAGAAGAAAGTTGCTGATAAAATTCTTCCTCAAAGAGTAAGTGAATTAATGGCCAGTATATGTTAATTATCTCTCATACCATCAACAAAATATTTTTACGACTAGAGGTAGGAATGTTTATCAGGTATATAAAGTCCACAGGCTAAATTTAATGTTCTGTGATGTCTGAGGTTAGAGGACTTAAAGGGACATCACAGTAAAAACATTAATTTTGTTAATAATCGTACAAGTTTTATACATTTCAAGTTACGTTTCTATCCTATCCCAATATTCACAGTCAATGTCCCATGTCCAGCTTGACCCGTTCTTTGGTTCGGGAAATGCATCTAAAGTTCAGTGCTGATAACATTAATATAAGAATTTTGAAAAAGAGAATGTTCATATTGTAAACATGAATACATGATTGCAGACAGTGACAGTAGTGACACAGTCAGTTAAATTTTGTAATGGGTGTGGCAAATGTTTTTAGATAAGTCATAAAGTCAGTTCAGAATTACAAAATAAGTATCATTAATCGCCAGCTGATTGAGGCGGGAAGCCATTTTTTTTTTACAGGTGACAGCATTTTATGTTCATGCGTCATCATATATAATGCAAAAATATCCTGATGTTGATCAACAGATATGGAATTTCTTTTCATAATCATTAATTAACACCTTTATATGCAAATTTAAAAAAAAACTAACTGTCATTGAACATAGGGTAATACATTTGATTTATGTATACAGTAATTGAAAAATCAGTAGAGGAAAAAATCTTTTAGCATAATTATCTGGTGAATCTGGTAGGCCTGATGTAAAATTCCATATTATAGTATATCAATATCATATTATTATGTTGGGTATTGGTTGTCCAAGTCAGATTCATTTTTAACATTATAATCTACCATTGATTACTTAGTTCACATGTTTATCGCATACAACTAAAGGTAAAATCTTGTGTTAGCTCAGTCGATGGAGCATCGGTATACACCACCTCAAAGTTGTTCAGTGAGGTAGAGACCAGCTACTACAAGGACCTTTACTGTCAGTTTTACTGTAACCACATTGTTCTATTTGATGATTATAAGAAGTGAATTTAATGACAGCATGATCTTGGTGATTGCATTATTCTTTATGTAATAGTTGACCTTTTGACCTTGTTACTTACTATCCAGGTAAGGGACTTGGTGCCAGAGTCACAAGCCTATATGGATCTGTTAGCGTTTGAGAGAAAACTTGACACAACCATCATGAGAAAGCGACTGGATATTCAGGAAGCTCTCAAACGACCAATGAAGGTAATTCTTACATGATGTCATTGTTATATCCCAGAATCACTTCTCTATCTTTCACTGTGAGTAACTCTGATGTAACCACCTTTTTTATTGACTGAGGCTTGGTCATGTGACCTCTCTGAGCAGATCAATATTAGAAAGTGTTTCACAAAAAAAATGGATTATATGTATAAAGGTTTGGATCCATCAGAGCTCACAACACAATAAGTTATCGAAATAGCTCGACCAGTAAAGGTAATTCTTATATAGTAAATGATTAAAAAACCCTAAAACAACTAATAGTTTTAATAAAGCTCAGGAGAACTGGACCCATGTATGAGAAATCTGGTGTATCAAGGTTTTGTGTGTGTACATATGAAGCTAAGATTAGAGGCAATTCTCACTCGGTATGTTAAGTTCATTTCATTTAACCACTTCATGTTATACCAGATAAGTTGATAAATTGCTTCTTTATATTTTCAGCAAAAAAGAAAACTTCGTATTTTCATTTCCAACACATTCTACCCGGTCAAGCCTGAAGGGGAGGTAACTGTATAATATGTTACTAGATTTTGTGGCTCAATACACTTTTGTAAACTATCTGATGAGAAAACAGAATTACTCTAAATTTATGATGTTGACATGGCTCCACAGAAGTGAAAAATAAGGTGTGCATATTTTTTAATGGAAAAGGAAAACTGGTCTCAGGTTTTTAATACCTCATTATACTGCCTTTGTTTATCCAGTGTCATTTTGTCCAAAGTTTGATAATAAAGATGTATTCATGAAGAACGGACAATGTTGACACTAGTTGGGGACAAAATAAACAATGACATATTAGCTTGGGGGATGGGGACATTATATGAAAGAAATTTTAGGGGTTGGGGGACATGAAGTTGAGGGGGAGTATATTGAAAGAAGGGTATAATATCGGGGATAGGCAGTTCTATAGGGTTCTAACTATAGATGTTATGATTATTGAGCTTCCTTATTCATTCTCATTAAAACTATTCTTTAGAAAAAATAGAGAAATGTGATATATTGATTCCTTTAAAACATAATCCTGAATGCTGAATACATAAAGGTGGCTATTCTTGTGGATGAGGGAATATATGCCTTGGAAAAAGATCAACAAAAATGACAAATTTATAACAAAGAAAATAAAGTTGGCAAGGAAAATTAAAGTCTATTTCATGACTATCTTGAAAAGTAAGTGTTTTAGTAAAAATATGAACAATTCAAAGATGTTTAAATTGATTTTTATTACCTCTATTTATAGGACGGAGAGGAATCTGTAGCCTCGTGGGAGCTTAGAGTAGAAGGAAGGCTCCTTGAAGATGTAAGCCAGAGTTGATCATCCATTAATATCATCATTTTATTTAAAAACTAAACCACAACATCATTGTCAAGAAGTTTCTTCATCTCCCAGATTGGTGCTTATTTTCAAATAGAAGAAATAGAATAGACGTTATGTTGGTGAAAAAAACTAAACTATGAGTTAATGCTGAAGGAAATACACAAGTTTATCATGTAAGTTATCATTATAATGTTACAAAATTATACCTCATCTATGTTTTTATTTTGTTAGTCAATGAGTGCTAAGCTTGGAAGTGACCCAGCCAAGGTCAAGAGAAAGTTTTCCTCTTTCTTCAAAAGTCTTGTAATCGAGCTTGACAAGGACTTGTATGGACCAGACAATCACTTAGTGGAGGTGAGTTTTAGATGTAGACCAGACAATGACTAAGTGGATATTCATTTTAGAAAACACAGTGTTGATTTGATATCTCCGAGTTGTATTTTGGATGCATCCCAATACTGGGAGATATTTGGATGTGCAGGATGTAGAACAGATGTATTGGACAAATACAAATGTATCAGACTCAGTGCGTCAGTGAGGGACTGTAATTCATTCAATTATCTTGTTAAAACACTATTGCATAGTACTCCTTTAAAAAGCCAGGGTCGGGATACTGTGTTTTACTGGGGGAAAATCTTGAAAGATGTTGAATTGCTTGTTGACTATAATAATGTGTTTTCTATTGTTATCAGTGGCACAGGACACCTACCACACAGGAAACAGACGGATTCCAAGTGAAACGTCCAGGAGATCAGAATGTTAAATGTACAGTTCTGCTAATGCTGGACTATCAGGTAATAAATGGATCAGAATTGTTTAGGTTACTGTAAACCAACTTTATTTTGTGGCTACTAACTTTCACAATTTCAGTAATGTAACTTGTTTATATCGATTAATTTTCACCTTTTCTAAGCCACCATTTGAAAATACAAAGTGCATGTTCTTCATTTAAATGTAGGAAGCCCCATATAGTTTTGTATAAAGGAGACACCCTGTAGGGAGTCCCTTATGACTTTGTATAAAGGAGACAACCTGTAGGGAGCTCCATATGGCTTTGTATAAAGGAGACACCTTATAGGAGCTTCATGAGATTTTGTATAAAGGAGACACCTTATAGGGGCTTCATGAGATTTTGTATAAAGGAGACACCTTATAGGAGCTTCATGAGATTTTGTATAAAGGAGACACCTTATAGGAGCTTCATGAGATTTTGTATAAAGGAGACACCTTATAGGGGCTTCATGAGATTTTGTATAAAGGAGACACCTTATAGGAGCTTCATGAGATTTTGTATAAAGGAGACACCTTATAGGGGCTTCATGAGATTTTGTATAAAGGAGACACCTTATAGGGGCTTCATGAGATTTTGTATAAAGGAGACACCTTATAGGAGCTTCATGAGATTTTGTATAAAGGAGACATTCTGTTGGGAGCTCCATATGACTTTGTATAAAGGAGACATTCTGTAGGGATCTCTATGACTTTGTATAAAGGAAACACCCTGTAGGGAGCCCCATATGACTTTGTATATAGGAGACACCCTGTAGGGAGCCCCATATGACTTTGTATAAAGGAGACATTCTGTAGGGAGCCCCATATGACTTTGTATGAAGAAGGCATCCTCAAGGGTGTTCCATATGAATTTGTATAAAGGAGACACACTGTAGGGAGCCCCATATGACTTTGTATAAAGGAAACACTCTGTAGGGAGCCCCATATGACTTTGTATGAAGAAGGCATCCTAAAGGAGACCAAGTCATGCAGACATACCATAGATCTCATTTACTAAACATAGAAGACCCACAACGATACAGTTAATCTTGAATATGACTCCTACCAATCAACCCAAGAGTCTTGATTTTGATTATTCGTTCTTAAAATTGCAGCCACCACAGTTTAAGTTAGACCAACGACTTGCCAGACTACTGGGTGTCCACACTCAGACTCGTCCTGTCATTATTAATGCCCTCTGGCAATACATTAAAACACATAAGCTGCAGGATCCACATGAACGAGAGTTCATCAACTGTGACAAGTACCTGGAACAAGTAAGTGGAATCTGTCAGTACAGTAGACATCAATGTGTTTAGGTATCCATGTTGTTTACAACTGTAGCATCCTGTATCATACCATCAGTGTAATCTGTCAGTACAATAGACATCAGTGTGTTTAGATATCCATGTTGTTTACAACTGTAGCATCCTGTATCTTACCATCAGTGTAATCTGTCAGTACAATAGACATCAATGTGTTTAGATATCCATGTTGTTTACAACAGTAGCATCCTGTATCATACCACCAGTGGAATTTGTCACTACAATAGACATCAATGTGTTTAGGTATCCATGTGGTTTACAACTGTAGCATCCTGTATCATACCATCAGTGTAATCTGTCAGTATATTAGACATCAATGTGTTTAGGTATTCATGTTGTTTACAACAGTAGCTACCTGTATAATACCATCAGTGTAATCTGTCAGTACAATAGACATCAGTGTGTTTAGATATCCATGTTGTTTACAACAGTAGCGACCTTTAACACTACATCATAATATTTATAGATATTTGAGACACCGAGGATGAAGTTTGCCGAGATACCAGGGAAACTACACAGTCTACTGATGCCGCCTGATCCCATTGTCATTAATCATGTTATTGTGTAAGTCAGATCCGAAAATCACATCTTCTCAGGTTTTCTAAGTTTTCTTTTAATTATGCAACTGTCGGATCAAAATCTCAGAGCACAATGATCATCATAAATTAAATCTGACATGATCAACGATACTTTGAGTATATAACATAAAAATCTGATGTGTAAAGTCAAGTGGCTGTGAACTTGTGAGGTAGAAATTACAAAGTGTAGAAAATGTCAAAGGAAGCATACAGTGAGTTACAGATTTCAACAGAAAGTTTTGGTTATAATTGAACTCCATGTTATATTCTGGCATAGGATTTTGATATTGATCTCCAATTAAGATGTTCTGGAACTGTTATACGTGAAAAAATGGTTTACAAGAGATGATGATAAGATGACAGTGAGATGTGTTTGTTTATGTTGTAGTGTGGAGGGACCAGATTCGAGGAAGACTGCCTGTTATGATATTGAAGTGGAAGTTGTAAGTCAGATTCATGCTCTAGTCACCGTAAAAAAGAGCTTTAAAATCCTGTTATATTTGTTAGAACTATTGACATTCTTAAGCCATGAATTTATTTGTCTTCAAATCAACAAAGACATGAATTTATGTATCTAAAGATGAAGAAAGACATGAATTTATGTATCTACAGATCAAGAAAGACATTAATTTACATGTCTATGAATCCTTTTGAATGAGTCATGAGTCGGGCATGCGGCTTATATACTGGTGTGATTTATATGTGAACAAAAAAAATCAGCAGGATAAAAAAAAAGAAAGGGTCCCAGTACAAAACCGTACTGAGGTTTTTAACAAGTACCTGCCAATCAGATAACCATTGTTTGCAATTGTATACAGGACAATTTGATGATTGAAATAAAAATAACATTCTTGTTGATTTAATTAGTGACACCTTTTAATATGAATCACAATGATATCTTTGGACGTTAGCTGTAACTTACAAGAAATAATATGGAACTACAGGAATTTGGTCAGCATGCAAGGGCCTTTGTTAATATTTAACAGTAAAGACACCAATGGAGATGTTGTTAAAAAAAACTGTACATAATGTCAGGACCTATATCTGTGTGTAGACATTCTGAAGGCACCCAAGTCAAACAAGTTTAATATTTGCCATTAAACATTTCTTTAAATACCGGTAATTAAAATAAAGGACTTTTTGTGTATAATTTATTTGCAAAACTTTGGTCAAGGTAACGGTTACCACTTCATAAGAAAACCGGCTTATATTCTGGTATGGCTTAAATGTAGATAAAATATAAAGAATCAGTAAAAAGCATCTCTGCAGCTTGTGTAATCGGATGGCTTATAACTCGGAAAATACATTTTAGACTGTGTAGATATGTTGATAGAATTTTGGATGATTTTTGTCACTTTTAATTCAAATATAAAACACATTTTGTTTGTCTTTGCTGATGACATCAGAAGAAAGTTATTTTAATGCCTGGAAAATAATTGTAAAAAGCTTCTAAAATTTCAATATGACTTAGTAAGGAGTTTTACTTTCAGGATGATACGCTGAAGCAGCAAATGAACTCATTCCTCTTGTCGACACAGAGTCAGCAAGAAATAGCAAGCCTCGATTCCAAGGTCAGTCAAGCATCATCGTGTCACCATGTGTACTATAACATCTAAAGTTATGATTTAGTACTTAAGCCACCCATGACATTGGATAATTTCACTAAACTCAACAGGTCATGGACCTGATAGATTCTCTTTATTACAGAACAATTTTCCTCCAGTTTCTAATGAGTCTGTTTTCCCCTTCTCCAGGCTTTAAAATACTTAATTGCCTTTTTCAACCAATGCATTATTTATGTTTCATATGGATAGAAGGCCAAATCAATAGTTATTCATTTTAAAGAGAGGACATAATCTTTATCCTGAAGCGAGGCTTCCTTCTCTAGTTCCCTGATACTCTTTATGTAAGGCTGATACCTGAAACTGTTTATTTGTCCTTACCATGAAATATTTTCCAAATAATATTGCAATTTTTTCTTGTTTTTGTGTATTTTTCATAGATTTTAATTATGAAACTTAATGAAATTTTGCTCACAAATGAGCAACCATCAGTAAGATAATTACTCTTTTTTTAATTACACCAAAACAGCTGTTAGTAATATCATTATTCTTTCTTTGATCACACCAAAACAGCTGTGATCAAAGAAAGAGTAAGGACCTTAACAACAGCTGCTTTAGTCTGATCATTGTGTATCTCATTTGGTTAAATTGTATTTTGGTGTTTAGATTCATGAGACTGTGGAGACCATTAACCAGCTGAAGACCAATCGTGAATTCTTCCTTAGCTTTGCCAAAGATCCCCAGGAATTCATAAATAACTGGCTCATCTCCCAAACACGTGACCTTAAGGTAGGTATCTCCCAAACATGTGACCTTAAGGTAGGTATCTCCCAAACATGTGACCTTAAGGTAGGTATCTCCCAAACATGTGACCTTAAGGTAGATATCTCCCAAACATGTGACCTTAAGGTAGGTATCTCCCAAACATGTGATCCCATGTTAGGAATCTCCCAAACATGTGACCTTAAGGTAGGTCTCTCCCAAACACGTAATCCCATGTTAGGAATCTCTCAAACATGTGACCTTAAGGTAGGTATCTCCCAAACACGTAATCCCATGTTAGGAATCTCCCAAACATGTGACCTTAAGGTAGGTATCTCCCAAACATGTGTCCACAAGGTAGGTATCTCGCAAACATGTGTCCAAAAGGTAGGAATCACAAAACATGTGTCCACAAGGTAGGAATCTCTCAACATGTGTCCACAAGGTAGAGATCTCCCAACAGGTGTCCACAAGGTAGGAATCTCCAAACATGTGTCCACACGGTAGGGATCTCCCAACATGTGTCCACAAGGTAGGAATCTCCCAACATGTGTCCACAAGGTAGGAATCTCCCAACGTGTGTCCACAAGGTAGGAATCTCCCAACATGTGTCCACAAGGTAGGAATCTCCCAACATGTGTCCACAAGGTAGGAATCTCCCAACATGTGTCCACAAGGTAGGAATCTCCCAACATGTGTCCACAAGGTAGGAATCTCCCAACATGTGTCCACAAGGTAGGAATCTCCAAACATGTGTCCACAAGGTAGGAATCTAAATACGTGTCCACGAGGTAGGAATCTCCCAACATGTGTCCACAAGGTAGAAATCTCCCAACACGTGTCCACAAGGTAGGAATCTCCCAACATGTGTCCACACGGTAGGAATCACAAAACATGTGTCCACAAGGTAGGAATCTCCCCAACATGTGTCCACAAGGTAGGAATCTCCCAACACGTGTCCACAAGGTAGGAATCTCCCAACACGTGTCCACAAGGTAGGAATCTCCCAACACGTGTCCACAAGGTAGGAATCTCCCAACACGTGTCCACAAGGTAGGAATCTCCCAACACGTGTCCACACGGTAGGAATCACAAAACATGTGTCCACAGGGTAGGAATCTCCCAAACACGTGTCCACAGGGTAGGAATCTCCCAACACGTGTCCACAAGGTAGGAATCTCCCAACACGTGTCCACAAGGTAGGAATCTCCCAACACGTGTCCACAAGGTAGGAATCTCCCAACACGTGTCCACAAGGTAGGAATCTCCCAAACATGCAATCTAATGTTAGGAACCAACTTTGGTAATATCTCCTGGGTCATATAATGGTTGCTATACTGATAATATCTTCTATTTGACTTCCATATGGTATGTGTTGTATATCTTAAACACACTGAGTTTCATAAACTGTTCTTTTTATATGCATTCATCATGATGAGCTTTACCTCTCTCAGCTTGTATATTAACGTTGTAGACAGTTATATATCTATAATAATTTTTATTGTTTACTTGTGATTGTTATACATCATCGTGTATGGTGATTGAATAGATTTATAAGTGTATTTACGATGGTATGATTGCAATGAGATGCAGGCATATACTTTGTAGTATATTAGCTATAAAAACTGTACATTCTGCTCATTCTTTTCAGTCCTGCTTATTATTTACCGTTAAACATACATACTGAATTCTTATCGTATTTATTTTAAAAATTAATGTCTCCTTGAGCACAAATTCCTTCAGCGTAATCTTTCTCCCAGTGTATTTAAATTAAAAAGTGCACTAAGTTTCAAATATATATAATAATTATTTATTTTATAATTTCAGACAATCACAGATGTTGCTGGCAACCCAGAGGAGGAGAGACGAGCTGATTATTACTACAAACCGTGGTCTCAGGAGGCGGTTTGTCGATACTTCTATGGCAAGGTAGGACTGTCACTGTTATACTGCCTCACATACTAAGCATTTTCTTTAAAAGAGAAAGACAGCTATGCTTGATTATTTTCGAATGGACAAATGATTCATTTTATTGACAAAAAGAGCATATGCATTTGCTTCTGGATGATTTCTGTGAAATAGGCATTTCTGTACTTTATTTGTACACAGTTACACATGAATGCAGACTTTTGTTTTGTTCAAGATCTCTTCATAATATTTCTTTCCTTTCATATAAATTTTGACTCAATGTATTACAAATTTTTTGTTTTTAATTGATCAATTTTTTTTATTTGATCATTTATCAACATTCTAGTGACACTTGTTCATATTGGTTATTCTAGGTACAGCAAAGACGAATGGAATTGGAGCAGGCACTGGGTATACGCAATACATAACACACCCATCATCATCATCATCGTCGTCATCGTCATCTAGACATTCATTCAGCAGGCTCTCACCATGTCTGTGTGGCAGATTTATAGACTGGAGCATTTTCTGTTAGGATTGTTTGGTAGTAGATATTGTGCTGTGCTGGCCAAGGACAACAACAATTTCATATGTATTGTAGATAAAGTCTGGGATCTAGATAAAGTAGGGTCTAGACTAGGTAAAGTTCTGGATCTAGACTGTAGATAAAGTATGGGATCTAAATTATAGATAAAGCCAAGTTTTATTTAAGTCCACTCTATAGACTTCTGGGTTGAGATCAAGCCAGTTGTGATAGATTACTTGGAGTGGATTTGCATGCTTCATAAATAGAGTTTGCAACAAAAAAAGAGAGAAAACAATTCTAGTTTTAATTAAGGATGTATCTGGATGGATACTTTTATAAACGTAAAAATCACCAGTGGACAAAAGATCATTTAACTTGTTGAGATCTATTGTATACCAAGACTAGGAATATGTGAATGAATTTAACTCTGTCATACTTCAGATATCATCAGGACAAATGTCCTGTTAAAATCATCATTTTGTTCTATTCATGTTGCACTTATTTTTGTAGTCTGACAAAGTGTCTGGATAAAACTTGTATATTTGATGTACATATTACAGGAAATAAATCTCGTGACACTGTGTGAATGACTTAGTGTTATGTCTATAGTAAAGGTTAAGGGAAGGTGATAATTTTCACTACAGGGTTACAGAAGATGGTAGGATCAACCTGTAATTGTAACCTGTAATTCTACCATTATCACAAATTGTAAGGGTTGGTGTGACCCTTAGAGGAAAGGTCTACGGTGGCCATACCACTGTGACATATCACAAGGGATGTTGTGACTCTTGAGAGGAAAGTTCTACTGTGGCTATACCACTGTGACATATCACAAGGGTTGGTGTGACCCTGAGAGGAAAGGTCTACTGGGGCCATACCACTGTGACATATTACAAGGGTTGGTGTGACCCTGAGAGGAAAGGTCTACTGGGGCCATACCACTGTGACATATCACAAGGGTTGGTGAAATTCCAATTGAAAAGTCTACTGGGCACCTACCTCTGACACATAAGGTAGTTGAGATCCTGATTGGAGTTCTACTGGAACTTAACCAGTGTGACGAATCGAGGGTTGTTGAGACCCTGATTGGAAAAGTTTACTTGGACGGTACAACTGAGAAACATCATAATGGCTGATGAGACTACGATAGAAAAGGTCTACTGGGGCCCTTCTATTGACATATCAAGAGTTGTTGAGACCCTGATAGGAAAGGTCTACTGGTGCCCTACTACTGGCACATCAAGAGCTGTTGAGACCCTGATAGGAAAGGTCTACTGGTACCCTACTACTGACACATCAAGAGTTGTTGAGACCCCGATTGGAAAGGTCTAGGGGGCCCTACTACTGAAACTTAAAGAGTTGTTAAGACCCCGATTGGAAAGGTCTAGGGGTCCTACCATTGTGATAGTCATTCCCAAAATCATGAGAAATGAATTAACAAGACTACAACAGGTGGAACAACACGTACCCATCCCATGCCAATGAAATATTCATGATCCTGTCCAAAAGAATCCAAATATGGAAACGGTAATTATGTCTGAAAACGTAAAGAGATGGGAAAATGTCAAAGAAATTGGTGAACGACCGGGAGAGGATATATTGGCACACGATAAGAAAGAAAAAGTAATAATAATAAACGAAGGGCCATAACTCTTCCAACGTAGAAAAATCGCATTGCTATCAAGGAATACCATATTTTATATAATGTTTTAAAAGCCTATCAAGTTGAAGAGAAATTGCAGGAAAATGGGAACAGAAATCTTTGTGCTAAATCAAATGTGAAAAAAATGACACTAACTCAATCAAAAAGTATTGAGTCTAACTGTTAACGAAAACACAATCCCTTGTCATAGCCATCAATTTTACCAAGTTTGAAAGAAATAGATTGAGAACTTAAGAGAGATTGACATTAAAAAACACGAGAAGTGTCTCTGACAAAAAGGAATAATCCTGAAATGGTTTTACGAACGTTTTTTTTTTTTTTTTTATAATACATATTTTTTTAAACATCCCTAAAAACATCAAGATCTGGAATGAATTTCAAAAAAACTACAAAAATATAGGCTGGACTAAAATATTTTCTTTCAGGTATGTTTGATTTTCAATATGATAGTTATGGCAGCCATCTTGGAACTCATAATGTTTAACATTAAAGTAATAATTTTCACTTCTTCTTACTCGTGGGTTATTTATTTGGAATGAAATAAAAAGGAAACTTTACCAATTTTTATATGTGGTTTCCAATATGGTGGGCATGGTGGCCATCTTAAAATGCAATTCAACATAAAATTCTTTCCATGATTTAGGAATAATGATTTATTCTTACCACTGGAAGTCTTTAAATTCCTAGTCCTCCGGTAGAAGTGATAGCATTTGCCCAAAATTTGCTGTGAAGCATTCTTGGGTAAAAGGGATTAATTTTTGTAAAAATAGTGGGTTCAACCCCTGGGGCGGGAAGGGCAGGATCCATTATAGCAGAAATAGAACTCTTTTTTTTAATTTTTAAATATTTCTTCTGTAGGATTCGCTGGATTTTTTCTCAATTAAGTCTTATGCTTGAATGTTTGATTGACTCCCAAGGGACAGAGGTTGGGGAACCAATGGGAAAATAGATATATTTGTGTTGTGTGCTTGGATATGTAGAATTCCTTTACCTATAGTTTGGATGAAGCCATTTCAGCCAAGCATAGCCATATGGCTTCTTAGTTTCAAACATAGTACTGTTTAAAAGAAATAAAAAGGTCAAAAATAATTTTGAATGAATTCAAAAGGAAACTTTAGCCAACATATCTACAAAGGCCAGAATAAGCATTTTCGTTTTAGTCATGTGTGATCTCCAATATGGTAGCCGTGGCAGCCATCTTTGACCTAGGTTTAATATCAAGTTTTTTTTTCAAAACAAAATAATTACCATCTCTGAAACAGTTTTTATTGTAAACCAAGTTTTTGAAGGATAAGTGAGCGGTAAATGGGGACTGTTTTTTATCGTTCCACATACCCGCATTGGTTCTGTCGGAGCTAGCGTTATAGTGAATTCACAGCAAGATTCGAGGTTGTTTTAACGTCTTGGCGCCCTGTCGGAGCCTAATTGTACTTTTGACAATATTATAAGTTTACATGACCTAATTGTCTCAAATTCATCTGTATAATGAAAGGGACGCGTCACAAGGCTTTTGTATGTCAAGGCAGACCAGAACAAGGGTTAAGAATGCTTTTCTAGCGATTTGACAAGAAATTGAAAGATTAGACAAAGACTAGTAATATCACCGTCTTTCTGTTATCAAGGCATGCTTTAATCCATTCGGCTGACGCGTTTCAGAAGATACGGAATAAGTACACAGTGTATAGGAGTTGTGCTGACATTATCAGATCTATAAAGGCGTTACGAAAATTATTATTGAATTATTGAGTAAATGCACCTGTCCATCTATATTTTTATATTTCTTTCGGTCATTGGTTTTCTTCAGTCGCCTCCTAGACTTCACAGATTAGGCCCTTAACATCACTAACGAGACCTAGGAAAAAGAAACAGATATGATGCAGTTTAACTCGTTATTTTGCTCTACTGTATCTAACTCTGTTGCAATGAAAGGTACTACAAGATACAAGAATTGTTACTTTTTGTCGTTTATAATAAAACATGTAATGTTAGCCCCAGAAAAGCTATTATTACGACAAAATTCACTAAAGCTTTTCACTTATGCCTTTACTACAATCTTGAGAATTGGATACAGTAGAACAGGATACTGAATTAAACAGAATACATAACTGCTTTGTCCTTCTAGGACTCATCAGTGATACTATATCAATTATATAGACAATTACATAAATGGGATGTTTTCTACCACAATATGTTATGTTATTCCACTCTCAAACCATTGTGTATATGACCTTCCGGTCTTTTGATTGGTTTAGACGTTGGCGGAAAGGTGCTTACGCCCTTGTGGAATTTGAAATAAACAAATCACGACCATTTTTGTAGTAATTTAGTATTAATGAGGATCATCTCTTTGGAGATAACAAACCAATGTATTACTTGTTATGATTTGTATTGAATTTCAAGATTTTCACGTACATCCAAAATTGTCGACACATTAATTAGCGACATTTCATTACAGGCGAAAATCATTACACAAGCTGGTGAAGAGCAAGTCAAATCACCCTCGGAATAACGTTTACAGTGGTACAAACATCGTAACATCTCGTGGTTGTTGTAAATTTTGTACATGATATTTCTTTCACTATTGTTACTTATTTTTCAACAGTTGAAAAACATTCACTAAAATTTGTGTTTTCTGTAACTTTTTAAAAATAATAAACTCGAACTAATGTGTAACCTCTTCATCTTTACTATGATATAGCGTGGCTACAGTGTAACCTTACCAAAGTCATTTGTGTATTACCAGGTCATGAACTGCCATCGGAGTAGGAATATTGTCATTATTTAAATCAAATGGAGATTACCTTACCTTAAGTTGAAAATAGCAAGTTGTGATCTATTTTCAGTGACATTCACACACCCTGTGAATGATAACAAGGTACGGAAGAATTTAAAAAATCAAGCTCATTTTTAATCCAAAAGCCCAACTAACAATTGAAAATCTGTTTCGCGCCACGACCATATATCGTGTCTAAATCAGGAATGAACACCTGACTTGCAAGTCTGATACAGTCAAGTCTTATACAGGTAAATCTTATACAGGCAAATCTTATAAAGGTAAAACTTATACAGGTAAATCTTATACAGGTAAATCTTATAAAGGTAAAACTTATACAGGTAAATCTTCTACAGGTAAATCTTATACGGGTAAATCTTATACAGGTAAATCTTATACGGGTAAATCTTATACAGGTAAAACTTATACAGGTAAATCTTATACAGGCAAGTCTTATACAGGTAAATCTTATACAGGCAAGTCTTATACAGGTAAATCTTATACAGGTAAATCTTATTCAGGTAAATCTTATACAGGCAAGTCTTATACAGGTAAATCTTATACAGGCAAGTCTTATACAGGTAAATCTTATACAGGCAAGTCTTATACAGGTAAATCTTATACAGGCAAGTCTTATACAGGTAAATCATATACAGGTAAATCTTATTCAGGTAAATCTTATACAGGCAAGTCTTATACAGGTAAATCTTATACAGGCAAGTCTTATACAGGTAAATCTTATACAGGTAAATCTTATACAGGCAAGTCTTATACAGGTAAATCTTATACAGGTAAATCTTATTCGGGTAAATCTTATACAGGCAAGTCTTATACGGGTAAATCTTATACAGGCAAGTCTTATACAGGTAAATCATATACAGGTAAATCTTATTCAGGTAAATCTGTGGCAAGTGTGATACATACAGGTCTGATACAGGCAGGTCTGATACAGGCAGGTCTGATACAGGCAAGTGTGATACAGGCAAGTCTGATACATACAGGTCTGATACAGGCAGGTCTGATACAGGCAAGTGTGATACAGGCAGGTCTGATACATACAGGTCTGACACAAGCAAGTCTGATACAGGCAAGTCTAATACAGGCAGGTCTGAGACAGGCAAGTGTGATACAGGCAAGTCTGATACATACAGGTCTGATACAGGCAGGTCTGATACGGCTAGTCTGATACAGGCAGGTCTGACACAAGCAAGTCTGATACAGGCAGGTCTGACACAGGCAAGCCTGAGACAGGCAAGTGTGATACAGGCAAGTCTGAGACAGGCAAGTGTGATACAGGCAAGTCTAATACAGGCAGGTCTGAAACAGGCAAGTGTGATACAGGCAAGTCTGATACATACAGGTCTGATACAGGCAGGTCTGATACGGCTAGTCTGATACAGGCAGGTCTGACACAAGCAAGTCTGATACAGGCAGGTCTGACACAGGCAAGCCTGAGACAGGCAAGTGTGATACAGGCAAGTCTGAGACAGGCAAGTGTGATACAGCCATTTGTGATACAGGCAGGTATGATACAGGCAAGTGAGATACAGGCAGGTCTGACACAAGCAAGTCTGATCCAGGCAGGTCTGACACAGGCAAGTCTGACACAGGCAAGTGTGATACAGGCGAGTGTGATACAGGCAGGTCTGAAACAGGCAAGTGTGATACAGGTCTGATACAGGCAGGTCTGAAACAGGCAAGTGACATACAGGCAAGTCTGATACAGGCAGTTCTGACACTGGCAAGTCTGAGACAGGCAAGTGTGATACAGACAGGTCTGATACAGGCAGGTCTGATACAGGCTATTCTGATACAGGCTATTCTGATACAGGCAGGTCGGATACAGGCAGGTCTGATACAGGCAAGTGTGATACAGGTCTGATACATACAGGTCTGACACAAGCAAGTCTGATACAGGCAAGTCTAATACAGGCAGGTCTGAGACAGGCAAGTGTGATACAGACGAGTGTGATACAGGCAGGTCTGAAACATGCAAGTGTGATACAGCCAAGTCTGATACAGCAGGTCTGATACAGGCTGGTCTGATACAGACAGGTCTGATACAGGCAAGTGTGATGCAGACAGGTCTGATACAGGCAGGCCTGATACAGGCAGGTCCGACACAGGCAAGTGTGATACAGGCAAGTGTGTTACATGCAGGTCTGACACGGGCAAGTGTGATACAGGCAGGTCTGATACGAGCAAGGTAATTTCATTAGATAATTTTCTAGTCTTGCTCATTTTTAAACATCTAGTATCTTTTACATCGTCTGTACGCTGTACACTTTGCTGCCGTATAGTGATACTGTTTTCATCAAACATATATATAACGACATTCGTAGACAAATAATACCAAATTTTAAGATTAAATATCGCCGTACTTATATATGTATACCACGTCTCTCTTTCTAAATCATGGAATTGTCTGGAACTACCGGGTACCGTTACCTTTCTTAACATTTACTAACTTAAGTTGTGTTACTTACGTCTTATCACTGGGAGATTCATGTTACAAGTAGTGTTGTCCGCAAACAGTAATACATACAGTTGAACATCAATAAGTATATAGTGCTTCTTCAAAACCTAAATTCAGAGTGGGTGTGGTCCCACTGTACCGTTCTCTTCTAAATCGGTAAGATTAACTGAGACCTGGGAAATCATGATAATGTAGACCATATGTATATTATAAATATATGTATATTTTCGTTGTTACTTGAGGCCACCACCTTAAAAAACACACATTTTAAACTTCTCCTTTTCCATCGAAGGCAGATTTTGTTGGAATGTCGAAAATCTTATATGAAATAATGAAGTTTTGTTATTTTGTAACCTACTGCTGTTATTTTCAGTCAGGTGACCAGCTGATGACCGGTAAGGCCCATACTGCTATAGGAATGTTGTGTTTTTTGTCTGTGTACACACCAATCATATCGGGACGTATTTTCATGTTTTCAGTCATTATGTATGGTATTTAGGTCCAACCGTGTCCATTGAACTAATTTTCCCGAAAGATTTTCTCAAATGATTTAAAGAGTAATAACACTCATTCATCCGACTGGGTCAATATGACAGATCTTCGCTATATTGTCTTAACTCTGACTCTCATTAAATGTCAATGATTACAGCGGTAAACGAAATAGACAAAAGACAGGTAAATTACTATATACTCGTTATGTAGGCTCATATACATGACTGTTGTTAAACAATATCGAAATCGCGCACAAAGCATACTTGTAATCGTTACAATACAAAGACTTGTTCTCTAGGCTATATGGTTTGTTAATGTATAGGTAAAAATCGATTCGTTTGAGATTAAAGGCGATGGTATATAGGCCCCGCAGCTGGTGTTGTCAATTTCTGTAGTCAGTTTCTCAAACACACACAGGTATCTGTCAGCGTGAGGGACGACAGCCTGGTTTAATAAAACTACCGGATTTCTGTCGTGCTAGGTACAGTATTGCATTATGTTGGGCATGCAATTTATAATCTTGTTCAATTATACTTAAATATAACGCTGTTTTTGTCTTAATTTCTTATACTGTTTTTTATCACTTTATGCATATATTATTGTCTTGACAAAACGTTATCATATTTGCTATTGTTGTAGCTGTGTCGTAGTATTAGTAAAGGTTTAAAGCTGACTGTGAGGTACACTCTCGTGTTTACGACGCGTTCTCATTATATACATACGTACGAAATAGACCTCTTTGTGTAAACAGGCAAAGTTCACTAGCGGCCATCGCGACACAGGACCACGACTCCGACGGTAACAGATTAGTGGGTTACACTGTGTGTACGTGATGGAGGACAAAGGACGGGGAGAAGGGACTCCGCACCTCCCCCCGGACGGAGAAGAAGATGAGCAGCCCGACCCCCGGGTTAAAGTATGTATGAATTATATGTAATACGGTGCAGATACCTTAGAAATTCGAAGTATGTATATGGTATCATAACATATACACACACTCTCGCGTTCACCCTCGGGCGACAAACTTACTACAGAGAAAAATATAGTGAACATATAAGTCGTACTATGGTGTAGGTGTTCAATCTCTGGGTCTCTTGCTTTCTGTTAAGAGATGCTAACTATATAAGATGAACAACCTACTCGTATGGTAACTCAGATACGGATACCCATCACACGCCATCTATCATAATTACTTTTTCGTGTGTCATTAACATATCACGTCGTAGGTAAATTATAATAATAATTAATGACAGGTAATTTATTCTAACCTGCCATTTCTTTTGACAACTGAATTTATTTGTTTACGAATGTAACAAACATGGAGAACTTGCCCTGAGCAAATACAACGAATACCACTCCAACATAATGACGATAGCTATAGAGGAAGTGAACGAGGGCTTTGTCCCCATTACAAAACAACGATCCGTTATCTAATCACAAAATACGGTTATATATTATCTTACGATGGATATTATTGTTGGAATTTAAGGCTAAAAATAAAGAGAATAATAATAATAATGTGTGTGTTTCCTTGCCATGCAAAAAGGAAGTTGTAAAACTCACTACATTCATTTATTTATTACCCGGCACGAGATTATAAAAACACCGAGATACTGGGGATGATGTGATAAATAAACAGGATGTAAACAAGAAATTATTAACTTTTAAATGAAATCGTAATTCTCGCTGAAAATCGGCGAAACAAAGGCAAATGACTGTTATAGAGACTCTTTAAAGCTGCTCAAAAGATATAAACTAGCGAAAACCACCTTTCAAATGCAATATCACAATTATTGTAGAGACAAATAACGTTTCGCCTTCAGCCAACAGTTCCGGAAGGACAAGCGTTTCCTGGTTCGACGAATATACCAGCTATACCCAGATGAACGTTAATGTCATATCAATTTAACTTTAAAGAATGGAAACAAACATGTGGTATATTTTCATCTTAAGATGAAATGAACGGATCAAATTATTCCGTATGAAAGTTTTTGGTTGACCACAGACTCCGTCTTTGGGATGTTATCGGATAAAAGTTCAATAAGTTGCTAAGTTGTCGCCATTACTCATCTACTTATGCATATTTGATTTTCATTTTGCGATAGTAAGCACATTGTATGTGTTTTGAAAGGCCTAGTTCTTTATTCGTTATAATGTTCATGTTTGAGAACATGACATAATTTGATTGGATTGACCTAGATATATATATCATCAACTCTAGTGAGAGTTACATGCATATTTACGGTAAAAAGGTATGAGATTCTGAGGGGTGTCTTCATGATGTGTTAAACACAAATAAAAACATGATTTTAAGGTGTGAGCTCGTAACTGGTACAACAGCTATAGGTAGTACACATATATATATGTAACGTACATACAGTCTGTGGGGATTTAGTTCCACGTCTAACACAGAGCGTGCTGTTGGAAGTTATACATCCTGTTTCGTCAATTAGATATTTCTTTTTAAAGTGGCGTGGCCAATTAAAACTAGATTAGAGGGTGTGTTTATATTTACAGAATGATATTATAGGCAACATCACGAAATAATACAATGCTATACAACCCGTCTGTTGTAAAAACAGTGCACATTTTTGTTGCTGTACTAAAGACATCCTATCTGTCAATATATATAACTGGTTCTAGTAAATATCTCCTTAATAACAACTTTGTCAGGACTAAATGTCACACCTTGTCAGGATTAACTGTCAAACCTTGTCAGGATTAAATGTCATACCTTGTCAGGATTAACTGTCACACCTTGTCAGGATTAACTGTCACACCTTGTCAGGATTAAATGTCATACCTTGTCAGGATTAAGTGTCAAACCTTGTCAGGATTAAATGTCATACCTTGTCAGGATTAACTGTCACACCTTGTCAGGATTTAGTGTCACACCTTGTCAGGAGTAACTGTCACACATTGTCAGGATTAAATGTCACACCTTGTCAGGATTAAGTGTCACACCTTGTCAGGTTTAAGTGTCACACCTTGGCAGGATTAACTGTCACACATTGTCAGGATTAAATGTCTCACCTTGTCAGGATTAACTGTCATACCTTGTCAGGATTAAGTGTCACACCTTGTCAGGTTTAAGTGTCACACCTTGGCAGGAGTAACTGTCACACCTTGTCAGAATTAAGTGTCACACCTTGTCAGAATTAACTGTCACACCTTGTCAGGATTAAGCGGCACACGTTGTCAGGACTGCCACACCTTGTCAGGATTAACGGTCACATCTTGTCAGGATAAAATGTCATACATTGTCAGGATTAAGTGTCCCACCTTGTCAGGATTAACTGTCACACCTTGTCAGGATTAAGCAGCACACGTTGTCAGGACTAACTGTCACACCTTGTCAGGATTAAGTGTCCCACCTTGTCAGGATTAACTGTCACACCTTGTCAGGATTAAATGTCATACCTTGTCAGGATTAAGTGTCCCACCTTGTCAGGATTAACTGTCACATCTTGTCAGGATTAAGCGGCACACGTTGTCAGGACTAACTGTCACACCTTGTCAGGATTAACGGTCACATCTTGTCAGGATTAAATGTCATACATTGTTGGGATTAAGTGTCACACCTTGTCAGGATTAACTGTCACATTTTGTCAGGATTAAGTGTCACACCTTGTCATTGTCACACCTTGTCAGGATTAACTGTCACACTTTGTCAGGATTAAATGTCACACCTTGCCAGGATTAACTGTCACACTTTGTCAGGATTAACTGTCACACCTTGTCAGGATTAACTGTCACACTTTGTCAGGATTAAGTGTCACACCTTGTCAGGATTAACTGTCACACATTGTCAGGATTAAGTGTCACACCTTGTCAGGATTAACTGTCACACTTTGGTATATTTAGATATCTGATACACAATGTGGATATGAATGCGGTAATATTGTTGGATACTTTACTTGTCACTTTACTGTTTTGTACACAATGGTGACATTTCTAGTATTGTATAAACAACATTACATAAATCTGCTACAGAGATGTTCTACCGCCACAATCGTAACCATTGTAACAAATGGTATACATGTCCCTCTCTGAGTACCGTGAATGTTTAAATCTCCCGTCCCGTCTGGTAATAGAATAACGATATGATATATAGTATCTTTTCTCCTTGTGTTTATTATGCTGCATGGTTATAAAAGGTTGTTTTTTTAAGAATTACGGTAAAATGTTTTGCTACATTCAAATCTCCGCCCCCCCCCTAACAAAACAATGATGGGTGGTCGGTAATTTCTGAAGTACGATAAGGTCAAATAGGTCAACACGCCATATTAAGGAAATATTAATTCAAGTATGTGTACTTCGAGCTCTTCAATGTTATTTAAAGACTTTCGGCTCCTACCTGTCACTGGGCTACAAATCTGATTATTAACAGCTACAAATTGGACATCGCTATTTACGAATTGTAATTAATTTAAACATTGGGATGGAAAATTTGAACAAAGTATTAAAACTTAATTGTTTTTAGTTGCCGTTGCTATTATGATGCTGTTGTTTATTATTTTAGATAAGGTTGTGTTTGACTGCATGGTAACTATACATTGATATGTTGTTGTGAGATAAGCCTGTGTTAATACATTTAGATAAGAAATGTCACAGAGGTTTGACCTTGTGTTAGATGTTGTAGTGCGAATATAGTCCATACTAAGTGCAAACGCCACATGTGTGAATAAAATGTCAATGAAGTACAGTTATATTATAGCTTTATTTTGCAATGTATATGATAATCCCTTTGTCCTTTAATAACAGGACTTATAATATGTTGATATAGTAAGTCTGTCAACTGATTCAGTTTAAATGTTTTTAAAGCTTATTGATATTGAAAAGGTTTTCGGATTTTCTTTTTTTATCATTTGTTCCTACATAACTTTTTTGTTTAACCAGTTTCTATTCGCGATGTTATTCGATATATTTTCGTGAATATTATCAGTCTTTTTGTTAATGTTTAATATGAAATTCGAGGCAATGCATTTTGTCAAACGCGCACATCATAAGAAGCTACCGTTCGTGAATATTGTCAGGTTAACAGTTTTTAGTAGTAATTTTTTCAACGAAGTACATAAACCACGAAATAGTTTGTTATATGTCTTTCATGACATCTTTGTTTTTTTTATTTTTCGAAGGATGTAATGTCGATGTAACTACACACTACTATATCGATGTATCTACACACTATAATGTCGATGTAACTACACACTATAATGTCGATGTATCTATACACTATAATGTCGATGTATCTATACACTATAATGTCGATGTATCTATACACTATAATGTCGATGTATCTATACACTATAATGTCGATGTATCTATACACTATAATGTCGATGTATCTATACACTATAATGTCGATGTAACTACACACTATAATGTCGATGTATCTACACACTATAATGTCGATGTATCTAACACTATAATGTCGATGTATCTATACACTATAATGTCGATGTAACTACACACTATAATGTCGATGTAACTATACACTATAATGTCGATGTATAACACTATAATGTCGATGTAACTATACACTATAATGTCGATGTAACTACACACTATAATGTCGATGTAACTATACACTATAATGTCGATGTATCTACACACTATAATGTCGATGTAACTACACACTATAATGTCGATGTAACTACACACTATAATGTCGATGTAACTACACACTATAATGTCGATGTAACTATACACTATAATGTCGATGTATCTACACACTATAATGTCGATGTAACTACACACTATAATGTCGATGTAACTATACACTATAATGTCGATGTAACTACACACTATAATGTCGATGTAACTACACACTATAATGTCGATGTAACTACACACTATAATGTCGATGTAACTACACACTATAATGTCGATGTAACTACACACTATAATGTCGATGTAACTACACACTATAATGTCGATGTAACTATACACTATAATGTCGATGTAACTACACACTATAATGTCGATGTAACTACACACTATAATGTCGATGTAACTATACATAATGTCGATAATATAATGTCGATGTAACTATACACTATAATGTCGATGTATCTACACACTATAATGTCGATGTAACTACACACTATAATGTCGATGTAACTACACACTATAATGTCGATGTAACTAAACACTATAATGTCGATGTAACTACACACTATAATGTCGATGTAACTACACACTATAATGTCGATGTAACTATAATGTCGATGTAACTATACTCTACTATATCGATGTAACTACACACTATAATGTCGATGTCACTATAATGTCGATGTAACTACACACTATAATGTCGATGTAACTACACACTATAATGTCGATGTATCTATAATGTCGATGTAACTATACACTGTCGATGTAATGTCGATGTAACTATACACTATAATGTCGATGTAACTACACACTATAATGTCGATGTAACTACACACTATAATGTCGATGTAACTACACACACTATAATGTCGATGTATACTATAATGTCGATGTAACACACACTATAATGTCGATGTAACTACTATAATGTCGATGTATCTACACACTATAATGTCGATGTAACTACACACTATAATGTCGATGTCACTATAATGTCGATGTAACTACACACTATAATGTCGATGTAACTACACACTATAATGTCGATGTAACTACACACTATAATGTCGATGTCACTATAATGTCGATGTAACTATACTCTATTATATCGATGTAACTATACACTATAATGTCGATGTAACTACACACTATAATGTCGATGTAACTACACACTATAATGTCGATGTAACTACACACTGTAATGTCGATGTATCTATACACTATAATGTCGATGTAACTACACACTATAATGTCGATGTAACTATACACTATAATGTCGATGTAACTAACTATACACTACACGATGTATCTACACTACACTATATGTCGATGTAACTACACACTATAATGTCGATGTAACTACACACTATAATGTCGATGTAACTATACACTATAATGTCGATGTATCTATACACTATAATGTCGATGTAACTACACACTATAATGTCGATGTAACTACACACTATAATGTCGATGTAACTACACACTATAATGTCGATGTAACTACACACTATAATGTCGATGTAACTATACACTATAATGTCGATGTAACTAAACACTATAATGTCGATGTAACTATAATGTCGATGTAACTATACTCTACTATATCGATGTAACTACACACTATAATGTCGATGTAACTACACACTATAATGTCGATGTAACTATAATGTCGATGTAACTATAATGTCGATGTAACTATACTCTACTATATCGATGTATCTACACACTATAATGTCGATGTAACTACACACTATAATGTCGATGTAACTACACACTATAATGTCGATGTAACTACACACTATAATGTCGATGTAACTATACACTATAATGTCGATGTAACTACACACTATAATGTCGATGTAACTATACACTATAATGTCGATGTAACTACACACTATAATGTCGATGTAACTACACACTATAATGTCGATGTATCTATACACTATAATGTCGATGTATCTATACACTATAATGTCGATGTAACTACACACTATAATGTCGATGTATCTATACACTATAATGTCGATGTAACTATACACTATAATGTCGATGTATCTATACACTATAATGTCGATGTAACTACACACTATAATGTCGATGTAACTACACACTATAATGTCGATGTAACTATACACTATAATGTCGATGTATCAACACACTATAATGTCGATGTAACTACACACTATAATGTCGATGTAACTACACACTATAATGTCGATGTAACTATACACTATAATGTCGATGTAACTATACACTATAATGTCGATGTAACTATACACTATAATGTCGATGTAACTATACACTATAATGTCGATGTAACTATACACTATAATGTCGATGTATCTATACACTATAATGTCGATGTATCTACACACTATAAGGCGCTGATATTTGACCTGTTCTACGTGAAATGCAGGGTGTCAGAATGAATGACTCTGAATAGCTTTGAAGGTCACATTTCTCAAACTTTTCAAACTCTTCAAACGACTTCTTCTCAAAAACAAAAAGGCCCATGGTGCTGATATTGGGCCTGTAGCAGGCTTTTTTAACAAGCAATATTTCCAAAGTAATGACATTTGTGTAGTGCATGTATAAAGAATATGATTTTAAGTTGGCATAAAATGTCTTTATGAACCAACGATGTCTTCTTTAGCTGTAGAGGAGTTAAGCAATTTATGTTACGCCTATTTGGCCTTTTTCATATATAGGTTTTTATAGTCAGGAGACCAGTAATGACCGTGGTCATCTTGTGTTTATAACACAACACAGTGCCTATTATCTGTTCCTATCATTTTGCTTGGATGAAAATGTTTAAAACAAAATTACACTTCTTACAAGTCTAAAATGGACAGAATGACCTCATGTGCTGCTATTTTGCTCTTGAGTAAGACACTTTACCCCAGTTGTTCTTGGGGACACGCGGTGGGCCTCTTGTGTGTTGTTCGTTGAGGTAGTCTTCGACGACTACAAGGAGATCCCGCCTTAAAATACCTTTGACTGTTGTCGGGCGTTGAACTCATGCATTGAGTGTGCCAGGTTAATGTTATGTTGTTGCCGGGGTATCTCTGTATGGATTAGTCATTTAATACCCTCATAGGTCCGTGATTTATCACTTATACACGTAACACATTGATAAGACTTGTTTTCATTATATCACTAACACCAAACAACCTCAGTGTACATTGCTTATAAACAAAACCCCTGCCCAACAGCAAAATGGAATTTTTAATCCAGCACAAAAGATAAAATGCTTATGAATATTTCACTCTACCTACTGTTGTTTCTGTGCGCTTCCATTGCCCGGTTCACTATTTTTATACGTCACAGAACAAACATAATGGGATTGACGAAAATCTGTGTGTGACACAAAATCTCCGTCCGGGACAGAGTAGTAGCTAGAAAGAGACGGAATATCTCGAACCTGTACTTGTAATGGATTCGGTACATAATTTTGTCGAAATTTCGTAAACATTATCAGATATTTTCATTTCTGATTTCTTCGATTCTTCTCGATTTTTAAAATAACAAAATTAAAATAATGAAGTCGTTTGGCGCTTAATATAACATGCCAACGAGTATCCAAACACTTCCAACTTCATTTCTCGGTGAGATGAATAAGACGACCGTGAATTTTCATCATTTTCTCGTCAGTCTACATCTCTCGAATCCTTTTGTTTTGTTGTCTGTCAGTTACTGATACTTTGCACGAAAGTCGCTGATATTGAGAACAAATAATTAGATATCAAATCAGCTGCGACATGTAAATACCATAGGTTGGGGATGTAGGTGTGTTGCTATCGAGGAATGGAAAATCCATGTTAGAAAAATTGAAATCATCTCGTCTATCATACACTTTAGTGGTAACTTAGAAACTCGAATCCTTTTGTTTTGTTGTCTGTCAGTTTCCGATACTTTGCACGAAAGTCGCTGATATTGAGAACAAATCCTTGGATATCAAATCAGCTGCGATATGTCAATACCATAGGTTGGGGATGCAGGTGTGTTGCTATCGAGGAATGGAAAATCCATGTTAGAAAAATTGAAATCATCTCGTCTATCATACACTTTAGTGGTAACTTAGAAATAAATACAGTAGAACCTAATATGTTGTTTTTATAAACGTGGTATATTTTGTGGCTTTAGATTATCCATAGTTTGCTGCAAAAACGTCGGAATACTTTAAAACTAGATATTTTTAAAATAAATTTCTTTCATTATTGCAGGAAGCTAGATCTAAATACCGAATGACGTTTACTGAAGCTTCACACAAGATGGCACTGATTTCGAAGGACAAGAAAAAGAGCATTCAAAAAGCACGAGAATATTATGAGTTAAGGGAGGAAGCGAAAAAGGTGAGGCATTGCTGAAGATTACACTAGCGTGATCATTGATAGGTATTTTACACCCTTCACTGTGTCGGACATCAATATAACAATAACATAAATACTCAGTATATTGAATTGTAGTCATTATTTTTGACATACGTTCCATTCTGTACACTGTACAGAGACATCCGTCTTTATTTTGATCGTCATCAATATCTGTGTTTTTTCCTTCATACGTAATGTTTATATGATAAAGTTTGTCCTTTTTTTCACCTCGTTTATCGTTCATTTATCCTTATTTGACATCTTTTGTCGTTCCTTGTCCTTATTTGACCTAGTTTATCATTCATTTGTCCTTATTTGACCTCGTTTATTATTCTTTCGTACATATTTGACCTCATTTGTCATAACTGTCAATACTTGACCTCGTGTATCAGTCAGTGGCCTTGACGTGATCCTCGTTTTCATTCTCTTGTCAATTGTACGTTTGTTAGGTGCAGAGCGAATCTTTGAAGTCGGCCCGCCAGTACCAGTCAGCCATTGGGATTTACAGGGCTGCAAAGGAAACTGTGGCGTTAGCCGAGGAACGCTTGTTACAAGGCGGGGAGGTTCAACTTACGTCAGCATGGCAGGAGATGCTCAACCACGCCACAATCAGAGTAAGCTAAATCTGACTGTAACATCATAATGATAAGCTAAATCTGTCAGTTATGTCACAATTAGGCTAAGTTTAATTTATCAGCAACTCCTCAATCGCAATTGGGATACGTTATGTTTGTAAGCCACGCCACTATTATGTTACGTTATGTTTGTAAGCCACGCCACTATTATGTTACGTTATGTTTGAAAGGCACGCTACAATTAGGTAACGTTATGTCACAATTGAACATACCCCCCGTATAATTGCAACATAATGATAATAATTTAGGAAATGTAATACAAAATTAACATACAGTTAGAGGTAAGACATTGAGTACACCGAGTAAATGCCAGTAGCCGTGATGACAAGTTTTGGTCGAAAAAAACACGCGTAAGTTCACGGTATGCAGAGCAAATGGAAACATTTCAGTAAGATCAACATTTTCCTGACAATCACAACACTTACTCTACAACTGGAAGCCGCACCGAAACATTCACGATGATGAATCCTTGCCGTCAAGTCGTAGGAAGCACTAACTAAACAAATTAGTGTAATTAATTAAATCAACTTTAAATCGGAAAATAAAATGTTTTACATCCACAATATAAAAAATATTACGTGTTTCATAAAAACGGCAGAAATATATGGACAAACGAAAATACGTTACGATGAAGACACGTGCCTCCGATCGATAGTGAATGTATCCTAGATGAGCTGTATCGATTACTCAAAGCATAGAGGTGTAATCAGTTTGCTTCCAAAATCACAATGTTCAACCCTAAGTTGGTTCCATCTATTGTAATTACGCATTTCCTGTCTAAATGGATTTCCTGCATAACAGTGTATTTTGGAATTGGCTTTCAAGGTTATATAGAAGACATTAGTGTGTTAAAAACTTGGTGGAACGTAGAGGTTTTGTTGCTAAGGAAACAGATAATCGACAACCTACTCCGTAAATAATAAAATAAAGACGTGTAACTGCAGTAATCAGAGTAGGACCCAAGTGTTCATGACATTATAACCTTATTGTGGTTTATATTTTTGATGGCATTACACACATTTAGAACACACAAAAAAAGAAGTTTTTTTTTTTTCATCGGTTGAACTCTGAGCGTAAAGTAGAGCTAATGTCACAGTTCAACACACGGGACAAAGTTGTAAAAAATATCGCAAACTGTAATTATAGACATTCTGACATCCCTGATAAACTCATTAGAGACAGAGAAAAGTTAATCGCAACTTGTCACAAAGATTATAATCATCGTAAACCCCCCCACTTCACATTTCCATGATACATTTAAGTACGAGAGAGAGAGAGAGAGAGAGAGAGAGAGAGAGAGAGAGAGAGAGAGAGAGAGAGAGAGAGAGAGAGAGAGAGAGAGAGAGAGAGAGAGAGAGAGAGAGAGAGAGAGAGAGAGAGGGGGGGGGGGGTATAGTGAGCAAAACCCAACAAAACATTAAAAAAATTCAAAATGGAAAAACATGAATAGAACTTTGACTTCCGTCAGTGTTCAAACGTCTGATAGAAGGATTAGAATGTCTTTTTGGTTTCGCGGTCCGTTTTTAATACCGATACCATACTAAATGTTATCCTTTGATAAAACCACCAAAAAGACGTTTTCATTCTTAAACGTGTCTTTTGTACAGTGTTGGAGATTGCAGATGGTTATCCTTTAGTCACCAATGTTTGCTGTAAACTCCTTAACTAAATCTAAATAAATAACGTAGTTTAAACATTTAATGGTAATTTACATTACTGATACCTTTCGTGTGGAAGCTGACCGTTGTAATTCGAAAACTACATTGATGACATCGGTCTACAAAAATGTTTTTCCTTTGTATGGTTACCTAGGTGATGGAAGCTGAGCGGGAAAAGAGGATGAGTGAGGAAAAACATCTGAAAGCGACCTCTCGTTGGCGAGATTTAGAAAACAGGATACAAGAACTAGAGAGGAAGTTCAAACGAGCAATTGCAAATGCGAGGTATGATGGAAAGCATCCTACACATCAAACTAAGTCACCTAAACGTTTTACTTTGTTCTCTTGAAACGAGTTTTAATAAAACGTTTTTGTGTCTTTGAAGGTGATAGATTTGTAGAATGTTATTGTCGCTATGAGGTTTATGATAAAATAACATGAGATGGACTGTGATAAAGCCGTAATGCTAGGAAATAAAATATCCTTGATGGTGTAAATATGATGGACACGATTTGACTTTTTCTTCTTTCAGAGGATACTTCGAAATGAAACAACAATTAGATCTACGATTACAGGTTTGTATATACCTAATGCGGATACCTGTTTAAGTTGTCTCTATTGGAATCAATGGCTCAAAAATAATTCATTTCCTTTCTAAATACGTTAAATAGTATAGAATATTTTACCAGTCAAATCAGCATCATCATTATTTAAGCTAACAAATACCTAGTTGAAACTGCATGACTTTTTTCATTCTTTTCACAATAGCAACAAAAACAGAATGTGCTCGACCTCCAGCAGGCAATCAAGGGTTATAAGCTGAAGTATGCAGAGTCTCTCCGAACATTGGAACAAATATCAGAGTCAATTCACGAATCCAGACGGCAAAATTTAATACTCATGTTTCCGAGGCAACCAGGCGTTGGAGCGGAATCTGCCAATGTTTCTCCTTGTATATCTGAACTGACTCTAGGTATTGTTTACCCTGATAAATATTTGAGTAAAGAAATAAGTTTATCCCCGAAAAAAATCTGTCATCGAAATCCGTATGTGATATTTTATTGAAAACCACATATCTTCACATTTTAATTGAACATAATGTAGGAAGACTTTATTGAGTTTCATCTGTTCCATGAAAATTCTTTGACACCAATTATAAAAATTGTTCTTATCACGGCCGCCCACATGAAGTGTTTTGTTTTTGAATCGGTATACTATTTAAACATTTATGAGTGCTTAATGCACATGGAAGTCACTCCGACTTCATTCTCGATACTCCAGGATATACGATCACTTTCCCTCTCTGCATCCCTGGAACCAATCTCTCCCGGGATACATTTTCATTCGCCAATAAATCCTCAGTATACAGCTCACGTCAATTCAAGATTCTTGAAAAATGTGTTTGTGTCAAATGATAACGTGATTAATTATTTTTATGTTTTGTTATTGGCATTGTTTTTTTTTAATAGAAGTTTGTTTATCTGGAGAATTACTGAATTAGTTGATATGGTTATAAACGTTATGGATTATATCGCGGAAGATTAACTTTGAGTAAACAGTCACCAACCGCCCTATTTACATTTTGTATATTCACTTTTCAATCACAGACGTGTTCTCGAGATACACGAGTCTATACTGTGATATTTGTGATACTTGGTTTTAATTTGGCTACGATATTTGCACGTAAGCTCTCAAAAAGCGCGAATGATAATTTCATAGGCTGGCCATGACATACAAAACAATCTACAGATATTTTGTCCAATTTTAACCCTGACCGCAAGGTCAACTATTGGTAGTCCCTAAGCTGTTTGCTGAAGTGTATTGTGACTGTTAATTAAGGAACAACAAAATGTCATGCCAAAAGTTGGAAGGCACAAGCGAAGTAATTTTATTGGTTCCGGTAAACTGACCAATCACATACCAATACGTTCACTTTGAAGATTACAAGTGAACGACATCCCAACCTCAAAGCCATTACAATATACTGTTATGCGACCTCGAGATACGTTTGATGTCAATCAAAGAATCAAACTAATTATTTCGTCCTGTCCACAAGGCGTCGCACATAGAACCTTCAATTTTGCCATGACATGTTCACGGGGTGCAGAGAATGAAAGTGATCAGCAGAGTAACGAGTGTGCACCGACTTCGATAACTGTACCTTACACGAATCATTATATATATTTTTACAGATAAAGCTGAAGGCCGACAGACATGGATGTCAGATGACGAAGTATTTGATGATGATGACGACGATGAAAGTGATTCCTTCCATAAATTATCGATAAATTCTGTAGATTCCTCTGTCTCACCGGATGTTGTCTCAGAACCCCATTCCAATGACATCACCAAAACAGGATCACAAGTGCACTCAACTGTTGATGATGTCATAAGTAAGGACAGGGTTAAAAATAGATCAGGGAATGTTCTTCGTAGGACAGAAGACATGTGCAAAGCATCATCACTTGTCATAAGCGGAGACGGTTGTGTGGACAGATATGCTAAGCATGAATTTGAAGGAGAAACACACAAAGAAATCATTGATAATACTACAGAAAATATCAGGCGTCTGGCGATAGGTGAACGGAATGATACGAAACTAACACAAAGTTTTACCGACCAGGTGAATAAAAGACTCGAGGAGGACGTGGATCTACAAAAAAGGGTACTCAAAATAAACAACACATCAGACTCTCATGATCATCCAAGGTCTGACTGCGGAACACCAATGTTGGAACTTAACACGAAATATTTGGAAAGAAATTTATACAACGTTAAAGGAGAATAAAACCACTGAATACCTCAGTGGAGTGTTACAGATAGGACAAACAGATCCACTAATCATAAACCGGTCTAGAAATAGTCATGAGAATTGATTTACATAAAAAAAGTGTTTTGTAACTTAAACTTAAATGTGAATACCATTTAGATCTACATTGTCAGCTGGTTTGATGATGCTAGGCGTTAGACACAATTAGAAGGCATCACGTTAAACAGATCAGAAAGTGATGCCGATCGATTGCTAATTAAAAAAATGAGAGTTGATTATGTCTTCTTCAGTATACAATGTTACCAAAAAAAAAAAACTTTGCATACATAGTGTAATATGGTCTATTAGATGTAAGGGAAACAACTCTTACTCAAGTCTGGTGAAATGAGTCGCGGAATACAAGCTAGAGTCCCCTGATACTGGTTTCGAGAGTACCCCTAGGGACTTAGGGGCGGGACCAGAAAGGGAAAAGAAGACAATATTTTGCTTCAAAACGCTGCTTTTTTTAATAATGTTTAAATGGATTTGAGCCAAATTTCGTCTTAAAAATCACAAGGTAGGGAACAATTTCTTAAATTTAAAAATTGGATTCGAGCCCTAACGACTTGGTGGTGGACCCCCAAAAGGGGAAACGAGTCAATATTTTGATGCAAAACACTACCCCCTTTTAATGCTTGAATTGATTTCAACCAAATGTATTGTGAAACATCACAGGGAGTGGGGAATCATTTCTTAAATTCAGAAATTCTATTCGACCCCTAATTAATAGGAATGACTATGGTCTGCTTGAAAGGCCACAGGGATCAAATATGTTAAAATCTTTAAATGACTTCTTTTCATCAACCGAAAGGTCAAGGATGATGATATGAGGCCTGTAGCATGCTAGAATGAAGGAATACCAACTTTGTTAATATGAATGGCCTTAACCCACTTTCAAGGTCACAGATATCCAATATGTTAAAGTGTTTAAATGACTTCTTCTCAATAACGGAAAGGTCAAGGGTCTTGATATTAGGTGTGTGGCTGGCTGTTTCAACAAGCAATACGTCCGGAGTAATGGCAATTATATAGTGAATGTATAAAGAATATTATTCCAAGTTTGCATAAAATGTCTTGATGAACCAACAATGTCTTCTATGTAAGCTGTAGAGTAATTGAGTAATTTACACCAGGCCTATTTTGCCTCTTTCATATATAGGTCTTTATAGTCAGATGACTGTTAAGGTCCATTGACGTCTTGTTCTTCACTTCAAAGTTTCACTTAAAATCAATGAACATGATTATGTAAATCGTGAAACAAATTTATACGGGAAATAAAGACTGGAGAGCGATTGGATATCCTCTACATACCTAGTGTTGAGATAAAGCCAGACTTCATACGTGAATACAAATATAGCATTAACCACATGCAACGTGTTGCCGTCGAGTTGAAATATTAATTAAAATGTCTAGTTATATTTTCTTAATCACACACCTGGAATAAAGAGAGCGGAAATGCAGCACACGACACCTGTTCTGATACACATCTGCAAAGAATGTTAAGTAATTAATTAATACAAAAATCCAGTTCTGGTGTTTGTCGTTTCCTCGTCTGTAGAGCCAATCATGGTAGCAAATCTTTATACAGATACTATGGTATCAGCGTAGGACGCGGAAGTTACAATCTAACACACTGCTATATTGTTAAGGTAGGACGCGGTATTTACAATCTAACACACTGCTATTGTGTTAAAGTAGGACGCGGCATTTACAATCTAACACACTGCTATTGTGTTAAAGTAGGACCCGGTATTTACAATCTAACACACTGCTATTTGTTGAAGTAAGACGCAGTATTTACAATCTAACACACTGCTATTGTGTTAAAGTAGGACGCGGCATTTACAATCTAACACACTGCTATTGTGTTAAAGTAGGACCCGGTATTTACAATCTAACACACTGCTATTGTGTTAAAGTAAGACGCAGTATTTACAATCTAACACACTGCTATAGTGTAAAAGTAAGACGCAGTATTTACAATCTAACACATTGCTATAGTGTTAAAGTAGGAAGCGGTATTTACTATCTAACACACTGATATAGTGTTCAAGTAGGACCAGGTATTTACAATCTAACACACTGCTGTAGTGTTAAAGTAGGACGCGGTATTTACAATCTGACACTGATATAGTGTTAAAGTAGGACGCGGTATTTACAATCTAACACACTGCTATGTTTTTAAAGTAGGACCCGATATTTACAATAAAAAAAACTGCTACAGTGTTAAAGTAGGACGCGGTATTTACAATCTAACACACTGCTATAGTGTCAAAGTAGGACGCAGTATTTACAATCTAACACACTGCTATAGTGTAAAGTAGGACGCATTGTTTACCATCTAACACACTGCTATAGTGTTAAAGAAGGACGAGGTATTTACATTCTAACACACTGCTATAGTGTTAAAGTAGGACGCAGTATTTACAATCTAACACACTGCTATAGTGTTAAAGTAGGAAGCGGTATTAAAACACTGCTATAGTGTTTTAGTAGGACACGGTATTTACAATCTAACACATTGCTATAGTGTTTAAGTTGGACGCGGTATTTTCAATCTAACACACTGCTATTGTGTTTAAGTAGGATGCGGTATTAACAACACACTGCATTAGTGTTAAAGTAGGACGCGGTATTTACAATCTAAGACTGCTATAGTGTTAAAGTAGGACGCGGTATTTACAATATAACACACTGCTATAATGTTAAAGTAGGACGCGGTATTTACAATATAACACCATGCTATATAGTGTTAAAGAAGGACGTGGTATTTACAATCTAATACCCTGCTATAGTTTTAAAGTAGGACTCGGTATTTACATTCTCATGAAACATACATAATATCAAACGGGAAAACATTTAATATCCTCTCGTCTAACTATTCCTAACATGTTAAAACAATCGTAAGAATTGTAATCTTACGGAAGAGTAAAATCTTGAGATGTTATAATTATGACAGTCCTAGAAACACCGTGAATCCTGTCAAAATAGGTTTCGTAACGTCAGGCGTTACGCCGGAGTATGTACCAGCCTACCAAGTATACATTAACACTGAGTGCCGATAATCCAACTTCTACAAGCACATACACATACATAATTTCCCTAACACTACACAGTGTCGACGTGATAATTTATTTCAGACAAATAATGTGTGTGTTCTTTCCGATGAAAGTTAGGTTCAAAACATTAAGTTGTTTGTGTCTTCACACTTCCCTCGCAACATTCACAGTCAACATATTTGATTATTGCGATGATATACAACGTTCATATAACGTGTCACACGAACAATGGAAGGACGAGTTCGTCAAGAAAATATTTTATACAAAAAAAAAAAAAAAATCAGCTTGTTCCAGAGATGTTTAACCAGTAATCATTCTGGTAGATTAGTGCGAATATCTGTCCAAATCATGTTTAGCCAGGAAGGCAAGTGGTCATTACCACATACAATACACATCTAACGTTGTCCGAGATCTGCCATACTATGTACATGATATACGAACAGGTGTGTTAGATTCACAGCCACGTGACCATATCACGTGTTCACATGCGTCCAATCGCATTTCACTTCCAGAACATGTGATATTACGCAACCATAGATTATCAACTTCAACTGTCTTTGGGTCATCTGCTGTCGGTTTTATAATTCCACTTTTGTGTCCGAGTTGTCGACACGCCACGTCCGCATTTTGTGTTGTCCAGTTATCTGCACAAATATTGAGCCAGTTACCACGATGATGAATGCTAAGGTATCCTACTGACCTTCTCTTCCTATTGTCCGCGTCCAGTCTCACCATGTGATCTGTGTGAAGACAAAGAAGTATAAGGTAATGATTTGTCTTAATCTCCACCACCTCATTTCCCCAGAATCGCCAAAGTGATGGAATGTGCTTTCCGAAAAGTAACAGCAGCTGGGACCTTCAGCTTCCTCGTCTTTAAATGTGAACTTTGACCGAGAAACATAGGCCCGAAAGCAGCATAAAATACACATTCTTACAAACATTTCATTGTTCTATCTTTACTGAGTGACAAGAAATATATCACGTATCTAAACTCACCATGTATGGCAATAGGAAGAGGTTGTACGTTCCGAATCCAACAAGATGTAATACCTGGAACACTCTGTCATCCTACATATATCCATCTTATCATTATGACCCTGACAATAAAATGGACGTTAGCGTCGTCTCTTCTTCCCAATACCCATTTCACTCGAACGACTTACCTTCATTGAGTAAAACCTCCGGGCAATTTACATAGTTTTGGTCTTCACCATGAACAAAGGAGCTCTAATGATAGGCATATTATGACCTTGTCAACCTATGTAAACCTGTACAATCTCACTGACCTTGTCATCTAATGTAAACATATACAATCTCACTGACCTTGTCATCTAATGTAAACATATACAATCTCACTGACCTTGTCATCTAATGTAAACCTATACAATCTCACTGACCTTGTCATCTAATGTAAATCTATACAATCTCACTGACCTTGTCATCTCGTGTAAATCTATATAATCTCACTGACCTTGTCATCTCGTGTAAACCTATACAATCTCACTGACCTTGACATCTCATGTAAATCTATACAATCTCACTGACCTTGTCATCTAATGTAAATCTATACAATCTCACTGACCTTGACATCTCATGTAAATCTATATAATCTCACTGACCTTGTCATCTCATGTAAATATATACAATCTCACTGACCTTGTCATCTGATGTAAATCTATACAATCTCACTGACCTTGTCACATTATGTAAATCTATACAATCTCAGTGACCTTGTCATCTCGTGTAAATATATACAATCTCACTGACCTTGTCACATCATGTAAATCTATACAATCTCACTGACCTTGTCATTTCGTATATATCTATACAATCTCACTGACCTTGACATCTAATGTAAATCTATACATTCCCAATGACCTTGTCATCCTATGTAAATCTATACAATCTCACTGATCTTGTCATTCCATGTAAATCTGTACAATCTCACTGACCTCGTTATCTCATGTTAACCTTTACAAACTCACTGACCTTGACATCTCATGTAAATCTATACATTCCCAATGACCTTGTCATCCTATGTAAATCTATACATTCTCAATGACCTTGTCATCTCGTGTAAATCTGTACAATCTCACTGACCTTGTAATCTCATGTTAACCTTTACAATTTCAGGCAGGTAAACCTTGATAATCTCTAAACCTTGATTTCAGATGGAAAAATCTTGATGATTTCTTGCAGGTAAACCCTGTTTAACATAGGTAGGTAAACCCTGATAATTTCAGATTTCAGGCAAGGAGAGAATACATACCACATATGATGGAAGCATCGTCATCATGACTACAGAGGTTTGCCTCAACACTACTAGCCACTTCACATCGCCTTGTCGACAAACACGTCATATTGAGCTTCCAAAAAACGCCAATTCCTGCACCATAAAATCCACTTCCGGCGGATATACCACCCAGGTAACCAAGGTGACGACATATATAGCTTGCTTCCACATGATCGATATCCTTACAAAGCGTTCCCCACCGACCATTTCTATAAATTTCAACTCGACCCTCGTTTTCGTTCCTGCCATCCACAAGGGTTATAAATGGTTCTGCAATGTGTCAAGGTAATTAAACACATTACATTCATTTCCAATTATTATCGAAAATATATTGTGATTTTCAAATTAATAACGTAAATCGATTTATAGGACAACCAGAACTCGTCGAAATAAGTTTTAGAGATTTATCAACGAAAATATCTTTTATAAAAAATCTGAAGCTATAAATTAAGAGATGTTTTGAATTTAGTTTTGCTTCGATAGTTGATATTTAGCATTTCTAGAGATTTCCATGTATACTGTGATTTGAATTCCCGCTTTAGTACAAATAGATAAAATTGTGTGTATATTATAATCTTCTCATCCAACACTAACCTGGTTCTCCAAGTAACCTAGTTAAGGCGGGGATCAGGCGATGCATTTTCACATTTGTTCTGTAGATGATGTTAAGTTTATCGAGATAAGTAGTGTTCCCGTCACTGATCACACCAGTTTGATTCGGAGAGACAGGTACTGTGGTGTCCAATCCTCGTGTCATGGCAGGACGCCCCGTGAGGGCTTCGGTTCTATCATGTGACCGCAAGATCTCGAACAAAGTTTCCTGTTTTTGGAGAATATTTTTGTAGTTCTTTACAGTTTCATTCACCTGACTTTCTACAAACTGTAGATTGTGGAATATGTACGGTATCCATCCTGTATTGGAGGCCACAGCTTCAACAATCTGGTATACAGCTTTTGTGTTGTTAGAAATACTCTCAAGATCAAACTCCATTAGACCCGTGAAGAGATTTGGCGCTGTCGTTGTCGTCTGTTCAGAAACCATGGTAACTTTTTCGTGAATTTCATGCAATTTGGCAACTTCAGCCATAAGATCCATAACAGTAGAGCGCAACGTGAACTGATTCATCTGGGCCATTTCTGTCCAGAGATCGGTTAAGTGCGTGCTATTTCTAAATATATCTGCCATTTCGTTCAATTCATCAAACGTCATTTCACATCTATGTAAATTACTATCGGTCATGATTACGTTAGGCAGTTCGTTCGAGTCTACTGGCTGATCGACTTCTTCCTGCTTACGGTTACAAACAGTGTTGTTTGTCTGAACTTCAAGAAACAGTCTCAGATCCGAGCGTATTGTGTCTTGTTCGTCTGCTACCGTTTCAGTGGCTCCCACGATTCTTTCCACCAGATCACCCGTATGTCGATAAAAATCGATCGATCGAAGTACATTATCATTGAGATCGATCAATGTCTCTAAAAGCGAGCGCTCCTCTGTTTTATTGTTAGTTGAATTGACGATTCCAACCTCGACACCTTCCAGTTTCGACATCGTTACATTGTGGTAACTATCCACTTTTTCTTCCAGACTTGTAAGTCTGTCATTTGTTATCTTGTCAGATTCGTTCAGGACAGTTGACAAGCTCTCGATTAGTGGAGGCAGTTTTGAATCCTCATGAGCTTTGTCGACCATTTGTAATGTTGAGTTTAACATGAGATCAATTGATTCGTGTAAAGAGGCAAATTTTTCTCCTGTACCAAACTCAAGTTTTTCGAAATTTATTTCCATGGAATCGAACATAGCATTTTGCACTTTTTCCATATTTTTCAGTTCTTTTTTTAGCATATCGATGGAGATTTTAGTCTCCTTGCTGTCGATATCTATTTCACCCATCTGGGAGTGTGTTGCCTGCATGATAGTATCCAGTGCCCTCAAGTGAGTATTAACAACTCGGAATTGACGAAGGTTGTAATACTGAAGACTGTTCATGGCTCTCTCCATCGACCCAATTCGGGTACTTATCGATTCGAACTTCACATCGACAATTTTCAAGATCGATGTCACAAGCGCCTCATCAAATGGACCACTCGCAGCAGGCGTAACGGCATTGCTCGTGTCGTTTTCTTCTGCTGGGAGACATTTTGTCACATAAATCGTCCAGAAGATCACACAGAGTTGGACTGCAGACACCATTTTGGAAATATTGGCCGAAACAGTGAATTCACACAAGTGTTAACCTAACGATGCGTTGAATGTTGCAGTAAATAGTCTTTCTCCTCGTACATAGAAGATTCATACCCACGTCGTAAACTCTACACAAGAATACAATTCACATTATATGAGATTTCCCCGACATCTAACGAAAACTGTTCTAACCATTGCAATTTTGTATTTGGATAAAGTAACTGCTAATTCACATTTACATTTTTCATTTGGTTTCAAATAATTCGTACTTCTCTTACGCATACGTAATCTACTTCACAACGTGTAGGGAAGTGTTAGAAAAAGGCCAGTCTTAATGTGAATACACGCACCACATAGTAACTGCTAGATATGCATCCTTCTTTATCGGTGCTGGTTATGGTACAGTGTACTTCCTTAATTCCACTAGCTCGTGCAGATGATAATCCCGTTCGTCGTCCTTGACCTTTTCTGTGTGTGTGAGGTTTTTTTTTCTATAAGAATTTTATCACCATATCACCATCTTCATTTCAGCGCCAACACTTCTGTAAAGTGAGTTTGGAAGGGATAGCATCTCCTATGGAAGTAAAATGTGAATATTATGTTACTTAAGATTTCAGATTCATGGATTAGCAGCAAAAAAAAACGCTGAAATATCATGTATACATAGCTTGACTAAGTCTTATCGAGCAAATAAGTTTGATCGTAACTTTAATAAAATAATTTTAAAAAATTATAATGAAAAAACCATTCGAATGAGTCGATTTTCAAGAATCAGAAATTGAATAAGAGTTAAATACAGATTGAGTTTTACGACACTAAGCGAATTGATACTGTTCATGTAAAAATAAATCTATTGGAACTATTTAAGTAGTCTACTGAATATGCCATATGACGAACAGAAATTACTGTAAGATTGGATTGCTCCTTGTTTACATGGCTAGTACACACTGAGCCTTATACCCCGTATTGTGTATACAGGAGGCCGATAATATCTCATTTGCATATTGGTATCACTGTCCATTACTAGCCAAATGCTACCCCGTCTTCGCTTAGCTGTTTGTATATGAATACCACCTACTACATGTTGTGAAACGATTAGAGATGTGAAACACGGTACGACGGTGAAGGAGGTTGGTGGGGGGAAGTTCGGGGGGATTTATCACGACAGAGGGGGAGATAGTGGATCGCCCTGATGGATGTCTTGTCATCTTTCACTGGATTGGCTGGTTGAGTCATTCACCATTTAAAATTAAACACCACTCTTGTTATTTTTAAAGATCTAAGGTCTATACCTGCCAGAACGAAAATCTATTTTTCGTTATTTTAGAAGACGGAAATAAAACCGCGGAAACGAAAAAAAAAATCTGAGGGATTTTCGTGAAAAATACAAACCTGCTGTATATTTTGGTACAAATTTTCAAAAAAGAAGAGAAAACTGCTACAAGATTAAAAAAGGATAATATTTGTTGTCCAACAGGCGGGAATGATTTACTGTAGAACAAAATGTGGAACATCAGCACACTGAATTAAAACTAATAAACTAACTAGGCTTTCTTCACAAAGTTTATCGGATCCGCGAGGAAATTTAACACGGAGCGAATTGATAACATGTACGGAAGCAAGGCAATACATCAAACATACGTGCCAGGCTTGTGTGTAATGTTTACAAGGATATTAAACGCCCATTAAACTAGAAAAAGTGGGATATCTATAGCTTGTATTGGAACTTTAAGGCTTTTCACTTGTAAAACACGTACATTGTACATGCATTGCATTAAGTGCACGACTTTTTTTCAATATACCCAACGGCTTCTGAGCTTCGATCATTTCTTGACAAGTGTTGATCTCATTTGAAATGATCACTCACGTTCCATAACCCTGGTTATCACATGACTTGGATACTTTGCAAACATTCGTTAAAAATACCATTTTCATTTTTTTTCTGCAGTGATAACACAATGCATGTACCGTCACGCAGTTATGACAACACCATATGAATCTTCAAATAATTACAGTTCATACATGTGTTATAACAATATATATCGGGAGTGTTTGTGATATTTTACTGCTATGTTGGACTAATGCTATCGTTTGCCGATTTTATACACCGCAATTAAAATGAAAAAAGAGTGTTGATGTACCCAAAATAAATAAAACAGAAACGGTCTCAAATATGGGCTAACACTGGAACATCAACCGACAGATAAACAGATATTAGTTTACTTGTCCAACATCTAATTGAACTAGCAACACTGAAGTCCAGAAGGGAACAGAGGAACACGGCATGTGATGTTCTCTGTCCCCATAGAGAAAACAGGGTTTTATTATTACATACCTTAAATTCACATACCAAAGCTCTATTACACAGTATATTTTACTTTTAATCTGTACAAGGTTCCGAATTATAATCAATTCTCTCTAGAATTAATGGAAGGCAATCTGTCATATTTACCTGACGATTAACTGTGATGGTTCCTGTAGCACGAACGGAATCCTAACCAAATGACCACAGCATTGGACCGTGAAACCATAACATTTTCGGAGGAAATCATCCCCATTTTCTTGTTTCCTCGGATGCTGTCGTGTCAGTATTACTCTGTTGATAGTTTTAGAGTTTGAGCAGACGATCGCAGCTCTCGTGCACCGAGACGGCACGCGGGAAAACATGGCCCAGCTGACCGTTTACGCATAAATATAAACTTGATTTATATGCGTTTAACATATTAGTAGGTGCAATGTTTGACACTCACTTAATACCATCTCTTTATTCTCACCGCTCATTAAAGTTTATGAATCATTTGTCAAAATAAGGTTTACATTGTTCAAACATGAACTAAAATAACCGTTTGATGGAAAAAATATAACGAAAAAAATGATTATGAAAATAAAATAAGTTCTTTAAGATCATACATTCAACGCTCTTATCCAAAAATATTGTTTTTGCTCATTCTTAATATCTTGCTGGTGAATTCGTTTACCTGATCATCGGTTTGCTGTCTGTCATATAAACTCTAGTAAGTTCGCTGTCAGTACGTTGAAATCGAGCGGGATTTCAAGGTATTGGAGATGATAGACAGACCGTATGTTACAGCATCCCTTACTAGGGGAGCACTACACGAGATAGTGAAGGTTTCGTTACCTCCAACACAGGGGTCGGGTTACAAATCCCGGGGAGTGAGCATCTCAGCAGACCTAGTGGTAAACTCTTAACGGGATAGGTCATTGAAACACTATCTTTGAATTTGAATGAACTCGACGTGATTTAATGGCAAAAGGCGTTTAATTCAAAATTTCGAAATGACATTATGATTTTTGTTCCAATACCTGTATACCTATATTTAGGTTACCAGTTTGTTAACAACCTGTACTATCTGAGACAACGCAACAAGATATTGGTATTTCTCTATGTAATCAAGCGGTTTTATAATGAACTATAGTCTTGCGATTGTTTCACAGCTGTAAAACAATTGCAATCTGTCGATATAGTGGTCGGGTAGCGCAGTGGTAACGCTCTCGCCTTTCACGTAGGTGCCCGATGTTCGATTCCCGGGGCAAACTTTAAAAGGTATGGGGGTATTCGGTTTCCTCTCGCTGCAAGACCTTTTGTGTGTTTTCATCAGGGCAATTAAGAGTGATTGAGATAAGCTCAAATCTTGTTTCACAATGACTGTAAAATAAATCATATTAATATTTAATTGCGATCTGTGTCTTGCCTTGTACTTCGTAAGATATCCACTGCGCCACTGGTGAAACAAAGCTTGTGACACATGACCTATCATCATTGTTCTGCTTGATGAGATCAAAACTGGCAATGAGATCGCGTCATACTTTGCTGGATTTGGTGGGAATGAGGACCTGTTTCACTATTAGGTATATGATGAAAACGTGTTTATACATTCCACGTGAATAAACGCTTCGGGTAAATGAGATTCAAGATGGCGCCCACCAATTGATGATCTTTAAATCATTATAAATATTTTATGTACATTTACGTAAAAAATAATTTGTGCAGTACGTATACCAGTTCAAAAATCCCTGTTGACGCGGTTGAAAATTTTCTTTGAAATGTAAATGTCAAACCTAAGAACTAGAATGGCGATGAATAGAATTTGTAATAACAAACTTAGAAGTCTATTTTCAAAATCAAAGTGGCCTTGGGCCTTTATCTCCAGTAAACAATCAAGATGGCTTCTCGGTTTCTATTTCAAAGATTGTATTTTTAAAAAATGGTCAAAATCTAAATTGGCTGCTTGCAGCCATATTGAATATCTAACAGAGGTAAATCAAATAAGACACCCACAGCTAGAAAGTCAATCCTTTCTATAGAGTTTCGGGAATAATAAATTTAAAACTAACTTTAATATCGAAATATATTGTAGTCATCTTGGATATACTCGGTGGTGCTCAATATGTCACATGCGCAATGAGTACCCCAACTGAACTGGTCAAGAGTTATTCGGAATAAGCAGAAACAGGACGGACGGCCGGACGGACGGATTAGAAAATCCCACTGTCTGATGACGAATTCTCGATCAAAACTCTTTGTGTAGCCCACGGATACTTCAGGGAAATGTCGGGCTCCGTGTATTTAGATTCAGAGATGAAAGGACTTAAAGCGTCTTTGGCAACTACGTTTGTTTACGTATTGGCTAAAAACGGTACATTTCTTCTTTCTCTAGACAAGACTGAGATTTTATATTTGGACTTTGGATTCTTTGAGCACTTGATATCAATGGAACAATGATGTTTGCGTAGAAGTTCAACGATGTGTAAGAACATGTATCCTATGCCTTTTAATGCGCGTGCTTTAAACAGACATTTAAAATACACAGAGGGTTATTAATGTAGATATATGAATGTTAGGATAAAACTATACAGATCTTTTTAATCACTGTTTTACACAGCGAACAGCTTTATTTAGATTTATTTTCAATAAGCACATGTCAGTGAGTACGTACTTACTGATAAGAGCTCATTCGTGTGGAATGTAAGATTTGATTTGGTAACCTCCTGATTCACCAGTCACGTGAGTCGTGGTGCACGCACCGGAAATAACAATTATTTCATCTAAAATAGACAGGCAACACAGTTTCTCTGAAATGTCGAATGGTACCTGTATTTTTGTGTTGCGCGAAGCACAACTCCCTTTCCAGACTGTTTCCTTTTGCGGATAATCTAGGGAGTATAATTAATCGGAACTTAACCTTTTCTTGAATATCTGGTCGCATTAAGACAGAAGGGTTTCCTTTTTCAAAATTTTAACTGTAACATGGAGATAGAAGATGATTCATTAGACAAGGAATGACTTTACATGTCACGTCTGTGAAGCATTGACTCGGATACAAAACACAAATAAAACAAGAAACACATTTTCCCCAAAATATTATTTGCAGCATGGCGAGGTGTCATTGTTTGGCTCAAGTTATTTTATGGAAAAAAACATGTTGACAGGTAAAATGTATTTCTCTAATTGTTCTAAAGAGATCGATACCTATAGCATTACCTGTGTAAAGAGTGAGGTGCCGATTCCTTTTAAGAACGATTAATTCACTCTGGCTAAATTACTCATAATACCACGTTAATGTATGATGTATTAGACACATTGTAAACGAGTGCAAGGTGTATTAAAGTGAAAGGTCAAAATGTGGAAATTCAAAATGGCCGATGGCAACATTTTAAACAGCACATCGTGCTGAGATGTAAAAAGTATAAATACGCCCTTTACTAAATAGGCTCATATAATATCACATTGCCGTTTTGAAGTACACCGATAATGTCAAAATAACACAATTTTTTATTACACTAAGTGTGGCAGTTGTAACGCTTATGTAAAATTATTACATTAACCGGAGCAAAAAAGAAAATGTCAGAAAGGTCTTCACACCCTAAAAGTGATTTTTGAAGTTTCGGGAATATCCCTTTTATTGTTCTGAGGAGCATGAGGCCTGTATTGCCCACCTGGTTTGAGTTGGTAGAATTGCTTCATTAATACTAAAGGTATTTTATATCTACATTGTGTATTTCCTCTATGAGGCTCCACAGTTCTGCCTCAAGGAGGTGAGATGCACCAACAATACTGTGCTGACCTTACTCATGCTTAAAAGACAAATTTGGACAAAATTCGATCATTCCAATACCGAAGGATTTTTATCAGAATTTGCAATATTTTCTCTTTTGGTCTCTGCCCATCTGATTTCTAGGGCAAGACTCATAAATTATACACAATTGGTTTTGTTTCACCCATGAATGTTTCTGCCCAAAGGACCTCTTTCACGAACAATGGAATTTTGCCCACGACCCGATTTAATCCAAACCATATGGCATTTATAGCACCCCAATACACTCCCCTGAAATAGCACTTTAAAATTGAAAAGGCCCATGTGATTTTTTCTGGCTCCATAACAATATAAGGATTCATGGCAAGGCTTCCTATAACCACTTAGTTTGTTCATTGGAATCTATTTGTCATTTAAAGCAAACATTATTTGTCAAATTTGGCATAAGAAAAAAAGTTATGATCAATTAAATAAAGAAAAATGTGATTTTTTCTTGATTTTTAGAACAAAGTTTGATGTTAGGAGGAGTGTTTCAAACTCTTCCGGTTTCGGTGCACCCAAACGCTTTTAATATAATTTGGCCCCTTATATTTGCTGTTCTTAGCCAAAAAATTGAAAAAAATTGCGTGGAGTCAGAATCTCAAAAGTGACGTCATGTGATTGATATGATGTTGTGATATATTTCTTATCTTTGTTTTTGTTCTTCAAAATATGAAACAGAGATAAAGAAAGTTTAGAGATGACGTTGGATAAAAAAACATCGTTGCAAGTAAAGTAAGAGGCCTGGAGGGCCTGTATCAGTTCTTTAAGATACACCATTTTCATAGGCATCGCTCACGTTTAACTACAGGAATAAGGCTATAACAACCTGGCTCAAGTGGATGGCTGATTTACAATACATATTGATTGAATTTACGACTGGCAGGCTGGAGGATTTCAGGATTTGTCTGATGGCTATAATAGCCAAGGAAGTATAACATTGATGCAACATATGCACACATGCCAAACGTTCTTTTCCCTGCAGGACAAAGACAGTAATATGCCTTGATAGGATCATCTTAATCAGTTGTTTCAAACTGGATTCAAACATAGTACTTTGTTTGTGACTTGTGGCGTGAATGAATCTGACCTCGAATGAGATCATCCGCAAGCTGGTATACCCAGATCTCATTGTCACCTTCATTTGACTGGTGCTCAACAATATAACCAAGGGACAGTTTGATTTGGTAAATACCACATGCTAATGTTTCAATGAACTCAAGATTCAACTGAGGAAAGGAAACATTTGATTGTCCTAGTTTTTGCCACTCATTTTCGGCTCTACGAGTCATGTTTGGATCCTCCGCAATCCGCTTCACAAGAGCATTATCTATTTGCAAAAGAGATACCATGCGAGTTGTAATTTGTATGCATCTCTGCTCATGCTGGGGGTCTGAAACGTATATGGGTCCTCTGAAACCATTCAGGTTTGCGACTACTATACGTACAAGTTTCCCAATAATTGTAATCAGATGATTTGAAGTGAGTGTATCTTTAAACAGTACCCATTTTTTCAATCTTCCATGGTAAGATTCTACAACCCAACGTACCTTGGTACAACAACGATCATCGTTAGCTTGTTGGTAATCCAGTTGAGTCTTACCAGGAGGCAGGAAATATAGCATTTTTGCATCATAGCCCAACTGAGCAAGGAGATCAAATACATCCCTGAAACCACGATCTACAATCATATTGTCATTTTCGCGTAACCAAGATCTTAGAAGATCAAAATTGATGCTGCCATAGTATGGTCATATTGTGTCTAACACCTATCCATCAGGTTACACAACTGACATGAATTTTAGATAATTGGTTTTCTTTTTCAATGAATATGTATTGTAAATCAGCCATCCACTTGAGCCAGGTTATTATAGCCTTATTCCTGTAGTCACAATTTTTTTCAATATTTTGGCTAAGAACAGCAAATATAAGGGGCCAAATTATATTAAAAGCGTTTGGGTGCACCGAAACCGGAAGAGTTTGAAACACTCCTCCTAACATCAAACTTTTTTTTTTAAAAATCAAGAAAAAATCACATGCCAAATTTGACAAATAATGTTTACTTAAAATGACAAATAGATACCAATGAACAAAATAAGTGATTATAAGAAGCCTTGCCACGAACCCTTGCCGTGTTATGGAGCCATTTCTGAACCTTACCTTATACCCTCAGTAAATGTCGCAAATTCTATAATACTTCAGGCCCTATGGGCCTTTTGAATTTTTTAAGTGCTATTTCAGAGGAGTGTATTGGGGTGCTATAAATGACACATGGTTTGGATTAAATCGGGTCGTGGGGAAAATTCCATTGTTCATGAAAGAGGTCCTTTGGATAAATATTTTCATCGGCAGGATAATAAAGAATTTTGTTTTATTTCACCTATTGTAACTCACTCTATCTTCCTCATGTGCCAACAATCACTGTTATACAAAATTAAGCCCACTTCACTCACTTGTTTCTGACCAAATTTGGATAAAATCTTATTAATCCTCTTGGCATTTTGGACTCCGCCGCTCCCGCCAGATGTGGCAAGTCCCTTCATCTCAGGACCTTCAGACTAAATTGGTACAAATTTCATGCATTCCAACAGAAAATGCAAGATTTTAAAGTCCCTCCTTCCCAAAAGGCCCCGAGACCCACAGTTTATACTAAACCAGACCAGGGGAGTTTTATTTTCCCTATTGGCCCTCCCCATACTTGCCTCAAATCAAATAAGGACAAAATTAAGTCATTCCAATAGAAGGATTTTAAAGAATTTGCTCTATTTTGCTATTATGACCTACTCCTCCCATCCCAGGGAACCGACATCCACTGTTTATATAACAAGAGGCCCATAGGTCCTGTATGCTCACCTGATTTAGTTCACCGAAACAATTTAAGATTTATATCTAATTCCCCATATTAGGTCCCATCCTTGTCCCAAGGAGTCGAGACACACCAAAGAATGCTGCAGATCAAACTGGGACAGGATCTGACATTAAAACTGAAGTAGAATGATTTCAAAGAATCTGCTCTGTTTCTACTTATGGGCCCTGCCCATTCTTCGCTAGGAGGCCCGGACCAACCATTTATACAAAATTGATTCCCCCTTCACAATAGAACTCTCCAGACAAATTTGGGCAAAATCTAATTATTCCTAGTGGAGAAGTAGGATTTTAAAGAATTAACACCATTTCTCCTATTGGATCCCACCCCTCCTGCCCCAAGGGACCGAGACATTTACACAAAATTGATTCCCTTTCACCCAAGAATGCTCCAGACCAAAATTGGTCAAAATCCTATCATTCCTACAGGAGGAGTAGGATTTTAAAGAATTTGCTCCATTTCCCATATTCGGCATTGACCCTCCTACCCCAGGAGGCCAAGATCCACCTTTATACAAATTTGGTCCCACTTCACACAAGAATGCTTCAGACCAAATTTGGGTAAAATCTATTAATTCCTGCTGTAGGAGTAGCTCAATTTTTCCCTATTGGTCCTAATTCTGTCCCAATTCTGTCACTATCTATGAAATATTGAATCCTATGCACTTGAGGATGCTTCAGTCCTTAACTGTGCAAAACGTAATCATTCAAACAGGAGGAGTAGGATTTTAAAGAATTCACTTAGTTTTCTCTATTGAACCTTGGTCCAGGGGACCAAAACTTCTTATTGTGCCCTGCCTCTTCTGCCCCAGGAGGCCCAAGACCCAATGTTTACATAAAACTGAACCCCCTAAATCCACGAGGAAGAGGAAACTTCAGCCAAGATTTGGTCAAAATCCAATCATTCCTACAGGAGTTGTAAGGTTTTAAATAATTGGGACCCACCCCATTGGGCAAGGTGAGATAAAAGTAGATAGTTACTAAACATTCTGAATATTTTTTCTAAATTACAAAACTATCAATATATATAATACTTAATATGTCATAAACAGCTGATGGAAGTCCACACGAAATTTGAATGTTATTGGTCCAGTCTTCTTATTGTTTTGTTTTTAGCTACTATGTATCATTATCTTGTTGTGAGTGTGATGTTAATGTTCTAGGTATAAGGATATAACAGTAGTTTATGTCCCAGTAAGACCTTGTCAGAGACCTAAAACACAATAACTCTACAAAATATCCTTGACTTTGGTCAGCGATTTTTATTCCACTGTTAACTTTAACATACATATGCATCAAATGAATATAAATCTAAAAAGACAAAAAAGATATCAACAAGTGAAATATGGCCTGATTAGTTAACAGGGTAGATGCTTTAAGGATTCATAAATGAGAAATGCTGACTCGGGTCTCTTTATATCATATCCAAAAATTAAAAAAACAAAAATTTAAACATATGTTTGTTTTCATTTCAGTCATTTTCAGTAAATGTTATAGCAAAATATTTTGGCAAAGTACAATTCACATGCAGTAGTAATTAATTTAACAGTATCATTTTACACATCTCCTCACAAGTTAGCTATCCCAGCTAGATAAAAGGGACACAGTAAATACAAGACAATTGTATTATTAATTCAACATGTCAACATTGGCTATAAGTAAAACCAACTAAGTGCAAGGACTACAGAACAGAGGGCAGTTCAAGAAGGACAGACAGTCACAAAGGAACAGACAGACACAAAAGGACAGACAGCCACAGAGGGACAGACAGCCACAAAAGGACAGGCAGCCACAGAGGAACAGGCAGCCACAAAAGGCCACAGAGGGACAGCAGCACAAAAGGACAGACAGCCACAAAAGGACAGACAGCCACAGAGGGACAGACAGCCACAAAAGGACAAACAGCCACAGAGGAACAGGCAGCCACAGAGGGACAGACAGCCACAAAAGGACAGACAACCACAAAAGGACAGGCAGCCACAAAAGGACAGACAGCCACAGAGGGACAGACAGCCACAAAAGGACAGACAGCCACAGAGGGACAGACAGCCACAAAAGGACAGACAGCCACAGAGGGACAGACAGTCACAGAGGGACAGACAGCCACAGAGGGACAGACAGCCACAAAAGGACAGACAGCCACAAAAGGACAGACAGCCACAGAGGGACAGACAGCCACAAAAGGACAGGCAGCCACAGAGGAACAGGCAGCCACAGAGGGACAGACAGCCACAAAAGGACAGACAGCCACAAAAGGACAGACAGCCACAGAGGGACAGACAGCCACAAAAGGACAGACAGCCACAGAGGAACAGGCAGCCACAGAGAGACAGACAGCCACAAAAGGACAGACAGCCACAAAAGGACAGACAGCCACAGAGGAGCGGACAGCCACAAAAGGTCAGACAGCCACAGAGGGACAGACAGCCACAAAAGGACAGACAGCCACAGAGGGACAGACAGCCACAAAAGGACAGACAGCCACAGAGGGACAGACAGCCACAAAAGGACAGACAGCCACAAAAGGACAGACAGCCACAGAGGGACAGACAGCCACAAAAGGACAGACAGCCACAGAGGAGCGGACAGCCACAAAAGGTCAGACAGCCACAGATGGCAGTCCAAGAGGGTCAAAAAGCAATAAAGCAGATGTAGACAGACAGAAGGTGAGGAACAGACACAGATGAAACACATTGGTAGTTTGAACCCAATGATGACCATCTCATTCTCCATCCTCATTGCACTGACTATCATTTTCTGTAATTCAACACTGACTAGCCCATAATCCAGATCCACACCTACCAACCCATTCTCCAACTCCACACTGACCAGGTCATTCTCTAGCTACACACTGACCAGCTCATTTCTAGCTTCACACTGACCAGCTCATTCTCTAGATACACACTGACCAGCTCATTTTCTAGCTACACACTGACCAGCCCTTTCTCCAGCTCCACACTGACCAGCTCATTCTCTAGCTTCACACTGACCAGCACATTCTCTAGCTACACACTGACCAGCTCATTCTCTAGCTACACACTGACCAGCTCATTCTCTAGCTACACACTGACCAGCTCATTCTCTAGCTACACAATGACCAGCTCATTCTCTAGCTACACACTGACCAGCCCTTTCTCCAGCTCCACACTGACCATACAGTTCCCCAGCTCCAAACTGACCGATCTATTCTCTAGCTTCAAACTAAAAATCACCAGTAGCTGAAAACTGGAGCCTGATGATGGTGAGCTGAAAACTGGATCCTGATGATGGTGAGCTAAAAACTGGAGCCTGATGATGGTGAGCTGAAAACTGGAGCCTGATGATGGTGGGCTGAAAACTGGAGCCTGATGATGGTGAGCTAAAAACTGGGGCCTGATGATGGTGAGCTAAAAACTGGAGCCTGATGATGGTGAGCTGAAAACTGGAGCCTGATGATGGTGAGCTGAAAATTGGATCCTGATGATGGTGAGCTAAAAACTGGAGCCTGATGATGGTGAGCTGAAAACTGGAGCCTGATGATGGTGAGCTAAAAACTGGAGCCTGATGATGGTGAGCTGAAAACTGGGGCCTGATGATGGTGAGCTAAAAACTGGGGCTTGATGATGGTGAACTGAAAACTGGATCCTGATGATGGTGAGCTAAAAACTGGGGCCTGATGATGGTGAGCTAAAAACTGGGGCCTGATGATGGTGAACTGAAAACTGGATCCTGATGATGGTGAACTGAAAACTGGGGCCTGATGATGGTGAGCTGAAAACTGGGGCCTGATGATGGTGAGCTAAAAACTGGGGCCTGATGATGGTGAACTGAAAGCCGAAACCTGATGATGGTGAACTGAAAGCTGAAAGGTTGTGATAAATGTTTATTTAAGGCAAGTCATTATAGTAGTTCATTATCGCATTGTTGACATTCATCTGATTCAATGTAATGTAGTATTTGGCCACATCTACATCTTCTGTGTCTGTTACTCCAAGAAATTCCTGTAAAAGTTCACTCATAACCTGCTCTACTGGATCAGGATCCTGGTAGTAGTTACCTCCCTGCACAGCATCTCCTCTGTGTGAAGGTATGTCCTGCAAATTTTCCATGGTTACTGGTTCCAGCGTATTGTATATCTTTATATAATCTAACTCCTCGCTTGGTTCTGATGCTCCAGGTATTTTCTGTAATCATTCATGATACAAAAGTTTATTAATCTTCTTTTTCTTTCCAAGAGATTATGGTTCAGTATTCTTCAGATACATTCTAGAATTTTAATTTATCATCAAACAACTAAATTGTCTAAATTGTCTGAAATACAATTTATGAACAATCTCTGACGGAGTGAATCTAATTAGAAATCATCTGTTTTTGTATCAAGTTTGATAAAAAGATAAAACAAGATGAGGTTAACTTCTAAAATATACCATTTTCTGAATGTACCAACACCATTAACCATGTAGACATTAATCACACACAGACTTTGTCATATAAACATTTGAAAGAGTAAGGAGCAATTTTTATTTTACTTTTTTCATTCCCCTTACAAAAAATGTGTAGAGGACATAGCATTATATTTATGACCTTTTCTAGGTTGACCTCTGTTGGCTTGACCCCATGTAACATTTGTAATTTGTTCCACATCTGGTCATCTTGTTGCTTTTTTTGCTGAAATGAAAAAAAAAGTTAATTATCAGACCGAAAAGAACATAACATACACAATCTTATTACAATTCACATCTTGTAACGACCATCAAATAAAAGTCACAGTGACCTAATTAATCTGCAAGGCACTGCTAGTTACATCCTCAGAATGAATGGCAGAGTTGCATGGAAGTAATTAATGTATGCACTTTTCGCCTTAAAAGCCAGGTATGATTTACTGATGATCAGACCCTTCCATCCAAGCCACTTAAAAAAGATATTAATAGACATGTCAGTTGATACAACTTGTCCGGAAGGAATACCGGTATCTAAAAGAATTTGCTATATCTCAACTTTTGTACCCAATCCCTCAGCCTCCCTGGGGCCAAGATCAACAATTTACAATGTTTACAGAATTGGTTTTTCCTTTACCCTTGGATTTAAAAACTAGACCTCTGTTTCATCTATTGAGCCCTATGGCCACGCAAGAGTCATCCCAATTGTTTATACAAAACTGAGTGCACTTTACCCTAGGATGCTTCAGACAAAATTTGGACAAAATCCTAACATTCTTATAGAAGTAAAAGGATAAATAGAATCTGGGAAAGTTCTCTACTGGACCCCATCACTGTGGGTTCTAGGTCTCCAGACCCAACACATATACAAATTGAGTCCTTTTTCCCTCAACGATGCTTCAGGCCAAATTTGGTAAAAATTTGTTTAGTTCATTACTTATAGTGACTTGTATAACAAGAGGCCCAAGGGGCCTTAACATCACCTGAGGAATATATGTCAATAATCTGTGGATTTTAAAATGTTGCAAAAAAGTAACAACACTTGTGCAGGACCATGTGTAAAACATCTGTACCAAGTTTGAATATGACCCACCGAATGGTTCTTGAGAGGAAGTCCATAATGTCTTAGCCAAACAGATGCCAGGGTGTCCCCCTTTTTCCCCCTCCTGCGACCCCTATTGGGGCCACACCCTTTTTCTTCGCAAACTTGAAGCGGCTGCCCATGGGGATGCTTTGTGCTAAGTTTGGTCAAAGTCCATTCAGTGGTTCTTGAGAAGAAGTCGAATATGTGAAAAGTTAACGACGCACGACGACAGACAAATCATGATGGCAATAGGTCACCATTAGCCTTCGGCTCAGGTGACCTAAAAACTTGATGGACAGACACATGGCATATTCTCACTGTTCTATTGGACCATGTGAGCTAAAAAGCTTGGTGAGCATCACAAATATACTTTACTAACATCATTCTATGTTAACCATAAGTTTCACAGCAATTTGCCATAATTTTGTATCTATCAACTTATATACAATGATGCATTCCATGTATCAGAATTTCAGAAAGGATACAAACCTGGTTTGGTTCTGTGTACGCAATCCCTCTGTCCTGACATCGCTTTTTGCGAACTGATTCTCGGACCTGTCTTATCCGATCAAGATGGTTGTCATCAAAAGGTTCTCCTTCACCTCCTATTGAGAAATCAATATTCTACACCAAGAGGAAATCAAAGTTCTGAAGTTCAGTTATATATATGTATTTGTAATTTTTAATACAAACTATCATCCAACACATGAAAAACAACTAAACACTTTATATAGAAGATGACTATCAACAGCCATTCTGAAATTTGAATACAATTTCCATCAAATCAGTGTAATTTGTGCAAAACGTACAATTTGCTGAATCAATTTAAAGTTCCAGATTAAGACATTGCCACTGACAGTGTTACTGGATACTGACTACAAGACAACATTAAATGTTTATAACAGATTATAATGGGTTTATTAAGTTATAATATGGTGAGTGATGACACACAGCTTCAAGTCCGGGTACTGTTAATGTCCTCATTCCTTGTCTCACTTTATCATGGTATGTAGATATACTGTTGTACATACTTTATATATTATGTAAATACATATGTAAAATATTATGAACCTAAAATAGTTTTTTTTAATGTTTTTAGTGATAAACATGATTCATATCACAAATTGAATTTTCTTTCTACCAGAGACCTATGCTTAGCCTATATAACACTGTCTTCCAGATGATTGTACAAAGCAAGTGTGTTCAGTGTGGAAACAAATGTTATGTAGCATGCCCCATTATCACAGTACTTTGATATTCACACACGTCTGATTCATGTGTGCTGCTATAACAAAAATATTATGCATGCACCGAAACCAAATGTCAGGGTGCATGAACACTGCATGTATATTAAACAAACAGACAATCTATGAACATAATAGTTTTGAACTTAAACATTCAAAAGCTTCTGTAGAAACCAAAGTTTCACTTTGTCAGAAGCAACTCATGATCATAGCAGTATAAATTCCTAATACTGTTTGCTGTCTTTTGATTGGCTCCAATCAAAACGAAGGCTTTAAGAAGGCTTCAATCTAGATTATTTCTTAAGCAGAATAATGTTTTAGTCATTGCATCATGAGCATATCATCGTATGTTCCAGATCATACAAATCAGGTAAACACAGAGGTACATGAAATTTGACATCAGATGTGAATAAATAATGGATTAAACTGATGTGTTATTTATTCTTTTTTAATATTTCTTATTGAAGAGTAGTACTTACTGCACCCTCAGATTCATACTCGTATGACACACTGTACCTGTGGCAGGTGAACATTCAGGGAGATTATTAATATTTGGATTTAGAGGCATGTACTGTATATATATCTTAAAGAGAGAAACCAGCTATTTCATCTTTCTATCTGAGTGCTAAACGAATTTGATAATAATGATTCATTAACGTGATGTTTAGACCCATAAAGCATAAATGAACACTCAAGTAGGCAAAGTTTGACCACAGAATTATTATATACAGTCTGTTACTAGATTAAGCTTGTTTTCCAATCCTCAGTAAACCTAGTCATCATTTATTTAACATCTGTTCTTAAAATATTCTTTAAACTAAAATTGACAACTGCTTATAGTATATGATAAGGCATGTAAAACCAGAGATGTTTATGTGCTATATATATCAGTGATAAAAGTCACAGAACAATAGTGGGATGAATTCTTTCTTGTAATTGGTTTTATTCCCCTCTGAATCAACATATAACCACAATTTTTAGTAAAACTTTGATGGCCACCGCGCCATAGCATGAGCTCAGCGGTCCTTCGGAACAGTTGAGCTATAAAGAGAAATTTTAATGTTTCCTCTTTCTGTTGTATTCTGTTTATAAAATATCTTTTTTCATTTGTAGGTCTATTCTTTATCTTTCCTTCACATTCCACTTCATCAAGACAAGATTTCCTCTTACACCTGGTCAATCAGATATAGTATTTACATAGATTAACTTACCTGTTCGTTCAGCTACAGAGGCTGAGGTGGTGTTTGACATGGCAGCTGCTACCTCTGGTCTAATTTTGAACGAGATGATGTACTCAATCATTGCTCGTCTGTTCTCATACACAACAAACTCGTTGTAGTCCCGTGGACAACCCTGAAGAATACGACAAGTCCATACAGTTGTCCCCACAGGAAGTTAGGTATTGACAAATGGTTATAAAATATCCTTAGATAGCTATATGTGCTACCTTCTGTAACATCAACTTTTCCTTTGAAGGAGCCAAAAGCTATATTGATATTTTTATGCGGGTCAGATAATTGATGTTACAATGAAATCTTGACATACCTAAACAAGGAGATACCTAAATGTAGAGAAACACCCAAATGAAAAGATGTCTGTTTTTATTGAAACACTGACCACTACTGAGTCGTAAAACCTCCAAGTCCCAGGTCGTACATTCTCCTTCTCAGGTTCTCGTTTCAGGGCTATGTCATACTGGCCTTCAGGGAAACACTGGTAAAATGGAAAATATTGGTAGAGTATGTACAGTGATATCGTGGACGTTTAGCCCACTCACATCTACTGCTGTTCTTTAAATTCACTGACTAAAGCTTATTTATGCTGACCACTCAAGTAATAAACACAGTATTCCTGGTCTGCCAACAACAGGGTAATATTTTAAAATAGTCTTAATTATTTTGTGTCCAACGACATGATGTTTCTCTTCAGAAACTTTCTATACTCAGCTCATAAGTTTTCACTTTTCTACTACTGCTATTTCCAAATCAATTTGAAGAAAAGATGATTTGATTCAGTGTAATAATACTTAATACGTACTGTGTTAATAACACTCACTGTATATATAAGGATTGATTGACTAGGACATCAACTGTGACATCACAACACAATGATGTCACTTAATTTGTCATATTCGCAAAGCTGTGGTGACAGAATATCACCAATCTGCATGTGTCTAAGAAATCATGTTTTCATGAAAGTTTGCGAATATGTTTCAGTAATGTAATTAACATAATCACATTGGATAGGACTTTCTGATTTTGCCTCAGACTTGCTAAAATGGAAATTCTAAGTAATAGTGTAATACTACTTTCTAAATCTCAGATGGAATAGAAATCATTTGTCAATATTTGTTTTGAAGCATAAGGAAGTATTGGAAAACACTAGTTGCAAAATACTATTCATCTAAAGAAAATGTAACCTTGGTAAATGTTAACCACAACATACTTGTTGGCTAGGGAAAATATAACTTTGGAAAATGTTAACCACAACATACTTATTGGCTAGGGAAAATGTAACCTTGGTAAATATTAGCCACAACATACTTATTGGCTAGGGAAATGTAACCTTGGTAAATATTAGCCACAACATACTTATTGGCTAGGGAAAATGTAACCTTGGTAAATATTAGCCACAACATACTTATTGGCTAGGGAAATGTAACCTTGGTAAATATTAGTCACAACATACTTATTAGCTAGGGAAATGTAACCTTGGTAAATATTAGCCACAACATACTTATTGGCTAGGGAAAATGTAACCTTGGTAAATGGAGATTTCTTTAAATCCAGGTAGATAATAGTCACAATATACCACTCTGCTAGAGATATTGTAATCCTGGTAGATTACAGTCACCATATACCACTCTGCTAGAGATATTGTAATCCTGGTAGATAACAGTCACAATATACCACTCTGCTAGAGATATTCTTATCGTGGTAGATAACAGTCACAATATACCACTCTGCTAGAGATATACCACTCTGCTAGAGATATTGTAATCCTGGTAGATAACAGTCACAATATACCACTCTGCTAGAGATATTGTAATCCTAGTAGATAACAGTCACAATATACCACTCTGCTAGAGATATTTATCCTGGTAGATAACAGTCACAATATACCACTCTGCTAGAGATATTGTAATCCTGGTAGATAACAGTCACAATATACCACTCTGCTAGAGATATTGTAATCAGTCACAATATACCACTCTGCTAGAGATATTGGTACAGTCAGTCACAATATACCACTCTGCTAGAGATATTGTAATCCTGGTAGATAACAGTCACAATATACCACTCTGCTAGAGATATTGTAATCCTGGTAGATAACAGTCACAATATACCACTCTGCTAGAGATATTGTAATCCTGGTAGATAACAGTCACAATATACCACTCTGCTAGAGATATTGTAATCCTGGTAGATAACAGTCACAATATACCACTCTGCTAGAGATATTGTAATCCTGGTAGATAACAGTCACAATATACCACTCTGCTAGAGATATTGTAATACTGGTAGATAACAGTCACAATATACCACTCTGCTAGAGATATTGTAATCCTGGTAGATAACAGTCACAATATACCACTCTGCTAGAGATATTGTAATCCTGGTAGATAACAGTCACAATATACCACTCTGCTAGAGATATTGTAATCCTGGTAGATAACAGTCACAATATACCACTCTGCTAGAGATATTGTAATCCTGGTAGATAACAGTCACAATATACCACTCTGCTAGAGATATTTATCCTGGTAGATAACAGTCACAATATACCACTCTGCTAGAGATATTGTAATCCTGGTAGATAACAGTCACAATATACCACTCTGCTAGAGATAATCCTGGTAGATCAGTCACAATATACCACTCTGCTAGAGATATTTATCCAATATACCACTCTGCTAGAGCTATTGTAATCCTGGTAGATAACAGTCACAATATACCACTCTGCTAGAGCTATTGTAATCCTGGTAGATAACAGTCACAATATACCACTCTGCTAGAGCTATTGTAATCCTGGTAGATAACAGTCACAATATACCACTCTGCTAGAGATATTGTAATCCTGGTAGATAACAGTCACAATATACCACTCTGCTAGAGCTATTGTAATCCTGGTAGATAACAGTCACAATATACCACTCTGCCATAGATATTGTAACCTTGGTTGACACTAGTCACACTTGTTAAATATAACAAGCAATATACAGCATATACTATATATACAGAGAATGTAACCTTCACTCAGGTATACACTAGTCACCAGAGGTCCTAGGTTTGATTCCACATGACTAAATTGATTTAAATAATGACATCTGTTAAACATAATTCATATGTCCATTGCATGTTTAAGTATGCTGAAACAGTGTTGAAATGGAGAGGACCTGCTGGTTAGGCAGGTGTAAAAAAAATTAACACAGTAGTGAATTACCTTGGAATCTCCCAGTATGACACGACACTTGAGGATGTAGGCGTCGCCCAGGCTGTCCATGTCCTCAGTATAATATACACATTTTAACGGGTTATCACTGTATAAAGAATAATTATCAAATTAAGTGAATTTATCTATCACAATTTGACAGTAATTAGTAAAACAGTGCTGTGATCAACATTGTTTACCTAGTTTTAAAATGAACAATTTACATTAAGAATCATATGCAAGTTTTTGTTTTTAGTGTCCCCTTTTCTCGATATCATCAGGATTAACCAAATATGTATGAATAGAGGAATTAAGCTTCATGTAGAGCTACACAAAACTTTTTACAAAATTATTACAATTTACAGTAAACTTTGAAGAGTATGTGAAATTCAGAAATTGAAATGTGTTGGAATGACCTTACATACAATGTAGATATAAGTGTTTGGTTTGGTTAAGATACTTTAAATACTTGGAGAGCAATAAAGCTCTACACACAACAAAAGAAATTTTTAATATGGCACAATTAATTCAAATTAACAAAGACATATTAACAGTAACCTGTAAGAGCAGAATCTGAAATGTGTGTTAGGATGATCATACATAGATATAAGTATATCTGAGGTTTGTCTATGATAGCTTATAGATTTGAGAGACATAAAGCTCAACATCTATAAAGAAAACTTCAATATCTAGCTGAACTGAAAACCAACAGTCACAAATTACAATGAGCTAACTAGCTCCATCAGGTACTACACAAGAAACTTTATGTTTCAAATTTCAATATTGCAACCTTGACAATTGTTTTCTCAATCTGACCCATAAATTAACATGCACAACTATGGACCGAAGAAAGTCTCCATATTAAATTTGAGAACTATCCATCCAGTACATCTGACCTTTCAACAGTGATAACGCAGTTGTTTATAGAAAATGGGCGATTTGAACTGTTCATCAATCATCAAATTTGACCATTAAACCTTGATGAGACTTACCTGAAATAAATACCTTTGCCGAAATAGCCCATGCGACTGAGTCTCTGGTCCAATCCCTCCTCACAGATTCGACTTTTATCAGCCTTGGTTCCATGGTAGAGGTAGCGTATGTTTAAATCAAACCCTAAAAAAAAATCCTTTCAATACTTAATGCTGTTTGTTGAATGGCACTATACAAGTCCTCAATCACAACAGAAAAAGTTTAAGGTGGTTGGTTTCCAAATTTTTTCAGCAATATTACTGGTTCAGTTTAATTAGATAATTGTAAGAGACTATGAAGAAAACAAATATCAACAAAGTGTGTTTGTTTAAGAGGTTTCTAAGTCCTATCCCTCATTTCTATTCCTGACATTTTAATATTCAACACTGATTCTAGACAATGATTGGCCAAGATATTAATATATGAGGCATTTATCAAAAGTGAAAAAAAAATCTTTCAGTCCCAGATCAAAAGTTAAAAACAGGCTAGTTAAGCTTGTAAACTTTTTTCTGTGGAATTTTACAGAAATGGAGAAAGAAATTTATAGGAGGAATCCAAAAGATCATCTTTAAAAATCTGCTAGTGTAGCACCTCTCAACAATGCTGCTGTACAAAAGTTATGTCCCTTTGATTGGTGACAGTTGGTATTGACAGTATTACATATTATTATATCTTAGTGTTATCGGTCAATTTCAAATGTGACAAGAGGCCCAGGAGTGTTAACATTCACCTGAGTTACGATGTCACAATTCTTCTTGTAACATGTCATAGAAATAATCCTGTTTACAAAGTAGGATAACGAACTACATTGCACTTGTAATACAAATATAAAATGTCCATAACAGTAACTGCCATCCCATGTTTAGGATTCTAACAATGTTTGAAGTAAAAGAAATTACATTTAAATAAATGTACTTTTCCTACATGAACTCTTCCATCTATTAAGTATATTTAATGGAATCTATCATATGCCGGTATTGAGAAGATTTCTGAAATTTGAATGAATTGGAGCTTTTTTCCGCCCCATCCACCAGCCCCTTTGGGTCAGCCATAGTCAATATGCACATACCATCAAACTGTCATCCTATAATAACGAATAATGTAACCAAGTTTCATCTGTTTCCAATAGAAAATAAACAAATTATGTTAAAAAATATAATTTTCCTATATAAACTATAGTAAATTTTACTCCCTCCTCAGAGAGAAAAGTGAGAACCTGGGGTCATGAAATTTACAATTTTGGTAAAGCACACCAAGACACTTCCATCCAAGAAGAATATCTAATTCTACCATACTTCAGAACTGAGAAGAAGATTTTGAAATTTCAGTTAATTTGCCCCACTTTTTGGCTCTGTCACTCAGGCCCTTGGGGTGGCGACCATATAAATAATGGTTATCCTTTGGCCATGGAAGGTATCTGCCAAATCTCATTTAAATCGGTGCGGGAGTTTACCAGACAAGTAAAAAAAGTAATAAGTTTAAAGGCACATGATTGGCTAAAGCTGACACTAAAGTGTGGGACACTTTAATAAAACAGGCATCCAAGTGATATCCTATAACACAATCATCTTACCTGGATGTCTACGTCTCGCTGTATCCTCCATCTCTGACTTAAATCTATCTAACAAATACAGGTTTTGAATTCGTTCTATTCTAGTAATCTGTATTCCTGTATCTGTGAACTCATCAAGAATTTTATCATATTCCATTTGTCCCGGATGCAACTCAATAAGTTGTACATCCATGGAGTGACCTGGTCTATGATTGGTCGATTTCTCTTTCTCAGTCCAATTGATAGGAATTCCATCGGTATCAAAGACAAATGGCTGTAGTCCCTGGTCCTCATTATTCCTCTGCCATTTTGTCATATTATTCAATCTAAACTTGTGTTTATGATTTTCCTGCATTGATTCAGCTTCTGATTTACTTGCAGCGCCTATTTTCAATAACTCTGCAATTTCTCTTGAAATTTCATCTTCTTCGTTATTTCCTAAACTCCTTCTTCGTTCATTTGAAGCTCCTTGAGGTTCATATATTTCTTCATCACTAACTGATGTTTCTTCATTTTCACTGAAATCTGAAGATATTGGTATTGTATATTCATTGTGTTGTCTATCGTCATCACTTTCATTGTCTGGATTATAAAATTGATTATCAGTGCCATTCATAGGAATAGTATCTGGCACTTCAAAACGTCTTGCTCTTCTAGATGACATCAAGGAAAAAGATTGACCTTTAACCTGAGGTGATGAGTTTGTTCCAGATAAAGGTAATGTCAGTAGTGAAGATGACCTTTTACCTTTGGCAGGCCCATCAGTATCTAAATCTCCTGATTCCTTAATTTCAGCAGTTCTCTCTTTCAGGTGGCTGGAATAGCCAATTAGAAGGCCTTTCCTGATGGCTTCTTCAATGTTTCCACCATTATTTTGTATGTAATGACTCCCTGTTGATGAAAAAAAATTTTTTTGATATACTGATGTTGAAGAATTTATCAAACTTATCAAAACTGCAGTGATACAATAGGAATGCTATTGTGATGTCGACCAATCAGAGCAGTACCTTCTGGTTTCTGCATTGAATTTTGCCAGTGACTCACCTATTGGCCATGGTTAGGACAATCATAGTACTGTGTCTATAGTCTGCTGTCAGTATAATGTGACCCAGGATGGGGACACACATGTTACTGTGTCAATAGTCTGTTGTCAGAATGATGTGACCCAGGATGGGGACACACATGTTACTGTATCAATAGTCTGTTGTCAGTATGATGTGACCCAGGGTGGGGACACACATGTTACTGTGTCAATAGTCTGTTGTCAGTAAAATGTGACCCAGGGTGGGGACACACATGTTACTGTGTCAATAGTCTGTTGTCAGTATGATGTGACCCAGGGTCGGGATAAACATGTTACTGTATCAATAGTCTGTTGTCAGTAAAATGTGACCCAGGGTGGGGACACACATGTTACTGTGTCAATAGTCTGTTGTCAGTAAAATGTGACCCAGGGTGGGGACACACATGTTACTGTGTCAATAGTCTGTTGTCAGTATAATGTGACCCAGTGCATCCATAGCAGTAGTCTGTATGTACTAGACTTTATCTTTCTTGTAGTTTATATATATCTCAAACATTATCACAAGTTCTAGTCTAAATATATCAGACTTTAACTAGTTGAAGTCCATATATATCAGAAGTTATCATTAGTTATAGTCTACATATAACAGACCTCATCACTAGGTGTAGTCTATATAACAGATGTTATCACTGATTATATATCAGACATTATTGTTGGTTTTAACACTTTTGTATATACTAGGCTTTATTGCTAGTTATACATGTAGTCTATTAAATGTACCAGATTTTTTCCCAAGTTGTTGTGCTGCTAAAGTTTCCTGTTGTTGTATAAGTATAGCTAGTCTATGGTCTTTTTCCTCTTGACAAGTGTTGGCGGTCTGATATTGGGAGGCCATATAGGCATCAGATCTGAAAACCCCAAAAAGAACATAGGAGCATCAACACGAAAAAATATACAATGGTTTATATCACAATTACTTGACAACATTAACAACTCTCAAAGTGCTAACTTGCATGTATGTTATACCCCCTCCCAGTCCCTATTTGTAGTGTAACAGAAATGAGTAATGAAAAACATCTTGCAACTGCAGGGGTTCGAACTAGTGATCCTTTGGTCTCTAGCCAGACACTCTACCGTTTGACTAAATGGATATTCTGACTTGCCAAGGCTAGTAAGGAGACCTACAATTTGTATACCCTCAGCTACTACAGTAGGAGACAGACACAATTATTGCTTTAATTTTAAATATTGATTTATGGCTTTATCTTCTGTAAGGTTAACTGAGAATTCTCCTCCATGGACAGTAAAACCTTTGTGAGTCATCATATCTAAGTACAAATAGTAACTGAAAACTTAGTTTTATTTTTTTAGATGCTGACCAACCAAGTACTAGAGTAAATTTCCTGTGTGTATATTATGCTATATGTGATATTGATCATGATTTTGAAGCTAACTCACTGACATTCCAAAGGGCTCTGAATATATTATCTTGGTATCTACAATGAAACATAAATGTACACAGCTGATAATGACAACTTAAGTGTTGTGCAACTTGTGGCTACTACTAGATATAGATATATTGTGTCTTGTGATTTAACAGAAAAAAATATCATTGATAATTTTACAATTCAAAATTTTGATATTTACCTCTTTAGTTAACATTGATGCATTGAGTTCCGCAACGTGAGGAAGGAAATTTTTAGTCCGTGTTAATAATAGTTCTGTCAAAATCCAGATAAACAATCGCCGTCTCAAAGCGCTTTCATTGCACTATTGTACTACTATTCGATTCAAACATATTCGTAACTCAATCAGGAAGTTTTACTTTCGTTTTGTGGATTTGGCGAATTTAAGTGATGAAATTCTGTGATTGATATTGAGCAACTTCTCGTGACAAACACTCACGTGGACTTGATCATTAACAGTTGTTTACAAACAAGAAGCGAATGATTTCTTACTGAGGAACATGTCAGCGGTATGATTGTGGAACTCTCCTGAAGGCTGACGGGAACGTCATTGCCGCCGTCTGCATGGTGCTAATAATGGCGGGGTGATTTCAAATTTGTCAGCGCAAAATGTCCCTAAGGAGCTTTCTGTTTGGTTCTGTGGCATCTTATGCCTCTGTTGTTGTTTACTACATGGTGACAAAAAACAAGACAGGTACAACATTACATGTTTTCCGTGTTTACTGTAGAGGATAGATATAAACTTCATAAGTTTATGTCTAGAAATTAATTATGTGACGGTTTTGTACGTTATTATAGGGAATTATTAACATATAGGTAGTTTGCTGGTCTGTTAAAACTCCAGGAATCGAACATTTTGAGTAACGAAGTCGATATGCACGTGTACTGTACATATACATAGTAATGTCTCGCTTGTCAGTCGGGGAGTCTGCTCAGCCTTAGTTGACAACACACTCATTTGGTGAAGGCTTTGGGTTCTGTCCCATGATCAAGACTTTGTACAAACCTTTTGTAAAGAACCCTACCAGTTACCAATCAATCACTGTGTTGGCCCTTATTACATGTCTTGTCAAATGTGTCGAGGCAATTCTTAATAATCTTTCCCCATATATTTCCACATTCTCGTCCTTCCACTGTGTTATAGAGGACAGTAAATCTAACACATGCTGCATGTCTACGACTTTAGCAAACCTTATTTGTAATTACCGTTTCAACTCTGGCCAAGTAACATTAGGGAATTCTATTAGATGTCTGAATAAAATCTCCCACAGCACCCTTAGTTGTCTGAAAAGCTACATAATTTACCCTATCATTTGGTAGCTGTGTTAAGACTGAGTATCTTTCAATAGCCTTGATCCATTCTTTAAATTTTTCCTGGTAGATATCTGTAAAGGATTCTTACCTAGAGATTGCTTTGTGCTACTGGTCAATACAGGTTTAACTCAGTCTGTCACTGTGCTGAATATCTAGTCCCAGTATTCTGGGCTTAAGCAGAGGATTCCCCTGCCACTAGATCTGTCTCTAGGTTGGTGCAGTGCAGGCCATAGAGCTGGTGGAACTCCAAACCCCAGTCGTGATGGTTCTTTATGATGGTCTGTGGCATTAGTAATGGTGTCTTCAACACAAGGTTCCAGGCTTCTGCTCCCCCTCACTACTATTATCCCGACCACAGTGGTTCTGATATCAGTTCTTGTGGCATCGGCGAAAGGTTTTCCGAGGACGGCTTCTGTCAACCTGTATTTCTCTTGAATGTTTTTGTCTGTTGTTGGCTGGTTGCCCACCAGTCACTGTGTATTTTCGTTGACCACTTTCTGAGTTATGGTATAAGTGTTAATAATATTGGAGTGTTGACTGCAATCAAGTTCATTTGACAATAACCCTGATCATGGCACCAAATCAGTCTATATATACCACTGTATGTCATGTATATATATATATAGGTCTGTAAGTCCAGGTTTGAAATTTGAATAACCTTTCTAAATTATTTATCCAAGTTACATACCGGTAGTTCACAGTACAGTATAGTACAGAAATATTACACATTCTCACTACCATGGCCCAACATTACCTTGTGTCATAACTGGCAGTGGTATAAATATAACCAGAGAAACCAATCATATTGTTCTCTTTATAATCTGATAACAATCCCCAATAAACTGTCTCTAGAATATTCAAATTAGTTGATATACTTTAACACTCTGTTATCTATATGTAGTGTTGTAATTAAGAATTTCTGATTAGGCTGCTGAAACATATCTTAAGCAATTTTTCCCAGTTCGCTCTCCATTAGTGCGAAAGATTCTGACTATATATATCTGCAATGTTATTTTGTCTCAGTCTAGGACTGATATAACGCTGATATATATATAGTCAGAACCCTTCAAATTAGCATATCAGAATATTAACCTAGGTTTACATAGACTGAGTCATATCCATATATGTTTTATGTACAATTAATTTGTTGAAATGGAATGAGTTTTTATTGGTATATTAATGAAAGATGAATGTGAAAGGTTCATTCTGGATTAACTATTAAGATCATATGGAGACTGTACGAATGTCTGATTTTTATTTCAGTAGTCTTAGTACTTAAGTAACAGCCACTGTAGTTAATAGTTATACTGTAACTGTTGTTGTATCTATATACAGAGCTACCCTCCAAGTTAGAACCACCTAGTCAACACATCCTCACTCATGGCATTCCTGACAGAGGTCCCAACATTCATGTCTATGAAAACCATGTTTTAGCTTATGACCAGGCAAAGAAAACCCCGATTTGGGTAGCTGAGAGGATAACGCAAAAACATGTTAATGGTGAGTACATATCCATAAGTAATGTTATATTGTAATAAAAGAATGATAAGATTATATAAATAGGTTTTGTGGTAAAAACAAAGACTTTTAATTCAAATTTTTGAAATGCATGTATACAGTTTAGGCAGATGAAAATAATACCTGACCTGGCCTACCCCAGTATTAAAATGGTAGAATATAAACTGGAAAATCAACAGTTGTATCTAGAATAGCATGCAAACCAAAAATACATTTAGTTCTAAGTCATGTTGGTTATGTATGCATGAGTGTTAATACTAAAATGATGGTTTCTTCAGGCCCAGCAGAGAGGAAGAATATACGATTCAGGCCTGACCCAGATGTATCATCTCGATTCAGTGCAGATAATTCTGACTATCTGAGAAGCGGATGGTCTCGAGGTCACATGTCACCAGCCGGGGACAATAAATATTCTCAGGTACAAGTTAATTTGTTGTTTAGTGAGCTGTGTCATATATTACAAACAAAATTATGATAAACATTGAGGTTTCAAAATTAAAACAAACTACATTGTATAATGTTTATAACTCATCATCAAAATCCAGGGCTTCTACTCTCTATCCATGCAACAAATTTGACTAAAACTATCAAAATTTACTTCACAACAATTACTGTGAAAAAGAATTTATCACATAACCGACCCGTTTTCCCATGTCATACGCCCCATGTCATAACAATGGTAATACACATGTGTAATAAAGGTTTGGGGTCTGCTGATTGGTCAAAACCATGTGAACGTATTCATACGCCCGCGCGCATACTACTTTTATTTACTACGACAACAAACTGTAGTAAAATATGGCTGACCAGATCAACATTGGCGACACAGTTTTTATTGATAAGAAGGGGACTGGTGTGGTGAAGGAGATAATCCCACGGGGGTTTGCTGTATTTTATAATGTTGAATTGTGTGGGATTGACTTTCAAATTGAGCTTGAGAGCGATCGTATTGAAAAGGTGGTAGATCCCTCCCAACAGCAGACGACCGCTCCGGATGGCGGTCCTGTTGCCCCTGAACCAAGTGGTTTCGTTTCAGTCAGAGAAGATGAGGTGGGAAGTTTATACAGGATCAATCAAACAAGAATACGTTGAGCAAAACTTTGTATGACATGAAACTTTTGTATAAATTTTTTGAGTTACCAGAAATAAATGAAAAGCTATCATTGAAAGTGACAGTGACTCACAGTAACTTGAGCAGTTAGGCCGAACCTGATGACCCGTGATGACGAGGCGAGTGACGTCATGTTACCAATATCAAGTGAATTTCCAGAAGATTTTTTTGTGTGATTTTTAAAAGTTATTTTGGCATTAAACAGAATTTAAATGCTTTACTTTGTCGATATTATTTTGGAACATAACAATCTCTTATTCAATAATTGAAAAAAGGTACTATTTGCAACATGGATGGATAAAACTATGATTGCTGTGCGTTGGTTTTGACCTATATAGAAACAGCTGATTGCATAGTGGAAGTAAATCGTAGTTTTCTGGCGATTTTTCCATTTTAATTGGTTATGTGATAAAAAGAATCTTACACTCGTGTCAATGTATTATGGAATTTATTAAACTCATTCAATAAATTCCATAATACACTGACACTCATGTAAGATCGTCTATATATCAACTTGTTGGCCGAGATGGAAATGTACAAAAAGTGTCAAACAGGTGACTTTACATTATGTATCTGAAGTTCACAATACATGGATTGTTACGTGTTTGTAGTTAACCATACATGGACTGTTACTATGTATGTGTAGTTAACCATACATGGACTGTTACTACGTGTGTGTAGTCAACCATACATGGACTGTTACTACATGTGTGTAGTTAACCATACATGGACTGTTATTACGTGTGTGTAGTTAACTATACATGGACTGTTACTACGTATGTGTAGTTAACTATACATGGACTGTTACTACGTGTGTGTAGTTAACCATACATGGACTGTTACTATGTGTGTGTAGTTAACCATACATGGATTGTTACTACATGTGTGTGTAGTTAACCATACATGGATTGTTACAACATTTTTGTAGTATTCATACATGGACTGTTACTTCATTGAATAATCATTTTTTCACTTTAATATAAAGGAAACATTTTGTTACAGGAGGCCATGTCACAGTCATTTTATCTGTCCAACATTGTACCTCAAAATCTAGAAAATAATGCTGGCTTCTGGAACCGTCTGGAAATATACTGCCGTGAACTGACACAACGATTCAATGCTGTTACTATATTTAGTGGGCCGATGTCTCTCCCTGTCACTTCAGATGATGGTAAACTGGTCGTAACTTATCCAGTGAGTATTGTTCAAAGTCTCTTTTGTACTTTTAATTTAATGTTTACGAAAATAAGGTATCCCAGAAAAAATTATTTTGAGACAATTTCTTTGTTCCATCAAGTATTTTCTTTCTTCTCTTTTTCTAATGCAAGAATATTTCATATCTGTTTTTTGAAGCAATTATATTAAAGCCTTTTGAAATTAGAAAATACAGGTTGCTATATTCTTTATGCTATATATGCATTCAGTCTATTTCAAAGTAAATGTTTAAATTTTTAACTTTTTAAGGAAATTGTTCCAAGTACTTGTCAAATTGAGATTAATGTAAAGATATAAGTATTGCAATTGTGCGTGACAAATTTTTCCAATCAGTATTTAACATTTGTGAAATGTACATTGTGTATACGGTTGGGCTATGCTTTTCAGACAATTATTAAAATTTGTAGGTTATCGGAAAAAACCAAGTGGCTGTTCCAACCCATTTATACAAAATAATCATTGTGGAGGATAAAAACTCAAATCCTGTAGGGATTGGTTCATTTATTGTCCCAAACAAGCCAATCGGATTTGAACATGCCTTAACCGAATATCAAGTTCCCCTGGACGAGGTTGAAAGAAAAACTGGAGTCCGATTTACCCCGGAGCTTGATACTTCACGCCTTGGTGATCTCTGTGAGATAGATTCTTGCAAACTTATGCAGAAAAGTGACTTTGAGTCTTATTTTATTGGGAGACGTTTGAAAGGTGCTCGGAATAGAGAAAATCTTGATAAAATTTGGAAAGAATTTGAAGTGAAAGGCGGAGCTCCATCACAAAACCATATTGATATGTATAACCAAAAGTTAAAGGATTTTGAGAATGAAATTCACAAACCAGAGGAGTGAAAAAAAAAGCAAACCTTGCATAGCACTGGTGAATCTATATTCAGATAATTTAGCATAGGAAAATCAATGTAGATAAGGAAGCCTACATATAGCTAGTGTCATGTCTTTGAATAAATATAATTGAATATTTCAGGTAAAGTTCAATAGGACAGGTTATCCTGTTCACAATGTATTCTCTACGTTATTGTATGTATTTTTTGTTTCACAAATACAAATTCAACATGAAAATCATATTTGCTGAATGACAATAAATTATGTTATCAAACAAAACATTTTTGAGGATAGGTATTTGAAATTTTCAATTGAAAAATAAACTTGATCTGTTACACAACATTTGCAAAACAGGCTATCAGCTTATATTAATCACTCTTGTTGGCCCAAATGGATGTGCAGGGGGGTCTTGCTGTGGGAGAAAACCGGAGTACCGGGAGAAAACCGGAGTACCTGGGGAAAACCCATCTGCGCCATCTGACCTTCCTTTCAACAAATCTTTTATTGTAAATGATATATGTTTTTAGCAATATGTGCATGACTTCGCCTGAAGTTCAGAAATACATGTTTTTAACTGATATAACTTTTAATAAAAAATACTCTTGACCAACATACTGGTCTATGTGTTCATCTCCTGTATAGAAAGAATACAATTATTGAGAATTATGGTCCTTGCCCTAATCAGTTTACTAGGTGCTAAAGTATTTAAATTTCAGAAAATGATCTCAGACTTTTTGTGGAATTTTACTATTTCTTGTGAATAAAAGAAACTGATGATCAATTTTGATGTTGTTTATGTTTTATGATATTTTGATGTTGTTTATGTTTTATGACATTTTGATGTTGTTTATGTTTTATGATATTTTGATGTTGTTGATGTTTTAAGATTATTTTGATGTTGTTTGTTTTATGATATTTTGATGTTGTTTATGTTTTATGATATTTTGATGTTGTTGATGTTTTATGATATTTTGATGTTGTTGATGTTTTATGATATTTTGATGTTGTTTGTTTTATGATATTTTGATGTTGTTTGTTTTATGATATTTTGATGTTGTTTATGTTTTATGATATTTTGATGTTGTTTATGTTTTATGATATTTTGATGTTGTTGATGTTTTATGATATTTTGATGTTGTTGATGTTTTATGATATTTTGATGTTGTTTATGTTTTATGAGAGTGTAGTACATCATTTGTTTTTGTTGTTCATACACATACATCTATATGTACATGAATGTAGCTGAACTCTGCCTGGTGTATTCTCATTTGGACAAGAAACCATTGTTAATGTATGAACAATTCTCATTCTACAAAAAGAGGTTGTCGGTGTGGCATGTACAGTGTAATCCTGCTGAAGAACATGGTTTGATTCATGTCGGGGAAGTCGGCAGGAATGTATATTTTTCCCTGTTCTTTTCATATTCATCATTCACACTAGAGAAAAGCATTTAGGTTCATCCTGCTTGTCAGTGAATGTTGATTCTGAAAAGATTTTGGATTTATTGTACAATTACAAACTAGACAACTTTCAATCACGTTACTCAGCATCAAGAGGGATGGACATCTCATTACAATGATACAAATGTAACACACTTGGGTCGTTGAAAGTCCACAGAACAAGTGAACTAGCCAAACAACAAGGAATACAAACAAGTACAAAGCAAATGTCATACCAGAGTCACAATACTGCACAGGAGTTTTGGGGAGTACACCAAACAAACAATATAAACAACTAGCAAAAGTGTGACAATGAAGAGCAGCATGGTGCATCAACAACAATCACGTCACACCAACCACATATACCACACCACAAGCTCCCTGACACGTCACACCAACCACAAATACCACAACACAAGCTCACTGACACGTCACACCAACCACATATACCACACCACAAGCTCCCTGACACGTTACACCAACCACGAATACCACAACACAAGCTTACTTACAGACCCATTATACCAACCACAAATACCACAACACAAGCTCACTGACACGTCACACCAACCACATATACCACACCACAAGCTCACTGACACGTCACACCAACCACGAATACCACAACACAAGCTCCCTGACACGTCACACCAACCACGAATACCACAACACAAGCTCACTGACACGTCACACCAACCACAAATACCACAACACAAGCTCACTGACACGTCACACCAACCACAAATACCACAACACAAGCTCACTGACACGTCACACCAACCACATATACCACACCACAAGCTCCCTGACACGTTACACCAACCACGAATACCACAACACAAGCTTACTTACAGACCCATTATACCAACAACAAATACCACAACACAAGCTCACAGACACGTCACACCAACCACAAAAACCAAAACACAAGCTCGCTTACAGACACGTCACACCAACTACAAACACCACAACACAAGCTTACTTACAGACACGTCACACCAACCACAAAAACCAAAACACAAGCTCGCTTACAGACACGTCACACCAACTACAAACACCACAACACAAGCTTACTTACAGACACGTCACACCAACCACAAAAACCACAACACAAGCTCACTTACAGACACGTCACACCAACCACAAAAACCAAAACACAAGCTCGCTTACAGACACGTCACACCAACCACAAAAACCAAAACACAAGCTCGCTTACAGACACGTCACACCAACAACAAACACCACAACACAAGCTTACTTACAGACACGTCACACCAACCACAAAAACCACAACACAAGCTCACTTACAGACACGTCACACCAACCACAAAAACCAAAACACAAGCTCGCTTACAGACACGTCACACCAACTACAAACACCACAACACAAGCTTACTTACAGACACGTCACACCAACCACAAAAACCACAACACAAGCTCACTTACAGACACGTCACACCAACTACAAATACTAAAACACAAGCTCGCTTACAGACACGTCACACCAACTACAAACACCACAACACAAGCTTACTTACAGACACGTCACACCAACCACAAAAACCAAAACACAAGCTACAGACACGTCACACCAACTACAAACACCACAACTCAAGCTTACTTACAGACACGTCACACCAACCACAAAAACCAAAACACAAGCTCGCTTACAGACACGTCACACCAACTACAAACACCACAACACAAGCTCACTGACACGTCACACCAACCACAAATACCACAACACAAGCTCACTGACACGTCACACCAACCACATATACCACACCACAAGCTCCCTGACACGTTACACCAACCACGAATACCACAACACAAGCTTACTTACAGACCCATTATACCAACAACAAATACCACAACACAAGCTCACAGACACGTCACACCAACCACAAAAACCAAAACACAAGCTCGCTTACAGACACGTCACACCAACTACAAACACCACAACACAAGCTTACTTACAGACACGTCACACCAACCACAAAAACCAAAACACAAGCTCGCTTACAGACACGTCACACCAACTACAAACACCACAACACAAGCTTACTTACAGACACGTCACACCAACCACAAAAACCACAACACAAGCTCACTTACAGACACGTCACACCAACCACAAAAACCAAAACACAAGCTCGCTTACAGACACGTCACACCAACCACAAAAACCAAAACACAAGCTCGCTTACAGACACGTCACACCAACTACAAACACCACAACACAAGCTTACTTACAGACACGTCACACCAACCACAAAAACCACAACACAAGCTCACTTACAGACACGTCACACCAACCACAAAAACCAAAACACAAGCTCGCTTACAGACACGTCACACCAACTACAAACACCACAACACAAGCTTACTTACAGACACGTCACACCAACCACAAAAACCACAACACAAGCTCACTTACAGACACGTCACACCAACTACAAATACTAAAACACAAGCTCGCTTACAGACACGTCACACCAACTACAAACACCACAACACAAGCTTACTTACAGACACGTCACACCAACCACAAAAACCAAAACACAAGCTCGCTTACAGACACGTCACACCAACTACAAACACCACAACTCAAGCTTACTTACAGACACGTCACACCAACCACAAAAACCAAAACACAAGCTCGCTTACAGACACGTCACACCAACTACAAACACCACAACACAAGCTTACAGACACGTCACACCAACCACAAAAACCACAACACTAAGCTCACTTACAGACACGTCACACCAACCACAAATACCAAAACACAAGCTTGCTTACTGACACGTCTCACCAACCACAAAAACCACAACACAAGCTCACTTACACGTCACACCAACCACAAATACCAAAACACAAGCTTGCTTACTGACACGTCTCACCAACCACAAAAACCACAACACAAGCTCACTTACACGTCTCACCAACCACAAAAACCACAACACAAGCTTGCTTACTGACACGTCACACCAACCACAAATACCAAAACACAAGCTTGCTTACTGACACGTCTCACCAACCACAAAAACCACAACACAAGCTCACTTACACGTCACACCAACCACAAAAACCACAACACAAGCTCATATACGTTCTTATATATACAGTATCATATCCTTCTTTACGTAAATGGTATTAGTACCAAATCCGTCAATGTATTAATCATCCAAATTAGAAAAAAATGATGAAAGAAGTTATTTAAGAAATAGGTGATATGCTTCATTTCACCATAGCCATGAACTCCCCTTGCCCGACCCTAAATTTCCCCACCCCAGACATGTTTTTTGTTGTTGATGTGTTTGTATGAATGTATCAGGATACTTAGAAAAAAAGTTAATAAGTAAGAAAATAGTAAAATGCTTCACTTTAAATTTCCCCACCCAGACATATTTTTTGTTATTCATTGTGGCATAGACGGCCCAGCTCTAACACATTTCTGTATCCCACTCACTCCCATCGGTTCCTACTAATTCCTCTAAACTAACTTTTTTTTTTTATATTTTCAGGTCCTTTGAAAGGGCACAAGGCCATTGCAATGGGCGTAAAATCCATTAAAGATAATAAATAAGTCCGTCCGTCAACTTTTCCAACAAATCGCTACTACTCATGCATGGCTGAACAGATTTCGACCAAATTTGGTCAGAAGCATCTTTGGGGGAAAGGAACTCAGTTTTTGTATACATGGCGAATAAAGCACCCGGCAGAAACTACACGATTGTAATTTAATGGTAGTGTCATTCAAAGATATTTCGTGAATAGTGTTTTCAGCCAATGGATTTTTCATGATCCCTCGGATTACAACTAAAATTAAATGTAGACGCATGTTTACAACGTCTTTTGAGGTAATTTACGTAACTGTGTTAAACAGTCCTGTCACTCCTCACGTACTTTACACATTATTGTGATGTTGGGGACTAATGCCGCCATCGCCGACGGCATTCAACTTAAAACGTTGAAATTTTTAAGCAGTAATGTTGATAATTACCTTGGGAAGCTATGAAATGAATCATTGATATGCTGAATCACGTTTTTCATAAACACACGACAAATGTCGATAACTCTGATAAGAAGAAAGGTTTAAAACATCATCTTTAAACTGCATCTTTCGAACCTACTCATAACTACATACTGTGAAGTTGTTTATACACAGATAAGACAAACGAATGTTAATATATCCACATTTTAATAATGTCACACGTACCCAGGTAAAATACACACAGAAGTGATAATGTATACTTTTACCAACAGATGGTACATGTGCGCATAAAGCTTTAGCTGCCAACTCTTTACAAATAAGTCAAACAAGGCTGATTGATTAACACGAGAACACAGATTCATCAATGCAAAGCTACAAACATTATTCCCTTCACCAAAGTGATTCACACTGACCCTTACATGGGTTCAACCTGACATGGTCTCTAGGAACATGGTGTTTCCGAGTGCACAACAGACGGCATATAAAGTGCACCGAAGGCACACCGAGCGGTGGTCAACTAAACTAGACTGATAATAAGTATGTCAATCACACAACCACAAACGTATGTCCATGTCTACATACAACCACAAAAGTATATCCATGTCTACATACAACCACAAACGTATGTCCACGTCTACATACAACCACAAAAGTATATCCATGTCTACATACAACCACCAAAGTATGTCGACGTCTACATACAACCACAAAAGTATATCCATGTCTACATACAACCACAAACGTATGTCCACGTCTACATACAACCACAAAAGTATGTCCATGTCTACATACAACCACAAAAGTATGTCCATGTCTACATACAACCACAAAAGTATGTCCATGTCTACATACAACCACCAAAGTATGTCCATGTCTACATACAACCACAAAAGTATGTCCATGTCTACATACAACCACAAAATTATGTCCATGTCTACATACAACCACAAAAGTATGTCCATGTCTACATACAACCACAAAAGTATGTCCATGTCTACATACAACCACAAAACTATGTCCATGTCTACATACAACCACAAAACTATGTCCACGTCTACATACAACCACAAAACTATGTCCATGTCTACATACCACCACAAAACTATGTCCACGTCTACATACAACCACAAAACTATGTCCACGTCTACATACAACCACAAAACTATGTCCACGTCTACATACAACCACAAAAGTATGTCCATGTCTACATACAACCACAAAACTATGTCCGCGTCTACATACAACCACAAAAGTATGTCCATGTCTACATACAACCATACAGTATGTTCATGTCTACATACAATCACAAACGTATGTCCAAGTCTACATACAACCACAAAAGTATGTCCACGTCTACATACAACCACAAAACTATGTCCATGTCTACATACAACCACAAAACTATGTCCATGTCTACATACAACCACAAAACTATGTCCATGTCTACATACAACCACAAAAGTATGTCCATGTCTACATACAACCACAAAAGTATGTCCATGTCTACATACAACCACAAAAGTATGTCCATGTCTACATACAACCACAAAACTATGTCCATGTCTACATACAACCACAAAACTATGTCCATGTCTACATACAACCACAAAACTATGTCCAAGTCTACATACAACCACAAAACTATGTCCAAGTCTACATACAACCACAAAACTATGTCCAAGTCTACATACAACCACAAAACTATGTCCATGTCTACATACAACCATACAGTATGTTCATTTCTACATACAACCACCAAAGTATATCCATGTCTACATACAACCACAAAAGTATGTCCACGTCTACATACAACCACAAAAGTATGTCCATGTCTACATACAACCACAAAAGTATGTCCACGTCTACATACAACCACAAAAGTATGTCCATGTCTTCATACAACCACAAAAGTATGTCCATGTATGACAACAAAAGTACGTATGTATGTTAAATAGAAGTGGAAGAAAGCAAAGACCTTTTTGAACCTACATCCATCACCGAGAGTAGAAATGATTTAGGATTGTTTAGATAAACAGATAATTTTTGTCGGAATAGGTTATCCTAGTTTAAGGACTTCTCCGGTTAGCGCAGATTTCATCAGCATCTCAGATATTTCGGAGGCGATGATGTAACCCTCGGGTGTGACGTCACATATCGCCTTACCTGGATTACAAACAAATACAAATATGTTATTTGGTGATGATAGAACATCAGTGAGAACGAAATATCCCTATATCAAAGGTTGTTACTTAGTAATTCTTGGTTAATGATGGTAAATTAAATCACAGGATGACAGGATGGAGTTCACTTTGTAGAATGAGCTTCACCACATAAAATCATAACACAGAATATAAACTGTAGAGCACTGAGGATAGAAACAATTTGTGAACAGTCAGATGACATCCATTCACCAGTGAAAATTCTAAACGTCTTACAATCAGTGATAGGATGTACTTTTTGCTTGTCGATGTATCTCAACATTAAAACAGGGATCATTATTACATACCTTTCACAACGTCCAAGAAATGTTCCATCTCTGTGTGGAAGCTTTGAAGATATCGGGTGACATAAGAGTCGTTTAGCTTGCCTATATTTGTACCACTCTCTGCGCATGAGCACTCAACTTTTGTAGCCATCATATCTTTACTCTTTGCAATCATTTTAGTGCCAAAAACCTGCCAAAGATAAACAAATCTGCTCTGTCTGAAAAATTAGAGTCTGGACTAAATTACTTGTAAACATTTTTGTATGTCGAGTACGTAGAATTTTCATTGAACATATTTCCATTGATATTTAAAAGAAAAGAAAACCGATAGTTATGTGAATGTGTTTATTGTAGCCAGCATAGGTAGTAGAAGGAATACTATCATCAGGTTGTGAAAATACTAGGACACAGCCCAGATAAAATGTGGAATTTCGGGTATAGTATTGAAGTGAGAGAAAAAGACTTTGATCAGGGGCCAACACCATGTCAGCTGTTATAATACAACCGAAGACCTGACAAATATCATGGTACTAATAATGTTTCTGTTTTCCTGTTTTGTATATAGTATAAACACAATGATTATTATCTTATAACTCAAATCTACAGAGTGATGGTAGTATTAAATTTCGAAATACAAAGGGAGATAACATGGCAAAAATAAAAATACAAAAAAACAATGGTGATGCTTTGAAACAATGAATTAACACCAAAAGACAACAAACTAATTATGCATTGTAATCGAATGCATTGTATCTCCAAATCGCAAAGGTACTCGAGAAATATTGAGCATATCTTTAGATATCAATTTGAAAATACATTATGTATAGAGCTACAGATGGAGACTTGTACAATACCAATACTGTTTATATGTACACATCACTATCGACATACATCTATCCAACATGATACCACAAGTCCTCAGAGACAATACCACACAACCTCAGAGACAATACCACTTAACCTCAGAGACAATACCACACAACCTCAGAGACAATACCACACAACCTCAGAGACAATACCACACGACCTCAGTGACAATACCACACGACCTCAGAGACAATACCACTTAACCTCAGAGACAATACCACATAACCTCAGAGACAATACCACATAACCTCAGAGACAATACCACTTAACCTCAGAGACAATACCACACAACCTCAGAGACAATACCACTTAACCTCAGAGACAATACCACTTAACCTCAGAGACAATACCACTTAACCTCAGAGACAATACCACACGACCTCAGAGACAATACCACACGACCTCAGAGACAATACCACACGACCTCAGAGACAATACCACACGACCTCAGAGACAATACCACATGACCTCAGAGACAATACCACTTAACCTCAGAGACAATACCACTTAACCTCAGAGACAATACCACACGACCTCAGAGACAATACCACACGACCTCAGAGACAATACCACATGACCTCAGAGACAATACCACATAACCTCAGAGACAATACCACTTAACCTCAGAGACAATACCACACGACCTCAGAGACAATACCACACGACCTCAGAGACAATACCACATGACCTCAGAGACAATACCACATGACCCCAGAGACAATACCACTTAACCCAGAGACAATACCACATAACCTCAGAGACAATACCACATAACCTCAGAGACAATACCACATAACCTCAGAGACAATACCACACAACCTCAGAGACAATACCACATAACCTCAGAGGCAATACCACATAACCTCAGAGGCAATACCACATAACCTCAGAGACAATACCACACAACCTAAGAGACAATACCACATAACCTTGGGAGGCATATATCTACACATATACGCCATTTATGCCCATCATCGACAGTTTTTAATGGGCAATGAAGACACATATTCGTGGAGCGATCATTTTGCATATGGGATTTCACCAACATGCATTTTGCGGGTTCACCAAGTACTCATGTTTGTCACCCAAGCCACGCTGTTCAACGACACGCTTTCAGAAATGGTTGTGTGTCTACGTGAGAGGTGTCTACAAAACACGACTCACAATATCGGACAGGCTTGAGAACGTTTTGTTTTGACAGATAACAGAGCTGGGAAAGATTGATGCAAGGAGTGCAATGAAACATCAAAATGTGAATAAGAAATGAGGACTTATTCTCTGGGAAAATTCTGATATTTTATTTGCATCAATTGCCATAGTGTCTGATTGCTTGTCAAATGCCTTGTCTCCAGGTAGCACCGTGTAACCATGTAGGTTCAGCGAAACTATCCAACGGTTACTCACTGCAAATACAGACTCTGACCAAGCATTAATAAGTCCAGCATTGCCCTATCCCTAGCATCCTTGGATTTCTTTGTTGAATATGATGTAGATTCTGAGCGTGATCATGACCAAACCGGATACAAGAGTCGGTGAAAAAACGTTCATTTTTTTGCTTTGACAGGGAAACCAATGCGTTTAAGTTGTGATCTTAGGAGTTTTACTGATGATGGATCCGACTGGATAGAAGGAGGTGATGGTGTTCGCATTGAGGAGAGAGAAACCCATACTTGTGACAGTGTTGTTGATACCTGCAAGTCTGATTCTAGACTATATGGTAGCAAGGACTGTTCTGCACCTTATATGATCGTTACTCAAAATGATCGCGATAAAATGATCGGTGGTGCAGGTGAGATTGATCCATTTCAAATAACGATCAAAATTACTGTAATCGTCCATATGATGAGTCATATCACCTAGATACTGAAATGGACAGCGCTACATCGGGAAATGCTTTCGAATTGACAACTAAATCTGGTGCACCAGCAGGTACAAATCTTGGTGTTTATCCGGATTGTCGGGAAATGATTAACGCATGTGAGTAACAACTAAGTCCTGATAGTCCGAACATTCCATACAAGGACTTTGATACAGATATATATCGGAGTCGTCAGGATGTTATTGGTCAGGCTCAGATCAGGAGAGGGACCTAGTAAAACGTCTGAAAGTGGATGTACACTCTTCTATCGCTGCCTATATGGAAAACAGAACACTCCAGGACTCTTAAAAATGTTACCAAAACTATGATGAAGAGGTGCTTCATTTCCCACACCATACCAACCATTTCTGGTCTTAGAAATTGACCTGTATGGACCACTTCCTCTACTAACACAACCTGGAAATTCTTACATATTGTCTGCATTAGACATGTTCTCAAAGTTCCTCAGAGGTTGTACAAAAGACACACACGTGAATAGCACCTTTTCATAATTTAGAGTTCGATACAGTAGAGCCAAACAATGTGTTGAACTGCATCATACAGCTGTTTCGTCCTTTCGTCACTGATGTTAATGGCCAAAATTTGAAACCACCATTACTGTCATTCACACTCAGTACAAAGTCTATGTCTCCCAATCATTGTATTCACCTTTTCAGAGAAGTAGAGTGGGCACTGATGGTTGGGTAGAAACAGCCTATGTTTGAGTGGGGCCGTGATGGTTGGGTAGAAACAGCCTATGTTTGAGTGGGGCTCAGATGGTTGGGTAGGAACAGCGTATGTTTGAGTGGGGCTCCGATGGTTGGGTAGAAACAGCCTATGTTTAAGTGGGGCTCCGATGGTTGGGTAGGAACAGCCTATGTTTGAGTCGGGCTGTGATGGTTGGGTAGGAACAGCGTATGTTTGAGTGGGGCTCCGATGGTTGGGTAGAAACAGCCTATGTTTGATAGGTGCTCCGATGGTTGGGTAGGAACAGCCTATGTTTGAGTGGGGCTCAGATGGTTGGGTAGAAACAGCCTATGTTTGATAGGTGCCCCGATGGTTGGGTAGGAACAGCCTATGTTTGAGTGGGGCTCAGATGGTTGGGTAGAAACAGCCTATGTTTGAGTGGGGCTGTGATGGTTGAGTAGGGATAGCCTATGTTCATCACGTTGAAATGTAACACCTCCAGAATGACCAATAGGTGGACGTGGTCTAGTAATCACATGGTGGACACAGTTGAAATTAGTTGGCCAGACTTTCCCTATAACTGACACCTTGTTGTTGGTTTAGACTGCCCCTGTCCAGCCTATAAACACATCGAGGCCCATCCCATTACAACGAAAATAGTGAATGATGGTGCTAGTCGTTTGTGGCAGCAAAAATTCCTGTCTGTTGTCACGCTGTGGGTACACAACTACACCCTGCTTAACCATAGCAGTCAATGACTCCGACGGTGCGGTGAATTCTACCATTTTGGACTTCAGATTTAGAAGTGTTAGGTGGCTCCTTAACAATGGTCTGGACACTATGTGTCAGTTGTCTAGGGAGATTTTAGCGACAATCAGCTGCCTCAACTGTTCCTTAACAATGGTCTGGACACTATGTGTCAGTTGTCTAGGGAGATTTTAGCGACAATCAGCTGCCTCAACTGTTCCTTAACAATGGGCTGGACACTATGTGTCAGTTGTCTAGGGAGATTTTAGCGATGACCATCTGCCTCAACTGTTCCTTAACAATGGTCTGGACACTATGTGTCAGTTGTCTAGGGAGATTTTAGCGATGACCAGCTGTCTCGCCCGTTCCTTAACAATGGCCTGGACACTATGTGTCAGTTGTCTAGGGAGATTTTAGCGACAGTCAGCTGCCTCAACTGTTCCTTAACAATGGTCTGGACACTATGTGTCAGTTGTCTAGGGAGATTTTAGCGACAGTCAGCTGCCTCAACTGTTCCTTAACAGTGGCCTGGACACTATGTGTCAGTTGTCTAGGGAGATTTTAGCGACAGTCAGCTGCCTCAACTGTTCCTTAACAATGGTCTGGACACTATGTGTGTTAGTTGTCTAGGGAGATTTTAGCGACAATCAGCTGCCTCAACTGTTCCTTAACAATGGTCTGGACACTATGTGTCAGTTGTCTAGGGAGATTTTAGCGATGACCAGCTGTCTCGCCCGTTCCTTAACAATGGTCTGGACACTATGTGTCAGTTGTCTGGGGAGATTTTAGCGAGAGTCAGCTGCCTCAACTGTTCTTGCAGTGTGTAATGCAACATTAACGTCCATACATTGGCACCTCTCACTAAAATGATAGGAACTGGGGCAGACCTGTGATCAACTGGGAAACCATTTTCCTGTCACATTTTTAAGGCCCCTTGTCCATGATAACATCTTGCGCATCTCCGATCATCGTGTGACTTCGGTTCCTGAAATGTTGCCGATAGCTGTACTAGGGATGGATCTAAACGGCCACAACATCCATTTTTATCGATAAACCCTCGTTGAATTGGCATACCAATCTGCCTTTGTAGACCTACCGCAACTATAGAACAGTTCCAAATGAAATACTACAGTACGGTAAACGGGAGCTGAATCTAGATGGAGGCCATCGTACATGTAATATCCGACTGAGAAAATTAGCACCATCCTCGTGAGGACATTGTCCGATGGAACAGCGAGTACAATACGTAATGACTTGTAGTTCTTACAGTTCATTAGCACAAGGTGTCTCAGTAAGTTATTGTGAGCAGGAATGAATTTTATCATTATCATTATGATGCTCGCAAGCGAGCCTCGGTCTGGTAGACACAATCTTGTGTATTTGACGAAAAACTCATTAGCCGCTTCAGTCAATTTGCGCCATATTTATTTTTCTCCCGGAAAGTGCACTAAAGGGTATACCATATATCATACAATGTTACTGGACGGCAGTGAAAATATCCGAAATATCCGAACGATACGGAATATTTTTGCAATTACTATTATGATTAGAATTTGTAAGAAAATGTCATCTCTACGATTATCGTGTTGAATTTGCTCATGGTTTGATCGGCGATCCTTAGGAGTACTAGTTCCCCGAGGTAAATTCACTTAGACGCTTGATATATATTTATACAGACCGATATCAAACATTCTCACGACAAGGTCGCCACACCATCGCAAGTAAAGTGGAACGCTGGTTCAGTTAGCCTTTATGGTTTATATACTGATGTATGTATTTATGAAGTTGTCAGCTCATATCATATCTGAGTATGGTATCATTTATCCGTAAATAAAGAAAAGACTGCTATGTCATAAAAAAAATCCTTTAAAAGAGCGTAATATTTGCTTATTTGCGCTTGTAAACAGAACCGGTCGAAAACAAGACATTAACGAAGCACTCTATATCAAAATACTGATTTCTCTTAGAGTTACCCCCCTTTATATGAACGTGCAAAAACGTTGCTTCGATGCAGCAGGTTTTCCGCATATGTCTGGTGATGTCAAGTTATGACTACAATCAGTATTGCAAGAATTTATGTAGATTTAAAGAACAAAGCACGTCTGAAGAGAGTATACGTTTCAAGACTTGATTATGGAAATAACTGGGTACCGAAGAAGCAATTCAAATGTACTAAAAATCAAACAGCATAGATGTTCCGACAGACTGGGATATTCAGCATGATAATCTTTTCCGCGTTTTTACTTTTGTACACAGGCCGGCATTCAGGCAAAGTTTTATATAGTCTATTGGTTCATGTTCTGATGGCTGAATACATAACCACTAACTGTTCGTGTTCTCGTGACTTGAAACATAATCAGTAACTGCTCGTGCATAACCACTAACTATTTACCTCTACTGTTTGGCTATATCCATATCCACTCTCACGTGACATTTCGAGTTGTCCAATTACTCCGCTAGGAAACGTCAAGATGGCGGATGCTGAATCGTATTCTCCTAAGCTCTTGTAAGTTTCGGCTTTTTCGGAGGATCTGGTCACAGTTGCCATTAGAGAATTTGGTTTCTCGCCCGCCAGCCAACACACATAGTCAATGTCATGGATCCCCATATCGAGAAAGATACCTCCTAAAATCAAGGCAAACCAATTTACCGGTACTACTTGGCAGAATGCGCACTATCAAAAAACTGATTTGATGAAATGAAACTTGTTTCTGCAAAGCTGATTTGACTAAATCGTGACATTTTTGCATCTTATCTTATTCATGATTTTTTTTTACAGATATCGCAACGTGTTGCAATGAACCATATAGCTCCGAACTCTGCGATAAAGTATACATTGTATGCAAGAAATGAAATATTGACATCGGAGAATCACACATACTCATTCACCATCTCAGACAGACAGACAGACAGACAGACATACTGTATTTTGTTATCCTCAAATTAACATAGAAAATCTAAGTACACTTTATAAGCAGAATGATAAATATATCAGAATATACTTATTGGCGTTACTTATTTACCAGTACTATGCTTTAAATACTGCACTGGTTGACCTAGGTCATGTGACGTCATCTTTATAACCCGGAGACTTCCATACTTCCCGATCAATAAATCGTCTCGAATTTGACGGAATTGGGAATCAAATCGTCTGAAATAAAATGAATTAAATTTTTGTTCTAGATGCCAATAAAAGTTTCTTTATCATTCGGTATTACGTCAGTAATGAATATCTGTTCAAAGAGTCATCAGAAAGACAAATTATTTGAGAATCACGTAAAATGGCCACTTGTACCCGACATGTACCACACATTTATGGGCTTAGTGCACCTCTCGTATGTTTGTTCCTTGTTATGCTCACGAAGGGAGAGCAAATACTTGCTGCTTTGTCCGTCTGTTATAATTTTGTCCGGAGCATATCGCAAAAAACTATAAAGAGGTCTCAACATAAAACTCCAGATGTAGATAGGTATCCGCAAGGAGAGGCGCACTGTACAAGAACCAACACCCTATTTTGCATGATTTAGGAGGTATTGAAACATAGTGTATACACTTGTCAATACTAAGAGAATTTGCAGTATTCCAAATTCAGGGCCTCCAACTTCATAGTTAAATAATTATTTCCCTTTGTTAAAATTTTGTGTCCGTGAAAGTCGTTTTCCGGGATCATTCATCAGTTTCACTGAAACTCTTGTTAGGTTTGGGCTCAGCAACCCCGAACATTTATTGAGAAATCAAACAAAGCAGTATGTCATCCAAGTCATTAATGGGCATCATAGCAGTTTAAAGCTGTTTTTAATTCCTTCTAAGGACTCTGTTATGCTGAGGACCTAAGTTACGATAACCTAGTAGCGAAGGAGGAATTTCCAGAAGACCAGATTAGGAGATGTAACTACCGATAAATTTAAGTTTATCATGTTCATTTTACCTGTTGACGGCACAGAACAGGATTTTGCGCTGTCGTGTTGCCTCTGCGTAACAATTCTTAACCGATTCCAGTGTTAACGCTAGTGGTTTCTCACAGAAAACGTGTTTCCCTGCAAAAAATCATTCTTATCATTGTTCAGCAATAATTTCAGTTAAATGAATAAGTGTTGTCAACGGCAGGGGCAAATGTATATGAAAGAACTATCACAGCGTGATATTGACATTCTGTTAACAAAATGGTTTAAAAAATTATCACCGAATACGCAGAAAATAAGAGTTTCGGTGTTATCAGCTGAACCTTCGATCTGTAGGATGTTCTGTTTCAGGTCCCTGTCTGACCCATGATTTCTGTGGGTGTTCTTATTCAGGTCTCTGTCTGGATCACGATTTCTGTGGGTGTTCTGTTTCAGGTCTCTGTCTGGATCACGATTTCTGTGGGTGTTCTTATTCAGGTCTCTGTCTGGATCACGATTTCTGTGGGTGTTCTGATTTAGGTCTCTGTCTGGACCACGATGTCTGAGGGTGTTCTGTTTCAGGTCTCTGTCTGGACGACGCTTTTTTTGGGTGTTCTTATTCAGGTATCTGTCTGGACGACGATTTCTTTGGGTGTTCTGTTACAGGTCTCTGTCTGGACCACGATGTCTGAGCGTGTTCTGTTTCTGGTCTCCCTTTGGACCACGATTTCTTTAGGTGTTCTGCTTCAGGCGTATTTGTCTAGACCACGATTTCTGTAGGATGTTCTGTTACAGGTCTCTGTCTGGACCACGATTTCTGTAGGATGTTCTGTTACAGGTCTCTGTCTGGACCAAGATTCTTGGGGGTGTTCTGTTACAGGTCTCTGTCTGGACCAAGATTCTTGTGGGTGTTCTGTTACAGGTCTCTGTCCGGACTGCCATCTATGTGTGTTCTGTTTTGAATTTCATTGTCATGACTGCAGTATATAGGTGATATGTATCAGATTGGCATGTCTCGACTGCAATCTGAGGGTATCCTCTCTTGGGTTTTGTTGTCTGAATTGGGTTTATTTGCTTGGATAGAGATCTGCAAGCGTTATGTCTCAGGTTTCGTGCTCTCAATTCAGGTCAATTAGTATTCTGTTTTAGGTTTCTTGTCTCGATTCAGTGGGGGGTGGGGGTGGGGGGTGGGGTGGAGGTAGGGGGTGTTGGGTGGGGGGGGGTGCAACTCCCGAGGCCCTGTTGATGGGACATTAGATTATAACATGAGGATAATAACGAACTCCATTGTTGAAATGTTTGCTGTAGAAAAACGTTTGAGGTCTGATGTACACATACTTAAATCAAATACACGAATTCAATAACATTTTACACTGTACAAATATGTAATAAAATAGTCCAAGTCTTCTAGTGTTCTTTTCTCGTTCAGATGGACGAATGTTAGCAAACATGTCAACATAGAGATAGAAGGACCTGTTCTACATATCAGGACATCGCCTAGTTTCAGGAAGATATGTTACATATTAAAGTGTAATGTATAATGACTAACGATAAGTACATAAGTTACAATACAAACAAACATGGCGACTGATAAATCACCGACAATGTACGACAAGTGTTGTTTACATTTTTACTATTGACGAGAATGTCACGGGTAGTTTATCAACATTAAAGTAAAAAAAATTCTATAAGGTCTGTATTGATACGTACAAACAACAGATAATTCTACGTAATTCTTTGACCAATCAAAGCTTAATTCATTTAATTCATCAGCCAATCAAAACTCTTCCACAATCCGTCATCTTATGTCGGCTTGGTGTCATCAATGGCTGCCAACATCATTGGGCAACATCATACAAACTCTTTGGACTGCAGGCTTGTCATATTGATAGAGTTTCTTGTTTCAAATCATGGGGATAAAAACTAGCCAATCAAAAAACTGTTATGAAAACTCGCCAATCAGAACGTTCTTTAACGGTAACTCAGGATTTCGAAAAATGTACGTACCTGCTTTAAGGGCCTTCATTATGACGTGTTCATGGTAAATGGTTGGCGTACAGACAATCACGACTTTAACCCTGTCCAACACAATCTCAAAGGTGTTCATTTTGTTCAATTAATTTTAAGTAAAAATGATAGCTTTTATGTAATGTCAGGTATTAAACGTCTTGTTGCTATAACCTACCGTTTAGTTGCAATAGTAAACACTTGTTACAGGGAACTGAAAAAGATGGACACTACCAACCAAGAAAATTTTGGTAATTGTAAAGCACTAAAAAGACAGCTCCGGTACTAAAAGACTCCTAGAAAATGGTGTAATTACAGCAATTCACTGCTTAGGTATAACGGGCATTCAGGTATAGAAGTCAGTGAGAGTACACTGTCAATAGAAAGCAGTGAAAGTACACTGGCAATTGAAGACAGTGAAAGTACATTGTCAATAGAAAGCCAGCAGTGAAAGTGCGTTGTCAATAGAAGACAGTGGAAGTACACTGTCAATAGAAGTCAGTGAAAGTACACTGTCAATAGAAAGCAGTGAAAGTACACTGTTAATAGTAGGCAGGGAAAGTACACTGTCAATAGAAGACAGTGAAAGTACACTGTCAATAGAAGGCAGTGAAAGTACATTGTCAATAGAAGGCAGTGAAAGTACACTGGCAATTGAAGACAGTGAAAGAACACTGTTAATAGAAGTCAGTGAAAGTACACTGTCAATTGAAGACAGTGGAAGTACACTGTCAATAGAAGACAGTGAAAGTACATTGTCAATAGAAGACAGTGAAAGTACACTGTCAATAGAAAGCAGTGAAAGTACATTGTCAATAGAAGGCAGTGAAAGTACATTGTCAATAGAAGGCAGTGAAAGTACATTGTCAATAGAAGGCAGTGAAAGTACATTGTCAATAGAAGGCAGTGAAAGTACACTGTCAATAGAAGGCAGTGAAAGTACACTGTCAATAGAAGGCAGGGAAAGTACACTGTCAATAGAAGACAGTGAAAGTACATTGTCAATAGAAGACAGTGAAAGTACACTGTCAATAGAAAGCAGTGAAAGTACATTGTCAATAGAAGGCAGTGAAAGTACATTGTCAATAGAAGGCAGTGAAAGTACATTGTCAATAGAAGGCAGGGAAAGTACATTGTCAATAGAAGGCAGTGAAAGTACATTGTCAATAGAAGGCAGTGAAAGTACACTGTTAATAGTAGGCAGTGAAAGTACATTGTCAATAGAAGGCAGTGAAAGTACATTGTCAATAGAAGGCAGTGAAAGTACATTGTCAATAGAAGGCAGTGAAAGTACATTGTCAATAGAAGGCAGTGAAAGAACATTGTCAATAGAAAGCAGTGAAAGTACACTGTTAATAGTAGGCAGTGAAAGTACATTGTCAATAGAAGGCAGTGAAAGTACATTGTCAATAGAAGTCAGTGAAAGTACACTGTCAATAGTAGGCAGTGAAAGTACATTGTCAATAGAAGGCAGTGAAAGTACACTGTCAATAGAAGTCAGTGAAAGTACACTGTCAATAGAAGACAGTGGAAATACACTGTCAATAGAAAGAAGTGAAAGTACACTGTTAATAGTAGGCAGTGAAAGTACATTGTCAATAGAAGGCAGTGAAAGTACACTGTCAATAGAAGACAGTGGAAATACACTGTCAATAGAAAGAAGTGAAAGTACACTGTTAATAGTAGGCAGTGAAAGTACATTGTCAATAGAAGGCAGTGAAAGTACATTGTCAATAGTAGGCAGTGAAAGTACATTGTCAATAGAAAGAAGTGAAAGTACACTGTTAATAGTAGGCAGTGAAAGTACATTGTCAATAGAAGGCAGTGAAAGTACATTGTCAATAGAAGACAGTGGAAATACACTGTCAATAGAAAGAAGTGAAAGTACACTGTTAATAGTAGGCACTGAAAGTACATTGTCAATAGAAGGCAGTGAAAGTACATTGTCAATAGTAGGCAGTGAAAGTACATTGTCAATAGAAAGAAGTGAAAGTACACTGTTAATAGTAGGCAGTGAAAGTACATTGTCAATAGAAGGCAGTGAAAGTACATTGTCAATAGTAGGCAGTGAAAGTACATTGTCAATAGAAAGAAGTGAAAGTACACTGTCAAAAGAAGTCAGTGAAAGTACATTGTCAATAGAAAGAAGTGAAAGTACACTGTTAATAGTAGGCAGTGAAAGTACATTGTCAATAGAAGGCAGTGAAAGTACATTGTCAATAGTAGGCAGTGAAAGTACATTGTCAATAGAAAGCAGTGAAAGTACACTGTCAATAGAAGGCAGTGAAAGTACATTGTCAATAGAAGACAGTGAAAGTACATTGTCAATAGAAGGCAGTGAAAGTACATTGTTAATAGAAGACAGTGAAAGTACATTGTCAATAGAAGGCAGTGAAAGTACACTGTTAATAGTAGGCAGTGAAAGTACATTGTCAATAGAAAGCAGTGAAAGTACACTGTTAATAGAAGGCAGTGAAAGTACATTGTCAATAGAAGTCAGTGAAAGTACACTGTCAATAGAAGACAGTGAAAGTACATTGTCAATAGAAGGCAGTGAAAGTACACTGTTAATAGTAGGCAGTGAAAGTACATTGTCAATAGAAGACAGTGAAAGTACATTGTCAATAGAAGGCAGTGAAAGTACATTGTCAATAGAAGTCAGTGAAAGTACACTGTCAATAGAAGACAGTGAAAGTACATTGTCAATAGAAGGCAGTGAAAGTACATTGTCAATAGTAGGCAGTGAAAGTACACTGTTAATAGTAGGCAGTGAAAGTACATTGTCAATAGAAGACAGTGAAAGTACATTGTCAATAGAAGGCAGTGAAAGTACATTGTCAATAGTAGGCAGTGAAAGTACACTGTTAATAGTAGGCAGTGAAAGTACATTGTCAATAGAAAGCAGTGAAAGTACATTGTCAATAGAAGGCAGTGAAAGTACACTGTCAATAGAAGGCAGTGAAAGTACATTGTCAATAGAAAGCAGTGAAAGTACACTGTTAATAGTAGGCAGTGAAAGTACACTGTCAATAGAAGGCAGTGAAAGTACACTGTTAATAGAAGACAGTGGAAATACACTGTCAATAGAAAGAAGTGAAAGTACACTGTTAATAGTAGGCAGTGAAAGTACACTGTCAATAGAAGTCAGTGGAAATGCACTGTTTACAGAAACCAGAGGAAATGCACTGTTCATAGAAGGCAGTGAAAGTACCTTGTCAATAGAAGGTAGTGGAAGTACCTTGTCAATAGAAGACAGTGGAAATACATTGTTAATAGAAACCAGTGGACATACACTGTTAATAGAAGACAGTGGAAATACACTGTTAACAGAAACCAGTGGATATACGCCGTTTATAGAAGACAGTGGAAATATACTGTTAACAGAAGACAGTGGACATACACTGTCTATAGAAGACAGTGGAAATACATTGTTAGCAGAAGACAGTGGAAATACACTGTTTACAGAAACCAGTGGAAATACACTGTCTATAGAAGACAGTGGAAATACACTGTTTACAGAAACCAGTGGAAATACACTGTCTATAGAAGACAGTGGAAATACACTGTTAACAGAAGACAGTGGAAATACACTGTTAACAGAAGACAGTAGAAATACACTGTTAGAAACCAGTGGAAATACACTGTCTATAGAAGACAGTGGAAATACACTGTTAACAGAAACCAGTGGAAATACACTGTCTATAGAAGACAGTGGAAATACATTGTTAGCAGAAGACAGTGGAAATACACTGTTTACAGAAACCAGTGGAAATACACTGTCTATAGAAGACAGTGGAAATACACTGTTAACAGAAACCAGTGGAAATACACTGTCTATAGAAGACAGTGGAAATACACTGTTAGTGGACATAAACTGTCTATAGAAGACAGTAGAAATACATTGTTAACAGGAAACAGTGGAAATACACTGTCAATAGAAGACAGTGGAAATACACTGTTAATAGAAGACAGTGGAAATACACTGTTAACAGAAGACAGTGGAAATACACTGTTAACAGAAACCAGTGGACATAAACTGTCTATAGAAGACAGTGGAAATACACTGTTAACAGAAGACAGTGGAAATACACTGTTAACAGAAGACAGTGGAAATACACTGTTTACAGAAACCAGTGGAAATACACTGTTAACAGAAACCAGTGGATAGAAGACAGTAGAAATACACTGTTAACAGAAGACAGTGGAAATACACTGTTTACATAAGACAGTAGACATAAACTGTCTATAGAAGACAGTGGAAATACACTGTTTACAGAAACCAGTGGAAATACACTGTCTATAGAAGACAGTAGAAATACACTGTTAACAGAAGACAGTGGAAATACACTGTTAACAGGAAACAGTGGAAATACACTGTCAAAACAAGACGGTGGAGGAATACATTGAAAGACACTTTCTATAGACGACATCAAAATGAAAGAAAAACATTGTCAATAAAAGTCGGTGAATGGAAAAAGTGCACTTTTCAACAGGAGAAAGTAAAATGATAAATGGTTTGAATGTTAATTAAAAGCATTGAAGGAGAACCGATTATACAGCATAAAGACATGAAATTGTAAACATTGACTTTCTCACTTTTTTCTGCTGTTATGTCTACCTAAGATTCATGTCTGTTCTTCACCTCCTGTCACCTGTTTCATATATTCAAATGTACTTGCATAATACTCGTTCATCTCTATATTGCAAACACAATCTTTAATGTTCTCTTTCGGTACTTCAAATATCTACGACACCCCGACATCTCTGTCGGTTCGAGCATAAGGTGACATCAGATAAGGATTCAATGTGAAGGATTTCATAGGAATTTGAAAATCAGTCGGTATTGTCATTGTTGTGTCTTTGGGCAAGTTCTTTTACCTTAAATGCTTTGGAATTCATGAGGCGGACCTCCTGTATGTTATTCAATGAGGTGACCAGCAGCTACCAGAAAGACATCCTATATATTGCTATAGAAATAAATCTCGTAGTGATGTTTAATGCTATAAAATGAATATGGAGCTTCACTCTCCCCCTTTCAACATATATTTGTTCTAGTTCATATAAAAAAGTCGATAGTTCCCAGAACCTGTAAAAATGTAAGTATGGATGAGAAAACATTACCTAGAATCGTCCATCACTCTGTCTAGGTCCTCAGGGGTCGTTACCTTGGCTTCGTCGTTTAATCTGTATTTTCTGACGAGCTCAGAAATTTCCTCGTGGCTTTCCACGACGTCAACTAGCCATCTAATACGGAACTCAGATATGTCTACAAGATTCCTTAGGTGGACTTTTCCAATCCTCCCTACTCCAACTAAGGCTGCTCCAACTTCAACGTGTGACATCATTATTCTAACTAAAATCTGTAAAAATAAATTTGTTGTGTATAAAGAAATCGTTCCCGTAAATGATTCGAGTTTGATCTCATAGAGAGTTTTCTAACACGACATGTTCGCTCTACAAACTAAATCATTACTTTTTACGACTGAGGGCTGTACATAACGGTCATAATTTTTCTCTCGTGATTGGTTCAATTACCTTTATTGATGATATTGAAGTTATTTCAATGTGTATGTACTAGCAGTATAGACCAGAACACCTCCGCCACACACACACACCACACACATCATCACCTTCACCACCATACAAACACACCACCACCATACACACACACCACCACCACACAAATCATCACCTTCACCACCATACACACACACCATACATACACCACCACCACACACATCATCACCTTCACCACCATACACACACCACCACCACCACACACACACCACAACACACACACCACCACCACCACCACACACACCACCACCACACACACACCACCACCACCATACACACACCACCACCACACACATCATCACCTTCACCACCATACACACACCACCACCACATACATCATCACCTTCACCACCATAAACACACCACCACCACCACACACACCACGCACACACACACACACCCTCACCACCACCACACACACACACACACATCATCACCACCACCACTCACATACCACCACACATACCACCACAACACACCACCACCACCACCACACACATACCACCACACACACCACCATACACACACACCACCACCACACACATCATCACCTTCACCACCATACACACACACCACCACCACCACATACATCATCACCTTCACCACCATACACACACCACCACCACCACACTCATCATCACCTTCACCACCATAAACACACCACCACCACCACACACACCACACACACACACACACACACCACCACCACACACACACCACACACATCATCACCTTCACCACCATACAAACACACCACACACACACCACCACCACACACATCATCACCTTCACCACCATACACACACACCACCACCACACACATCATCACCTTCACCACCATACACACACCACCACCACCACATACATCATCACCTTCACCACCATACACACACACCACCACCACACACATCATCACCTTCACCACCATACACACACCACCACCACCACATACATCATCACCTTCACCACCATACACACCACCACCACACACACACCACACACATCATCACCTTCACCACCATACAAACACACCACACACACACCACATACATCATCACCTTCACCACCATACACACACCACCACCACCACACTCATCATCACCTTCACCACCATACACACCAAACACACATACCACAACACTGCACACACATCACATACACAGACGTCAAAATACAAACACAACACACACAACCATTAACAAAAACACACACACCACCACCACTACAGTCTACTATGATGTATGCCGTCGATGGAATTTCTTCCGGGTCCTCCTTGTGCTAATCTAGGCAATACATTACGTATAGTAGTAAGGTTCTCGTGGTACTCTCCATCCATGTTAACGTTGGTACCAATATTTTGTACACAAGCTTTTTGTTTCAAAAGTGGTCAAGGACGATATTTGATGTATAACATAGACCGATGAGAACCAGAATCCAACCAGGTATATACCTTGGTGGGCTGTTGCTGTGTTGTGAATATAAACTAAATCGGAGGTTTGCCGGATCCTGTATGCCACGTTACAATTCATTTAAAATCTATACGGGTAGTTGTACCAGCCTAGAGTTTAAGAAATTTCGTTACCTTCGTACAGGAGATAATTTGAAGATAGCGTCAAGTGCATGTGCATGTTGTGAATCGTATCACTATTCAAATTAATTGAAACGTGGCAAAGAACATTGTACAGACCGTAAATGACTTTAAATCCTTTAACCATTCTGTGGAGTTTACTGGGGTATTACAAATACCATACAATAAAGATTAAATTGGGGTGTGGGCTAAACCAAATGTACCGTGAAACAGGTCCTTTGAATTTAAAAGTGCAGTTCTTCCGTACAACCGTTGCTAACAGAAGATAAATACGATATATCACTATTAAGTTTTACACAAAAAATAAATTCAACATCTCTCTACGAGTTACACACAGAAGATAAATCTAACATATCTCTACAAGTTACACACAGAAGATAAATTCAACATCTCTCTACGAGTTACACACAGAAGATAAATTCAACATCTCTCTACAAGTTACAGACAGAAGATAAATTTAACATCTCTCTACGAGTTACAGACAGAAGATAAATTCAACATCTCTCTACGAGTTACACACAGAAGATAAATTCAACATCTCTCTACGAGTTACACACAGAAGATAAATTTAACATCTCTCTACGAGTTACACACAGAAGATAAATTCAACATCTCTCTACGAGTTACACACAGAAGATAAATTCAACATCTCTCTACGAGTTACACACAGAAGATAAATTCAACATCTCTCTACGAGTTACACACAGAAGATAAATTCAACATCTCTCTACGAGTTACACACAGAAGATAAATTTAACATCTCTCTACGAGTTACACACAGAAGATAAATTCAACATCTCTCTACGAGTTACACACAGAAGATAAATTTAACATCTCTCTACGAGTTACAGACAGAAGATAAATTTAACATCTCTCTACGAGTTACACACAGAAGATAAATTCAACATCTCTCTACGAGTTACACACAGAAGATAAATTCAACATCTCTCTACGAGTTACACACAGAAGATAAATTCAACATCTCTCTACGAGTTACACACAGAATATAAATTTAACATCTCTCTCTCTCTACGAGTTACACACAGAAGATAAAGTTAACATCTCTCTACGAGTTACACACAGAAGATAAATTCAACATCTCTCTACGAGTTACACACAGAAGATAAATTCAACATCTCTCTACGAGTTACACACAGAAGATAAATTTAACATCTCTCTACGAGTTACACACAGAAGATAAATTTAACATACCAAATGACATAGAGAAGAAAAATAAGAAAATGTCATCAATTTTGATATATTGTATTAGAAAATAAGAGCATCTCACAGAGATATTAAATCCCACGTACCTGATTTCTCTCCTACAAGATATTGGTCATGGAAACTTCATATGAACGACTAAGCTTATCAGGTCAGGTTTTCTAAGATAAAATAATCAGGTTTTATAAAGTTACGTGGTGTGTCGTGACATTTCACGTAACGGGAACCAACTTGTGATATGTCACCTCGCTCTGTTGCTCTCTCGATCTACAGGTGATATTACCCTACACTTCCACACATTAGTCTATATTTATCTTTTAAAACCCATTTCTATTTATCTCAGAAGTGTTGTCTTTCTCATTTCCTGTTTTAAACGAATGTCTGCATGTGCTATGTTCGTCTCTCGGTCCGACCTATCTCTGTGTCTTTAATTTTTTTTTGTCCGACTTCTCTATCAAGTAGGATCTTGTCAAAGCACAGGGACTTGGCACGAATGGCAAACCCACCGTCCACACCACAAGGACTTCTCACGAATGTCTGTCCCATGATAGATATAACAGGGATTTGGCACGAACTCCTAACCGACGGTCCATACCACATGGACTTAGCACGAATTCCTAACCCACGGTCAGTATCACGGACTCGGAACAAATTCCCAAGTCAGGGTCCATATCACAGGGACTTCACAACATTGCTCCCTGGACATCCACTCCAATCAACTGGACGTAACTGTATCAACATTGACGGGTCGATGGGCTCTCGCATAGGAGGTAGCATATTTCTTACGCGTTTACTCCTGTTGAAAGTTAAACATACAGCACATATATTTATGTGCGAAAGGGTTGTTCATTTCAAATTTTAAAAAAATTTAAAGAATGACAAAAATAAAATTTGACATTTAATTATCCGACTCTTGAGACCTGTTTACGAAAACTGCCGCTTCGCAAACACCGTGACGTCATCGATTCAGGAATTTGTTACATCATATACTTTGCATGAATGCATTAATGAAGACTGTTTAAGGGAGCAACATTAATATACAAGCGTGTGATGAACTTTCGCGAGAACCATCGTCATGTGATACATGCGCATCACAAACCTTTTGATACAGTGGTCATGATGTTGTTTATTTATTAACCACTATCAAACCACTTGTAGTACTCAGTTGTACTCAGTTTCACTGCTATTGTCATCAACTACTTTTATTGTGTCATTGTCCAAGTGTCGAAATCTTTTTGACCGCGTCAGGATTTTACCCAGAAAGCAGTTCATCGAAATTGCATCATTAGAACCAATGTGTGTTCTTCACAAAGGTAGTCTAGGGTTTCCAGGCTGTAAGGCAGTGGTAAAGAATAGTAAAATGTACCGGACAGGAACGACTGGTGAGAAAGTACATCAAGGACCTCGCCAGCATTGTGCCATTGTGAACAAGTTCTATGCGTGTTCCAAGTTTTCAGGAAAACGACTAATGTTTCTGAATCGATCCTAAAACGCAGAGACGAATACTTTTCAAGTGGATCAGTGTTATTGATGTGACCGTAATCAAACATGTCCTTGAAAGTGTTCCGTCAAAATCTGTAAATTGGCGAACACGGAAACTCCATATCATCTCAATTCGCTGGTTTGCAGTTTATCTACCCAGGGTGAAGCTTTTGTGTCCGGACATGTCATCATCATGATCTATACTTAGATCAGGGATTTGGGAAGGACATGCGCCTTGTGCGAATAGCGCATACTTACCTATGTAAATATTTTATACATTTTTATTTCCTACTTTTGTACAATTGTAAACACTAACATATTAATGCTAAAAGAGTAAATTTGTTATCAGTTTCCTTATCTTACTTTACGTGCAGAGTGTATGAATATAATATTACCTTGCAGGTGCTCAAGGACAGAAAATCTCCAACTTTGACATCAAAAACTAATGTGAAGCAACAATAGTACTATGCAAAACGTAGTGTCGAGTCATTTAAATACCACTTGGACAATATGAGAGGATTGTTGGAGTTGCTGACTGTACACCACAAAGCGAACATCCGATATCTTATTATATCGGCAAATTGGCCCTACCCAACCCTATCACACCGCAGCTTGTAAGAGTGTTTTACAACATGTCTGCGCACAAAAAAAGGGAGGGGGAGGGGGGGGGGAAATGCAGAAAACAAACTTTCAGTAGTTAGCGAATAAAAGTTACTTCTGACAACTGTGCTTATTGACAATTGTCCATTCATTTTCAAAATATCCCATAATTTTTCGGACATGGGGCCGTAGCCCCAGAGGTTCTAACTACCTTCCCAGTCCTTGCAGAACTGCTTGAAAGCGCCAATGGTGCTGTTGTCGTTGCATTAATCGAAACGACTCAATCTTGGTACTCGTTTCATTTGCTTTAGATACTGAATGAAATAATATATGCGACGTATTTTTTTTTGCTAGATTGGCAAGCTTTAAACCACAGAATTGTCCCGGAAAGCCCAGCACCGTGTATCGATATACTGAATCGTTAGAGTTGATCGTATCCGTCAAATATGGATGGTCAAAACTGGAACCTTGCAAATCCTGCGCCTAAGTCTTTATCTTGACCTTAATTTAATTTCGTTTACATCAATTACACGAAAAATATATCGAACGGTGTCTTGGATAACATGTAAACCACATTGTCTTAAATCCGAGTGTTCTTTTGCTCATTACCCTCCCATGAACAAAGAGCAAACACCCAAGATTTCCTTTGTGGTACAAGCTCATCCAGATGGTCTTCTACAACGGAACGGCATCTATAAAGACATAAAAATCGACATAAAAAAGTGCAATAATTAGAGCAAGAAAGTTTATTTAAAAAAAAATGCCCCTTCGGTAGCTTGAGATGTACCGGCTGCTAGGCATGCATGACCGGACCTGTATGTAGTAGCAAGATCATATCTCGTTCATGCCGTGTGGGTAGCAGGTTTGGAGTTGGTTGATCCAGTGTCGTTCTTTACTGAGGCGTTGGTGGTCACCCCGACTCCTGCAGTAGTCACCGAGTACAACCTGCATGTCATGCCACGAATGAATTGGCATTTTGAAATGTCTTGCTACATACAGATCCTGGCGTTTCTGTTTGACAGATCATCTGTGGTTGTTGATGCTGAGATTAAGTGGTGTTTTGGTCTCCCCTACATACTACAAATGGCACTTGGCACACGTAATCAAGTACATTACATTGGCCGATGTGCAGGATACCGACTGGAGGATGTGGTAGTTCTGGCCGTTGACCTCACATACGGACAAAGCTTGCACCTCTTACTGTAACATATGTTGAATCAGCCAGTTCCGAGAGTGTGGGAAGTTGTTGGTAGTTTACCGCTTACCACCAGGTCTTTGATGTTTTCCGGTCTGCGATAAGCTAGTATTGGTGGTCCCGGGAAAATGTTATGAAGTTTACTGGACGACAACACGATTTGCCAGTGTTTCTGGAAAATTATTGACAATGGTGGCATTGTGGGGTGAAAAGTTACTACACATGGTACTCTCCCAGTTTTTGATCGGACATAGTATTCAAGTGTACTAGCCCTGTCTAGTTCTTTATCGATTTCGCGGTCGATCAGAACTGCTTTTTATCCCCTGTTCAGTAGATGAGACTTCAGTTCTAAGCAGCTGCGTGTAAAGACGTCGTCATCAGAAACAATACGCCTGATTCTCAACGTTTGGACGTATGGAATGCCCCTTATGGTATGGAGTGGGTGACAACTAGATGCCTGTGGGTTTAATGTATAAATCCGTGCAACCAACGAACATTTGTTTGTTAGGATCCAGTACCGATAGTAGACCATATTACTTACTAGGTCTCTCTCTCTCTCTCTCTTGCTCCCTCACTCTCTCTCTCTCTCTATATATATATACAATCATCATCGATTTACAGAGTTATTAAGACACGAACTAATAGAGATGTGCAATTCTGACTGTGGCAGGGCGAACTCAGATGTGTCGAGAATACTCGATGTTATATCGCAGTAGAAGTAACTGGTTATTGAATGACTGTTAGGCCAATACTGTTTGTTGTTTCCTCCGAGGAAACAGGGACCAACATATGTAAATCGTCAATTTTCATGGAATATTTCCTGTGCTTACATATTACACTACAGAGTTGTGTGAAATTGGAGCTATATTGTGTGGGTGTGGGGCCAAATTCGTCTTATACATATACCACACGTTTTATTCTGTCTTAGCGTCTGTAAACAAATCACTGCCATATACACCACAAAGTACATTAACAAGGATATCACTTACATTTACTGTTTTATTTTCCTACCTCCGATCCTGTCCTTTGTTCTGAATGGCAATGCAAAAAATTGAATTTGCCATATCGGTTACTTGCCCAGTAAATTTGTGTATGTGATTTTTTTGCGTTTGTTTTAAACAATTTGACTAATATATATCTCGATTAGTCAAAAGAATCAAATCGAGATGATAATTTGACCTGTCGAAATGTCGATATGTGCATATTCCTTTGATATAAACACGATTAGATTAAAGTTGTCTAGATATATCTCGCTATCTCGAGTTTGAAATATCGAGTTAACTTATATAATACAATAACTAGATACATGTATGACCAATTAACTTAACTTAGAGTGTCTAGATACAAATTGTAATATTTCGGCAAGTTGAGAAATAACGATTACATATGTTATCCCTTTATCAATAAACGTTGTGTTAACGCAATACAAACTAAAATAACTTGACGGCAGGAATACGACTTTATAAAAAACGACAATGCATTACATAAGTGACTGATGGGAAGACCAACAGATTGCCCTCGGCCAACTACGCCATGCGAGTCCTCTGGCGATAAACGAGCACAGCCTAATGACTCATGCGCATTGAACACTGTTTTGTCTGTGAAGCATCGACAGGTGATGTCGTGCGCCTAGTCTGACGTGGTTGTTACATTGGAAATACAAGGAAAGTAAATCAGCAATGGAGTTGAGCGACAGACTGGATTTTAAAACTCGCATACGTCTATAGACATTATTTTGGCAAATACTGTCGTCTACAGGCAGTTGACTACGTGTGTACGTCATACACATGTGTAAGACATATGAGGATGGATTGCTTAGACCGTGTTGTTGAAAGTCGGTGTTTCTCGCTGAAGCGTTGTATTCCAAACTAACGTAAGTATTCAGATGAAGCCAGATTTTCTTTCTACAATAAAAGATGTAGAGGAAAAGGTAAATATTTTCATGTGAAAATATATGTAGCCCCAGTGTTACATTTACCGCAAGCCTCGCGCAACACATAACACATGTGTAGACCCATATCGCCAGCTAGCGGCATCACAGATTGCCTCTATTTTAGGGTCTACAGTATAATCAGCTTTGGCGAGGGATAAGTTGATACTGACAATGAAGAACTAGATACAGGAAACCATCCATGCAATTTGGTATAACATCTATTATCAGTAGATTACATGACACTTAAATTCTTGAATTAAACTATGAATCCTATTATTATTCTAGTCACCTCATTCATGAATAAAACGATTAGTTATTACACCAGCTGATCTTATTCAGAATGATGTGTTTTACTCGCCAATGTGTATATATTTTATTTATCCTACTTATCCTGTCATTGCATTCACCTGCTCTTTTACCTATGAGTCTAGCCCCGACAACAATACAGTGCAAATCATCTCTGGCACGAAACCGTGAATATTATGGAGTGTTGGGCGTCGACTTAAATCACGTTTGTGAACTAAAGCGTGAATGGACGAACCCTACCCCCTCCTGCCCCCATGTCCTCCCCCACATGTGTACAGCTTCGTTGAACGTGTGTCTTTGTGTAAAGCCCTATTTGTTATATGAGCCCGAGCACACGTGGTGCCGTAATACCGATTACCATAACCCAGAGGCTACAGCGTTACCCTTGGGTTTGTATAACACACCAGGTCATTAGAATTGATAATAATCTTTGTGTTCAGCGATGCTTTACACTGTTATGATGCTTGTCTTATAATGTCTTTATTAGAACGACAGAAAAACACTAGTATACTAAAAACCTTGTTACCAGTAATTAAATTTCCTTCATGTAATCACGTTTTCTCGTTTTTCCGATAACGAGAAAGGCATGCTGTAATTCATGTGTTCTATTTTGCTTCCTCACTGCAAGAATTTAGCAACTTCGCTGATCTTTGGTTTGTGAAATTCACCCCATATTCAACAAATCGACGTCTATTACTTATATTAATCAGAATTGTCTATTAAAAGTGTCCGTTTTATTAAGGTAAACATTCGTGCCGGAAGCCGGTCTTTGTTATATTTATGGGGGTTTGATTGTTTTCCATTTGGCATTGCCGTTGTGCGTTATGACCTAACCAAATTCTTAACTTACAGAAGAAATTAGAGCAATCTGTGTTTTTATCTCGCGATTTCTCCATTATTCATTCAATTCACCCATATTAAGGTACTAACTTTGATGATCTACAAGAACAAGCACACGACAATATCCAAGATCAAGTATTTTTACTGCATGATAAATGGATGTTACTCATCGGAATTACTTATCAGATTTCATCAAAATAGAACAAACATTTTCCCGTTTTATTGCCGATTGCATTGAGGTCTCCAGTTGGTTACATTCCATGCACTTTTTTTTCCATTTTAGATCGCCAAACATTCTTACACTCATTTTATGAAACATGTATGAGATGGAGACTCATTTAAGATATTATAATAATCATATTTATATTATTTCAGCACAATAATTTTTCACTTTTTATCTTTCCAAACGAGTATTTGATAAATTGAAATTGAGAAATATTACTGAAGTTATTAGATTACGAATCTGAAAAGTAGGTGTTAGATTGTCTTATAAAATAATCTCCTCGTGAATATGTGTGACTCAGAATTTACGTTTTCATTCCTCCAGATCGAAAGATCAGGGAGCATATTGTTTTTGCGCTGCTTGTTGTCAACTTTAAAACCTGACCATTACTGTTGCATAAAAAGAGGTAGGGCTTTCATATTTGTATGTGTGTTCTTTGTGAAAAGACCTTAGCTATTGAACTAAAAATGTCTTATAATTATCACAATTAAGACGTAGGTGTTTCACAAAGTGTGCTTTCAATTAGCACATGCCTTACATAGTACCGTTGAAATGCCCCACTTCAGAATTTTGTAGCAACCGGGGGCATAGTGTTTCATTAACAAACATGTTCTCCAATATTAAACATGATATTACTGCACCTCTTTTTAATACGTCCAAGTAGCAGCATCATCATTTACATAGCTCACCAAAATTTGTAGGACAATATAGTGAACCCATATCAAACATTTTATTTTGTGTTTACAATATAGCCTTAGTCTAGGTCAGGTTTCCGATAGTCTTGTAAGGTCTCGCATCAGCTCAATGTTTGTAATGAATGCGGATTCAGACCATAAATATTTTTTACTATTATAATAATTGAAAAACCTCTAAGTCTATCTTTTTTTTAAGAAAACATATTGGAAATACATTGTTATACTGAGTACTGAGGACACAAACGACAGAAATTAATTGTTATTGATATAATGTTGGATATGCTGGAAAACCGAATATGAATACTGCAACTATTTCATTTTAATGATATAAATATTCTACAAAATACAGAATCAGAACATCAATGAAAAATGAGAAAAAGTTAGGAGTTACAGAGTTTGTCGAGAGTCCGGGATGGCTAAAGTTTGGAGTTACAGAGTTTGTCGAGAGCCGGGATGACTAAATTTAGGAGTTACAGAGTTTATCGAGAGTCCGGGATGACAAAAGTTAGGAGTTACAGAGTTGGTCGAGAACCCAGAATGACAAAAGTTAGGAGTTACCGAGTTTGTCGATAGTCAGGGATGACAAAAGTTAGGAGTCACAGAGTTTGTCGAAAGTCCGGGATAACTAAAGTTAGAAGTTACAGAGTTTGTCGAGAGTCCGGGATGACAAAAGTTAGAAGTTACAGAGTTTGTCGGGAGTCCGGGATGACAAAAGTTAGGAGTTACAGAGTTTGTCGAGAACCCAGAATGACAAAAGTTAGGAGTTACAGAGTTTGTCGATAGTCAGGGATGACAAAAGTTAGGAGTCACAGAGTTTGTCGAAAGTCCGGGATAACTAGAGTTAGAAGTTACAGAGTTTGTCGAGAGTCCGTTGACAAAAGTTAGTTTGATAGTCAGGGATCAAAAGTTAGGAGTCACAGAGTTTGTCGAAAGTCCGGGATAACTAGAGTTAGAAGTTACAGAGTTTGTCGAGAGTCCGGGATGACAAAAGTTAGGAGTCACAGAGTTTGTCGAAAGTCCGGGATAACTAAAGTTAGAAGTTACAGAGTTTGTCGAGAGTCCGGGATGACAAAAGTTAGAAGTTACAGAGTTTGTCGAGAGTCCGGGATGACAAAAGTTAGGAGTCACAGAGTTTGTCGAAAGTCCGGGATGACTAAAGTTAGGAGTTACAGACTTTGTCGAGAGTCCGGGATGACAAAAGTTAGGAGGTACAGTTTGTCGAGAGTCCGGGATGACTAAAGTTAGGAGTTACATACTTTGTCGAGAGTTTCCTATGAAATCGAGAGTGAATGCATTTTGTCTCACTAGAAGTTATATAAGCTGAATATATGGAATATTTTCAAAATATTCATTACCTAATGGAACTCACATATTTTAACACTAGCTTTGATTATTTGTGGCGATTCAAATGGAGATGAAAGAAATAGGGCAGTTGTTTTGATCCCAGTAAATTACATGCAAGTACTGTGTTTTAAGAAATGTGTTGTCGACAATCTATTCCGGTTGCTCAAAAGTTAATGAACCAGTGGTTAGTGAAAATATCAAATTGCTTCCGCTGAACGAACACGAATGTACATATCCGACCTGTCGAAACAAATCTCTCCGATTTTGCTTCATTCAAGTTTGAAAACTAACACTTACCCCTGGCTATCTCTGACCAGCCTTTGAACAATTATTGCTGACGACGGAAACACGTGGAAAATATGTTGTTGTGTAAAAAGGAATGCATCGTGTTGAACACCATCATAAAATGGAGATATTACACCTTTAACATGGACAGAGTGTAATGGGACTATCACGTGATGCATGTCTAAGTCGCTTCATCAGGTTGTTTTATTGTGATATTGTCAGAGAAAGATCTTGATTCATTGACGAATTTCACTGTGAATATGTCAAGTGTCGTCCACCCGGATCTTTTGAGCAACCTGATATTACACTTAGGAACCAGTAGTCACACATGTACGCTGTACCTGGAAATATCTCATATTACTTATATTTTGACTGTAGATAGAGCTATATTTAAATATGCATTCTTTTTTGTGCACAGTAATTATATATTCACTATATTTATATTAACATATATAGTTACGCACATCATTTCGATTTATTTTCCAAATTAGTTTTTTTTTCAAATCTCATGAAGATTGACCGAGTCTACCCACATTGAAAAAATCGGAAGTGAGTTATCATATATATATATATATATACCTATACCTAACTTTTATTGTGAACACGATAACTTATATAAATATAAACCGATTTTTTTTAGGTATACTGTCAGATATCAATAAGATATCAAGTGGGTTGTACAATTGGAATAATGCAGTCATAGTTTGCAGAGTGATGGACCATGGCAGATTTATTGCTATTTGACCTTGTAAATGCGATGACATAAGTAAATAGGAACATTTGTTGATGAAACTCGGTATTCATCCTTAAATCAATAAAATGTAGGATAAGTGCAATTATGATGCCAGTGCAGTTGTTATTTACAAGGTTATGGCCCTTTTAAGTGTATTTACCGTGGGACTTTGTAAACTCGACAATTGTGTAAACTGAATCGATTTTGACAAAACTTGGTATGCACACTCTCCGATTCCGTTATCATTTACAGTGTAATGGCCTTCAACATTTTTTTATATTCCCTCGATATTTTCAGTAATTATAAAAAGATTTTGATGAGAAGCGATATGCAGTTATATACCAATGGGTTTGACAATACGTTCGGCTGAAATTAGTCGGGTGTCTAGTAAGGCGAAAGACCAATTTTTTTTTTCAAATCACGTTAACTTATTGACAAGCTCAATCAAAACAGCGGTAGAGTTTGATCAATCTTATCATTATTAAGTCTCTTCAAAATAAGTTGCGATGAAGAG